TGTTTGAATGGCTAACACGTCTGAGCCGTTAGAGGTCATGCTGCTGCATCGCTCGTCACACACAAGTTCTATGTGTGAAACAGGCCTTAGTGTAGAGGCTAGGCAATACAGCAAAAAACTCTAAAATGTAATATAACTACATGTGATACACTATAAAAGATTTTGTACATCAATAATGTGAGAAGGTTAAAGATTGGCCTGCATTATTTTGAACAAAATAATTGTTGGATTACTTGAATACCTTGAATCTATAACACACCCATATCAAACTATGACTGGTCATGATCATCAGAGCACAACCTTATGTGCTTTCAGTACTACGAAAGCCAATATCACAATAAAGATAACCAAATACTTAACTGAGCTGGGCAATATAACGTCATCATAGTGCTGTTCTGAAAGAACAGTTCAAAGTCAACAAACAAGAGATAAAAATGGCAAAAATAAAAAGTTCCCTTTCTAGAAGTGATGTGTCAGTCTGGTTAATGTTTACTGTGTAAGGTTCTCTTTGATGTAATGTAAAGAGAACAAAGCAGAACAGAACAGCTGAATCAGATGTCAGGTGTGTAGGATATTTTTAGTACCTGTACTCAGGAAGCATGATTTCAATATATTAATGTTTATTAAAATGTCAATATCTGATACACTGACACCATGCTATATTTGAAAAGTGTTATTAAAAAAGTCATTAATGTGATATTAAATATTACCACTATCACACAGCACTATGTAGAGCCCCTAGAGAAGGGGGCCCCTGTAACACTTGCTAGTGATTTTCACACAGTGTGAAATGTACCGTGTTTAACAGTGGGTTAAACTGAGTTCACAAAGGTTAAGGACAGACAGTCCACTCATGCTGTTTGAGTCAACATAAGGTGTAATCTGTGCATGGCACACAGAGGACAGCAGTAAGAAAGCGGAGCTCATTGCACACTCCCGACTGGTAATACAGACAGAAAACTGCGGAAACCGCTTTGCAAGGACAGTCTTTTAAACTGCCAGTGAAGGCATGTTATTTTTTTTCAACCTTTTGTTATTCAAACCAGGGTCAATAAGAGTGAACTTTTACTGTTCAAGGCCACCTAAAAGGACAGAGAAGAGGTGTAGCTCACTGGCCTTCCTTTTTTGGCACAGTAGCAGCAGCAAAGCTCAATGTAAGTGTATAGTCTGCTAAGAAACAAACCAGCAGACCCACTAAAATATGTAATGTATATATTTTTCTTAAAAACATATATAAATACAGTGCCCTTCACAAATATTGGCACCCCTAGTAATCATGAGCAAAATGAGCTGTAATAATATTCTTAATTGCGTATTCTTCTGATCTTTCATTCAAAATGTTAGCAAAAATCTAACTTAAGGTGTAGTGATTCAAAGAAGTAAAAACTAAACCATGTCTAAATAAATATTTTTCTTAAATCTGTGTGTGCCACACTTGTTGGCACCACTAGAAATTCTTAAGAGTGAAATGTAACTGAAGTATATTCCCATTCATAATTTATGTTTTAAAGATCACCTGAAGCAATTAGGAACACTTAAAATTGTCAGCTATGACTTCCAGATTCCCTGGAGACGATATAAGCAATGAAGGCCTTCCCTTGTTCATCCATCATTATGAGAAAGACTAGAGAATACAGCAATAATGTGTGACAAAAAATTATTGAGCTGCACAAGTCAGGAAATGGCTACAAGAAAATAGCTAAACGGACAAAAAGTGGACAAAGAATCTCCAAGAATCACAGATGGGAAATTGCAGAAAGTAGTTAGGTCTTGGGGTCACAACATCTCCCAAATCACAAAAAACACCTGTGTAACCACAGCTTGTTTGGGGTGGGTTGCCAGACAAAGGCCTCTGCCGTCAAGAACCAGCAAACTCAAGCTCCTACAGTTTGCCACACGTTACTAGAACCTTCAGCAGGACCGTGTTCTGTAGTCAAATGAGACCAAAATAGAGGTTTTTGGCAACAAACACCAGAGGTGAGTTAGGTCAGGTGGACACAAAGACAGCCATGCAGAAAAGTACCTCATCCCCACTGTGAAGTATTGTGGTGGTTCTGTGATACTGTGGGGCTGTTTTTCTTCCAAAGACCCTGGACAATTTATTCAGATACATGGAAATCACAGAATCCATCAGGTACCAGCGGAAATAAAATCAAAACCTGACTGCCAAAGCCCGAAGCTTAAACTGGGCTGTACTTTGGATCTTCCAGCAGAACAATGATCCAAAGCATGCTTCAAAATCAACACTGACCACAGAATTAAGGTTTTGCCATGGCCACCCCAGTCCAATCTCAGAATCTTCAAGATAACTGCTACTAGGCTAGTTTTTTTAGCTATGCAACACACTCCTGTTCATTTTTATAGATAATGGTAAGCAGCGTCAAACACCAAACTTTTGTCACCAACATACTTCTTTAAAGGTAATTCTGGATATAAGAGTGACTGGACTTCTAGCAAGCTGATGTGCCAGGAAAGCACATAATACACTTGAGCCAAGAATGCCATGCACTCTCAGAAAACTCAAATATGGTAACAAACACATTCTGCTCTCAAAATGCAGATATCAGCACATTCTGTTTCCCATCAGGGACATAATTGTCTGTTTACCTCATTTCTTGATGAACTCCATCACATGCACTTAAAAGAAGGTCAAAGTGCTGCGAGTTTCCTGAGGACAGAGCTAAACAACACAAGCCAACACACACCGGCTGTGAAAGCTGTTAAAACACCCTGCTCATTAGACTAGGTCTCGTATAATTCAAAACAGCTGCAGACTGTAGCTGTACCCGGCCTAAAATATCTCCAGATAATCACTGTCATCTGGACCTGTGCCCCTGGAGGAGAACAGAGTGCATGGACACTGTTTCTGTCCAAATGAGTGAATGACTGTTGTGTTTATTGTGTGTTGTGTTGTTGTGTGTAAATGCGTGACTAACGTTGATTCTTTCAGCTTGACCAGGTCAGTCTATCATCAACCCCTGGTTTTAATACACTGACAATAAAAGTGTTCTGCGGTCAAAGTTAAGGAATCGCAATAAAGCAGTTAAATTCTTGTTGATTCTACATGATACCAAGGTCGGTCTGCTTAGCTCATTTTTTTAGCTAACATTTTCAGACTCTTTGAATTTCTGATTTACACAAGCACACAGCCAGCAAGATGACCCCGTGCACCCTGTATGGCTCCTGCACCGGTTTACTTTCACAGAGCCAAGCTGATGGCTACCAGATGTCCAGGCTGTGAGGCCAGGGCCCAATAGCTAACACAACAGGGGCCTTGTGTCTCTTGTAGCAGTAAGGAGTAGGCAAGGAGCTGTTAGTTAACTCCTGCCGGGAACAGGATAACAGACTGAAGAGACAGAGAGAGAGAGAGAGAGAGAGAGAGAGAGAGAGAATGAGAGAGAGAGAGAGAGGGACAAAGACAAAGACAGAGAGACAGAGAGACCGAGAGAGAGAGAGAGAGAGAGAGAGAGAGAGAGAGAGAGAGAGAGAGAGAGAGAGAGAGAGAGAGGGCGCACGAGAGTGCTCTGGACATCCTACCAAAATAACCCCAGCAGAGAGAGACAAAGATCAGTGAATTCCCAACACTGAAATCAGATCAGATTCAACGGTTTTTGTCCATTCCTACATTTTAGTTTTGTACTCACTTTCCATATAACCAACGTTTGGGCCGAATTCTCAGACCGAGATAAAGCTGAAGTCTAGACTGAAAACTTCTCAACAATATTAAAATACATATATACACTACAATTTAGTCTTAAAGTTTAATACATGTCCCGGAAACCTACCCTTTTCATACACTACTGTATTTGTACTTGGTAGGTCAAGTAAGAATTAAAAAAAAACTGTCTACTGCCATACTAAAAAAATATTAGGTTCACCAAGTCATCTGCTGAAAGTGTTGGGAATGACTTCACAGTCAGTATCTTCAGTTAGTGTGGTTGGACTGACATCTAGTGGCTGGCAAGCCTGCTCTCAAGACTTACACCAGGCACCTGTCTAACAAAGCAGGATTTCTTGCTTAGCAAGCTAACTTAAAACATAGTTATGGCTATATCCCTGGATTTTCTATGTCACGACAGCAGATCACTGGGATACATTGCCAGAGGACTTGTGCTGCATGCTGGTTATGTCTGGACATCAGAAATTAACTTGTTTTATAGTACACATGCAATCAGCACACAAAAAAGGCAATGTCATAACAACCCCCTAGCTACCACTTCCTCATGTGACATCCAGTCACATAAAAAAATACTGCTTTTCAGTGGAGCTTACATAAATAAGAAATATATTCTTCAATTACTATAAAGTCAAAGGCACCACGGTAAACATAGTGACTGTGACAAGCGCTGCCTTTCTCATTATAACTTCTCTACATATTTACACTGTACGATTTCTTCCTCCTGAGAAGCATCAGCTCGACTCTTACTCGAAGTTCCACATTGGCTGTTTTTCATAACTGCCATGTCTTCATGTGCACACACACAGTGATTAATCTCAGTTTGAATATTCAAACCTGAGTTAACATAGAAAATTCTAAATGACTCCCTAACTGTGGTATTCAGCTACCTACCTTTGCTCCCTAACCACTAACTAAACCATGAGTTAAACACAGCTGCACTTGTAAGGTTTTGTGACTGAGCCAAGGGAACCCTACTTTCTGTACCTTATGAAACAGATCCCAGGGGTGTCTAGCTCAGATCATACAGGGGCCCTAGTCCAGTACAATTTGGTCATTTCTCTTTGCAAAACTCACCTAACTTATCAATTCAATTCATCACTTAGTTACCAGGTTACCCGAAAAACTTTTTACTGACAAAAGGTAGTAAATCCATCCACTTTGCACACATCTCATTTAAATTATCATTTCAAATCACAAACAATTTTGTCACCTGTTAATTAGCCAACATTATGCAGGCGGAGACAGTAATCTAGTATAACTAGATTCATACTGCAGGTGGAGTACTGGGAGTGTGCATGGATGTGTTGGTTTCCACAGGTACCTGTCATTTTGTAGCCGCTTGCAGCCAGCTGACCAGCCATGTACTCTCCGTCTGAGCTGTTGTGCGAGCAGCCCCATGTCCTCATCCACACCTTCTGTGTGCCTGGGATCACACTGGCAAGAGCAAACATCCACATTTAAAAAGCCGATCAACACAGAGAAACCATTTTTGAATGATTTATACTGCAAGAAAAAAAAATTACTGAATGAACAGCTTATAAGCAACGCAAGTTAGGTTTTCTGGGTCTCTTCTCAACCACTAGATGGCGATATCATCCTCTATATCAGGCTTGGGAACTTGTGTGTCTTTAAAAGCCAAGGTAAAATAAATAAAAATGATTAGAGTTATAGTTACACTGTTTGAAAAAATAAGTTGCTCATACCCAAAGCTTTGTTAAACAGCCACACTAAAGCAAAGGTAGTTTGTTTATACAGCATATTTCATACACAAATGCAATTTAAAGTGCTTTCTAAAGAATATTCATAGACAAAAGACAGCATCTTAGTGTGTATTTTATTTATTTATGTTTTTGTTTATTTATTGAATGAAGCAATAATATTATTATAAATTTGGACACACTGCACACCCAGATTTCTCATAAAATGCAAAGTGATTCATTGACTGAGGTCAGAAGGAACGATACTCACCACCTTTCACTGTAGTTGCTATTCTGCTCTCACTTGGTTAGTAACTTTGCTAACTTTTGTGTTGTAGGCACATTTTGAATCTGACCGATTACAATTAAGTTAACACAGAAAATCTGCACGAAAAATATTCTCAATCAGAGCCTATGAATACAATGTAATTATATTACCAAAATACCTTTATATTATTTGAGTTTTTATTTTTGTGTTTTGTATTGTATTTATCTTATTACAATAGTAATGTCAGTCATCTAAAATATGTCAAAATATGTGAAACGTCTAACAAAGGCAAGAAAGACATCCAGTACTTTAAAATCTGTGACAGGCCCAGAGAAGTACATGTCAGCAATAGTTCCTGACCAAAAACTAGTCACAATTATTTACACGCGCTTATTACTGTGCATTTAGGTCTATTTTAGCAGTAAGCTAGAATTACAAACGTAGCTTTTGGAAATGCAGTTCATAGACAAATACTCTGACCAGTTTGTATAACCCTGTCCTGCAGAAAGAAAGTTACATTTCGAAAGTTTAAATTTCCTTTTAAATCTTTGCTTTTCCTTCTGAAATTGACTGAAATGGGATACACAGTGTCAATAGTTGCATCCACAGTCAGGTGTCCACAATGAAGTCTCACCTGTCCGCTTGCAGCTCCTCAGCAGGAGGTTGCTCCTTTCGCCTCCGCACCCGGGGAACGACGCTCTGCCTGGAGAACTCCCGCTGAAAGGAGGTCGGGTCATGACTGGCCACCATGTCCTCGATGTCATCAACGAAGGGCTCACAAGCAGACAGCATACTGATCTGTTCTGAACATAAAATGAAATTCTCACGGGTAAAGTCACAACAGTTTAGTCAGCTAACTTGTTGTTTAAACTGAAATCAGATTAATTGCCATGAACTATATTAGTCCAAAAATACTGGTTTGATTTCTAACAGTTAGGGTTGTCACGATTCTGAGACCAAGACCGAAACATCCAGGGTCTCGTGTCGCTGTTCCAGAAGACAAAACCTGCCCCCTTACCCCCAACCCCACAACCTCAACCCCAACCCACGGCCCCCCTGGTGCAGCCTGTTGAGCTCTCATTACATTACTAATGTAAAAAAATGAATTTCATTTCACAATTAACCCTACAACTAGTAGTGCGCGATGTACCGGCTGAATTTCTTTTTACGGTGTATCGGCTTTGTCGTTACTATTATACTAGTATGTACATAAATGCAGACAACACAAAAACATAAACACAGTGTAAAACACACCGATTCTCTCACCTCTCATGTAGTGAGTTGCAGCCTGAGGTAAGTTAATCCAGTTTATTGTCAAAGGAGCAGATATCAGATTGTACTGAGTTAATGAGTTAAAGGGAGAAAAGGGAGTGGAGGTAAAAGCCAATCTCTTGGAGTTGGCCATTAGCCATTAGCCTAGCATGGAGACTTGCTGGCTATCTGTGTGCGGCACTGCTCCCTCAGCCAGCTTCTTTAGGCATCACTGCAGTTTCAGCCTACAAGCCTCTAAAACAGAAAGCGTGACCAGCTTGTGATGTTTGCTAAATGCTAGCGGCATCTGATAGTCATATATTAGAGCATAAGAGACGCACACACGACACAAATGACCTTGTAAAGCCCAAAGTGGCTTCTCTGAGTGGGACAAAGCTGAAGTTTGCTTTTTATTTACCATTTTCAAATTTTGCTTTTAACTGACAAAACATAAATAAACTACACTGTGAAATATATATTGACACAGTCAGTAATCTTAATTATACCATGATATAAAATTTTGCACATATCGCCTACTACTAACTATAACACATGTAATTCACAAAATTAATACACTATTTATTTATTTATTTACATAGTTAATTTATGCAAAGTTACATTAATTTACCATGTTCTTTAGTGTTTTTCTCTTTAATGTTGCAAATTGGTGATGATTTTTAAAACCCAGAGTTGTTCCCACAAAACAAGCAAACAAAAAAAACCCTAGGTATGAATCAAGGATCGAAAATCGAGGTCTGAACCGAACCGTGGATTTGGAAAATCACTACACTCCTACTAATGGTATAGATTACAGACAGCAAAGGTGAAGCTGAAGACCACAGCTGGTGAGTCAGCCTGAATTCCTCTAAAATATTTAAATACAACACAGCACATTTTATACTAATCGTTAAATAAGACTGTTGAACCTCAAAAGCTCTAAGCTAATAAGGTAACATAACACATAAACATCGTCTACATTGTCTACATCCATTGCCCTGGACAGAGAAAAGGCTTAACTGTTCAAGTCTAACATATTAGTCTGTCCTATAGTGCTACAGCTAAAGTACAGATAGGTAAGATAGGAAGGTAACCTTAGTATCAGAACATGTATTGCAGACATTGTGATACTGGCATGTTTTCAATATTTCTTTATATTATGGTACAGAAGTCTACTAACCTAGTTAAGCTAAGTTAGGCTAGTTACTCACACATCAGCACGAGCTGTAACAGTTAGGTTAGCAGTCAGTCAGCTTTGTGTTTTGACAACATGCTGTTGTTTTGCAACACCATATTGTTCCAAACATTTGTTTGTTATCTAAACATTTTGTTGTTATCCAGCTCAGAGTAAATGAAGCAGGTAGTCACTGGCTAACACTCCTCTAGCATGCTGGACCCGCGTGTGCGTTCAAAACAAACCGCTTCAAACAGCCAAAACACAAACACTTACTTCAGAAACAGTAAACTGGAGCAGGAAACGGTCGAAATCCAATCAAATTCAGTCGAAGAGCAGTCTGAATGGCGAAATATGTCGGTTTTCCTTGTTTTTCTAAGTTTTATCTGTTAGCCATGGTGAAAAGCGACCCGACGCGACTACGGCATGAGCGAGAGGACAAAACTCGTTTTCAGAACGACCTGCTGCTCCGACTGAACGCGCTTACAGCGCCAACATGAAACCAAAGAAGAGACTCAACCAAGCACGCGCTGACTGAGTGGTTATATATTCGGGATAAAGGTACAGCTATTACAGGATCGTCTAAACCATCGCTTTAATGTCCCTTATTTTTATGGTGCCAAGTGATCATCTGTAACATTTCACTATGGTCATGGAAAAAGTGTACTTGTAAACGTAGCATTATTATAGATAGATAGATAGAAAGACGTAAACAAATATTTCTTTGTGACCAAAGACTAAACATTTTAAAAACAATGTTTTGTTATGAAACATTTTCTCTGCTGCGTACTAACATAACACATAATATTTAGTTATTTATTTATTAAACATACAATATTCAGAGTCCAGTATACTGGACGTTTGGACCTGGGCTCAGGAAATATGAGAGTCTTTGAAAAATGGACATCTTTATTATCACTAACATAACAAAGCAAGCACTGAACTTTTTCTGTGTTTACTGTTTGAACAACTGCATAAAAAAGTTTCTGAACTCTTGGACCTGTCTGGACATCTGCAGGAATGGCTCCTAAAATATTAAATCATTTTCATAATAATTTTATATCATAATAATAAACAAAAAACCTTTTGCGTATACACTGATTTACTTTATTATATCTAAAAGGAACAAATGGCTGAAACACTTGAGGTCACTGAGGAAAAAACAAGCTGTTTCCCACAAGTCTTGTGTAGTGAGGTGCAGCCTGAGGTAAGTCACATAATTATGACATAAATGTAATATTAATTAGATGTAATGTAATATTGTTTAGATTTATATGTAATATGAAACATATTACATACATTTTATGCACCAGCCTAGTGCTGTAGACAGAAATGACATTTCTGAAACGGAAAGCGTTCAGTTTTTAGTTTGGGTATGTTATCCTGATGATAATAAATATATTCATTTTTCAAAATCTTGCAGATTTAATGTGCTTAATTCCAGTGTTAAGTATACTAGACAGTAAAATCCACTAAAATCACTAAACAATAATATTATCCACAATTCACAGAACATCATCTAGTATCACTCCTAAATACACATTAGATTCTGCTTTTAACTAAATAAACAAAATTCCTGAATGATTGTGTTTTGCAATGCATAAGTCTGTTATACTTATCAAAGCATAATTTACTACAGATCACTGGACAATAAACTTTATCTCAAAATGTGTGTATATAGAAATAAATAGCTACTAGTCTCTCTTTTACCTTTCACAAGAGGGACCTTCTAGAAGGACATACATATTAAAACATTAATGAAATAAATACAGGATGATTTAGGAACAGTGTTTTGTTTGGTTTTGGAGGCGGTGAGCATCTGTCTCTTTAGCTGCTGTATTTGTTTGTGATTATGGTGAGATAAAAAAGAAAATATTCTATTAAATGACCAATCAATACAAAGACTGAGTTCTGTAGAAACATGTATAAATGAGTGTGGTGACGCATTCACGTCTATTGACCTAGAATACTTGGGGAAAAAATGTCCATGTGGTTCAGCAGGTTCACACAGCTGTGGCGCAGTCTGGCCTAAAGCTGAAAATATGTTTTAATAGTATTAAATGAGCAAGCTGTTCAGGCCTCTTTTTTTCTCAAAGATGATGAAGAGAGACACAGAGCTGGTGCTGAAGTCAGTCTCCTCAAGACTGATAACACAGTCATGAAACTCACCTACCAGCCCAGTTTTCTCTTTAGCTTCACTTATATTTCATTCTCTTCTCTGTTCATCAAACTCCCTTTCTACCTAAATTCCTCTAATATGAGATTTTCAGATATTAAATCTTCATCCTCCTTTTCTTCAACATATAGATTTTCCTCTCAAACATCTTTAATTCATCAGGAAGTGAATTCCATATGTTAACACCTTGTAGGGGTAAAAACTGTTTGACACAGTGATGTTTTGTGACAGTGAGTCTTGCCGTTTCCCACAGCAAGGTAGCCTCCAAGACCCCAATGCAGAGTTTTTTCATTTACATCCCAGAAATAGGCTAAATTTGGTCAGAGGTTTACAACAGTAGAGAAATGTCCTGTCTACTTCTACCCTGTAAAGCACTGCATGTTGAAGTTACACAGACTGCTTTAAGACAATCTTCAGTTAAGTCCAAGAGCTTCAACCACAAGCATTTCATACAAGAGAAGAATAAAGACAGTAATGAGACTGAAGGTGAATTATTGGCAGTTTACTGACAATACATTGGTTGTAGATAGAAATCATGTTAACTTCATACATTTTTAGTCATCTTCTGACAGCTGATAGATTACAAGTTTTCCTTTTTCATCAATCTCTTTTCTTCTTAGTTGTCCCTCAACTAGTGTCTATACTGATCGTGTTACTGGTTTCCTGAATACACTCACTAACACAGGAGCCGATTAAATATTCAGTCCAATGTAACTGAATTTTAATGAATTACATAAATGTGAAATGAGTGAATGTGCTTTTGCAATAAAATAGATATTGTCGAAAATATCTCCAAAAAGTAACTTTACAGGAGAAGGAATAAACGCAATTTAACATTATGTTAAGAAAGACAAAATAGAGATACAAGGTTTTGTCTTAAGAGCAACATGTTTTGTTGTTTTTTTCCTCAAGACAGATGTTATTACTGTAACTGTAATAAACACTCTCAGAACAACAGGGCACATATGCTGTCTCCCCTCAAGGGTTAGACTTCAGTACCTTTACAGAACATCACTGAAATGTTTTAAATAATTGGAGCAGTTAAAAAGTTACTTAGAGTTCTGATCCAATATAATTCTTTTAGTTTTGGATGTTTGTGTCCATATGGAGGGACTGCTCTGACCACATATGCCAACTCCACCATAAATACATTGGCTAAAAAAGGTCTTGGAAAGAAACACTTTTCAGAATTCTAAAGGACAAACAAGGGTAGTGTTAATAATATTCACAAAATACAGAGATTAGTAAGTAAGCAATTTACCAATATGACAGTATTGCTTGTGATCTAGATTTGTTTCTTTCTATTTCAAAAGGTAGCTTCTCTGAACAAGACTGAAGTCAGATGGCCATTAGCAGTCTGGAGAGTTTAGACTATTACTAAAAAGAAACATTCAAAACTCATCACAGTGATTTAAAAACACAACATTTCAGATCCAGAATTATTGAATCATTATATACAAACTGTCAATTTTGTGTCTTTTTTGTTTTAAATACACTCACTGAGCACTTTATCAGGTACACCTACCTTGGATCTACAGTCACTGCCCATTTTATCAGCTTCACTTACCATATAGATGCCCTTTGTAGTTCTGCCATTACAGATTGTGGTCTGTCTGTTTCTTTGCATGATTTGTCATCCCACCTTTACATTTGCAATGGTCAGAACCAGTATGCGAAATACCCCTTGGTATTTGGGGGGTCCCATGTTCGCTGACTGCTAACTCATTCGCTGGCACTGATGATAGTTTCAATGACAACAAAACATTTGGTTTAATAATTCCTTTTTAGGAAATAGTCTATTCTAGTTTGGTAGTGTTGTCCACAAATTAACTGAGATCTTTCACATTTCCTCTTTTGTCATCGGTTTGTTAAATAACAATTTCTACCAGTTGGGCAAGTTTTTATTGCTACAGTATATTGCAAATTTCTTCAGAGGTATTCCGGCCATAGCTACAGTTGCGAGGCTATGACGGACCATCTGGGTGAACCAATTTCTTACAGCCCCACCCTGAGGCAGAACAGTGCTGCATCTCTAGTTAGTTACGAACACGAAAGACAGAAGCTCACCGATTGTAGCTGAAGCAGCTAAACAATGACCTTACCCTGAATTACTGGAATCAGTTTTCCCTAACAGACAGCATAACATCATAATAAGTTTATTTCCAGGCACCCCCAAGAATTCAGGGTGGCCAAAAGGTTAATCCAGGTGTTTTTAAACACCTCAGTGTCACTGCTGGACTGAGTGGAGCCCACCAACCAAAAACATCCAGCCAACAGTGTCCTTTGTGCGGCGTCCTGTGACCACTGATGAAGGACTGGAGGATGACCAACACAAATTGTGCAGCAGCAGATGAGCTACTGTCTAAAGTCTTGCATGCACAAGATGGACCAACAAGGTAGGAGACTCTAGAGTGGACAGTAAATGGACAAAGTGTTTAAAAACCCCAGCAGCACTGCTGTGTCTAATCTACTTATACCAGCGCAACACACACTAACACACCACCACCACATCAGTGTTACTGCTTTGCTGAGAATGATGCACCACCCAAATAACACCTGCTCTGTGGTCGTCCCTGGGGTGGGTTCTGACCATTGATGAAAAGGGTAAAGGTGAGATAACAAATTATGCAAAGAAACAGATGGACTACAGTCTGTAATTGTAGAACTACAAAGTGCATCTATATAGCAAGTGGAGCTGATAAAATGGGCAATATGTAGATACAAGGTAAGAGTACCTAATAAAGTACTCAGTCTGTATATTGACATTCACTAGTTGCATGGTCCAAACTTCCATTTACAGAAAAATCTATACAAATAAATACAAAATAAACACGATCAGTAGACTACAAGAATGTTTTTTTTATTTTACAGTTATTCCCAGTTGAATGTTTGTTATTAGTCTTTCATAAGAGTGTTTATCAATTATTTTTAAAAAATCATGAATATATCAAATATAATTATGAATTAAAATGTATTAAATACATCACTGGCTGCTTTATAAGGAATACAAGAGGGCTTCAGGGGGGCCCTTTAAGTCCAGTGCAGAATTTTCATTTTTTTATTCATTTTTTTAAAAATAAATCATATATAACATGCCTGATTATGTTAAAAGAGAAAATAATATTTTATTTTATTATAAAATTAATTTTAAAAAGTCCATGTGAGAAATATGTTTATTTAGATTGAGTGTGGCTTATTTGGGGCTCATTTTCCCCTGATATAAATAGATATATTGAGTCTTTACAGAGGCAAACGTTAATAATAATTTCTCTCAATTATGTTTTGTTTTTTGTGCCAAAGCCTCAAGGTTGGCTGGCCCACCCCATACAGTCCCAAATATATCCTTTTCAGTTCTCAGGGCCTCCTCCAGAGAAAGTTCTCTCCCAGACACCACCACCTTCTTCACAGCCCTGATTACAGGAGCAGATCCCTTTGTGAACTGGCTCAGCCACTGCTCTGCCTCCACCAGGGAACTGCCTTCACCAAGAGGAGAACTCAACACTTCATCAACTAGTCCAATCTGCCTCCCCAAATGTGGATCAACTTTTTTTGCACCACCAAGCAATTTCAGGGCATTCTGGCTGCCAACAATTCGGACAAGCCTTGCTGCACCACCCCATCCAGGCACCAAGCCCATGTGTTTATGGACGAATTGGATCACAGCATCAGATGTCATCAACCTGCCAACAGAAATATGATTTTTATTTTCAAATATAAACTCCATCTACTGCAACATTCACTATATGTACAAAAGCCAATGTTTCTTCTGAAATAAAGAGTCTTAATAGGGACTTTGCCCCCCCTTTTGCTGCAGTAACAGCCTCTACTCCTTTGAGAAGGCTTTACACTAAATGTTGGAACATTGCTGTGAGGATTGATTGCATTCAACCACAACAGCATTAGTGAGGCCAGGTACTGATGTTGGATGATTATTTCAGAACACAAAATGCTTCTTCCAAAGGTGTTAGACAGTGCATCCTGTTCTACTGCCATCTTTCTCTATGGAAATTACACAAAGTGTGCACAACTCAGTGCAACTTAAGCTAGCTGAAATCACTAATTAGAAGAGGTGTAGTAATTTACCTGAAGTCACAGGCAGTAGTGAGTTCTGCCCCTCCACCCAAAGCCTTTCCCTCAACCAAAGCCACAGAGATGAGGGGCAACCTAAACTGAGAGAGAAAAGTAAGCTCTGATATATAACAACTTTAGTTCTACATGGAAGCAATTTTGAACAGAAGCTGTCACTTGGTGAAGGCCAACCTAAGCAGTCTTGTTAGAGTCTTCTGCATGAACATACACATTTTCATGCCATCCTGAAAAGAAAAAAAAATCAGTTTACTTTTATGCATACAAAACTTAAAAGACATAAAAGACAGTTATTATCCAGACTTAAAACAGCCAGAAAAGAAGACAGAGAAAAATGGTAAATGAAATGTGAGACACAATAAGGAAGACGTTTTAGGTTCAGGTTTATAATGTTTGGATGTAATTGCATTTGATCATGTTTCTGAAACTTGGTAAACTCTGCAGTAAGATATCTGAATGAATTACTAAATGGAGGCATCTCTGATTACAGTCATATGCAAAAGTTTGAACATCCCTGGTCAAATTTCATCTTTTGATGATTTTCTAAGTGAAAATAAGTTACACACATCCTCTACAGAGAACACACTTCTGCACATTTTAGTGCACAATTATTGTTCATTTGCTGAATTTAACACATCATATGTATACACATATAATAAAATATGGTGCAAAAGTTATGGCACATTTTATATATTTATGTTTTTCTTTTTCCAACATGTTAAACTCAACAAATAAAAAGAAACTGTGCACTGAAATTTACAGAAAGACGTCATATATAAGTCTTTTCTTTATAAAGGATGTGTTAATTTATTTTCACATTAGAAAAGCAAAAAAACATGTCATTTGGGTGTTCCAACTTTTCCATTTGACAGCATATAATTGACAAATTTAGTTAAGAATTAGGGATGAACGATTTGGGGATAATATCTAATAGAGCTTTTTCTCACTAATATTGTGACTGCAAGTTAAATTGCAACTGTTTTCTGTAAATTTAAGTCCGGGCCTGTGTTTTGGCCAAGAAGACCAGCAGATTCACTTTATCTGGCTTGAGCTTTGAGCTTTATAGTGCACGAGACTGCCAGCTAATTGTGGTTGTCAGGTTTATAGCACATGTGTGTTTGGTTGCTTCTGATGGGTCTAACTCATCTAGTTCATGAGCTCTGTGTTATTAGGTTAAATTTCTTCACTTATTTCATAAGACAATGTTGTTGATAATGTAATTAAATATAATTAAAATTGCATCAAATCTTGCTTGAATTGCAGCTCTTGATTTGTAAACTGCACTCTTGTAAACTGTGATTTCAGTGTAAAAACGATTAATCTTTTAACATTATTAAGAACGATACCTGCGGGTTTGATATTGCTCTGACTGCATTCAGGTCAGATCCAGAGCAGAACGTTCCAGCAGCCCCTTGCACAATTAGGCCTTTTCCTTCTGTCCAAGTCTCCAGCTCACTCACTCGTTCCTCCAGCTCTAGCATCATGCTGCCTGGAAAAGAGACAGGCTAGAACAGACTAACAGTGCAATGGTGAAACATTCATGTCAGTATGAAAATGAATATTAAATGTCATGTCACATTATGTACCTGAGAAGGCATTCATTCGTGCAGGGTTATTGACTGTCATCACTGCAATGCCTGACTTTTCTTTCTGAAGATCTATGGAACCTCCTGGAAAGAGCTGGAGTTTCTGTCGAATCTCTTCCTCCTGAGGGCTGCTGGTGTTGGAGTAGAACGCCCTGCTCTGCTTGAAACACCTCCTCAAAGCATTTCGAGTGTTCTGGAGTAAGGGACGACTGGCAGCACACAAAGCCATTCTGCTGTCTGCTGTCTCTACTGAAATGGCACAGGACAAATAATATTGCTTGTAGCACTAAGTTCAAGGACATGACAGACAGTCAGCTTGAAATAAAATCCATGCATATTCATGCAATGGCACAAGGCTAACAGTAGTAAGTATCTACATCTAGATCATGTTCAACTAGAAAGATGAACATGACAACATTGGGCTTCATGCTGTTTGCACATAAACCGTATTGGTTACTTCTATAATTAAAGGTATTAATAAGGAGTTTGCATTCAGCCACAAGCATTAGTGAGATCAGGTACTGATGTTTGATTAATAATTTTGGATCACAAACGACACTAAAGATACATCTTCAGTACCTTTAGGTAGAAAACATAATTATACCATAATTCATTGCAATTCTTTATTTTAAACTGTAATGACTCTATACACCTTACCCTGGCCCTAGGCTTAGTATTTTGTTGTTCTGTTTCTCTGGAAAAGCCTTACTGAAGATTTATATTTGAACCTTAAGAAATTGTTGTACCTTTGAGGGTACATTTACATTGTTTGTACCTTGATTAACAAAAATGTACCTGCATAGTAACTACCTTTTTTTCCAGACAGTGCAGAAACTACTTTTCAGACAAAATATGCTACACTTAAAATGTGTTACATTTAAAAACTGTTATCCAAAACTATAAGAACTTATTATGCTTTCCTTGAAACGAATCATGTAGTAGGTCAGTGTTCTTTAGTACTGACAATATCCGCAATATGCTCAGAAAAGAATTTTATTACAATAACAACAGAATATCCCAAAGCCAAAACTGGGAGCTTTACACCCCTCTACTGACGCTTGGCCTTGCATCTGCTTCAGACATTCCTATTCACTTGGCAATATATAAGCTTTGTGTACACAACTAAATTAAATGTCTGTACCAGTTGTGGGCGCCCCTTAAAATAGCTAAGTTCACTGATTACAAGGGTGCATGAACATATTTGGACATATAGTGTACTCCACTGTTGTTCATTGCACTAAGTTGTAGCTTAAGTCACTGATGAAGAACAGAGCACAGAGACAGTTCTGCCAGTGGAAGACCTGTCACATCAGTGTGTATCTTACAGTATTTTACATTTTATAATTTATGCACATATTTTGGTTATTTCTACCTCCACAGCTCCGCCCTAAATAATGTGTTATTACAATGAAAAAGAGAAATCCTCATCCATTGTGAAGCACCACACTGTCAGTTAAACACTAAACACAAAACTAAACACACGTATACGCAGCCACTATGCAAAACAGAGTGTAGGCATTGTTAGGGATGAGCGGATGGATACTGAAGTCACACCACTTCTAATCCTGATGTTTCTTTTTGAGAATCGATCCTTACATGATAATTGATATTAGTTGTTGTTTTTAAGCAGCAAAATAAATATTCATCATTATTATTAGAAACTGATGGCAAAAAAATAAAAAATAAAATCACTGCATATAAGTGCGTAGTATACATTCTGAGGAAAAAAGAGTCAGCTGTCACTGAGACGGTGCTCTTCTTTTCATCTTCAGTACCTTTAGCTGGGGAACATAACTATCACAATCCATTGCGATTCTTTGTTTTAAACTGCACTGACTCTGTACATCTCATCTTTTCTGCAGGCTTTTCATTTTATTGTTCTGTTTTTAAACAATTATGCTATAAAAGTTTCAAATATGCACCTTTTCCCTGGAGAAAAAAAACTTAATTAAGGTACACAGTTGGACCTTAAGACGTTATTGTAGCTTTAAGGGGACAGTTTGTACCTCGATTAACAAAAATGTACCTGCACAGTAACTACCTTTTCTCTGACAGTGTTGGAACTACTTTTGAGTACTGAATTAGATATAATGAAAAAAGTTGTACATTTATGAAGAAACCTAACAAACGGGGGAAAAACTGTATATGTTAATGACAAAGTACCTTCTAAACTAACTACGCTCCATTTCCCCCCTGCTTATTTTCTTTCTATTTATTTATTCATCGGTGTTTGCCTCACCTTGCGTCCTTTCAACATGTTTGTTGTAATGCCACTTGTGTAGTATCACTTGTTTTATCTTTTCATTCCTTGATGTATTTTTATTGACTAATGTTCCTCTTTTTTGCACTGTAAGTTTTGTTGACTCTGTTCATCTAATATTAATGCAAACGTTGCAAATATAATTCTATACTACCTCTCACTGTAGAAATCACAAAGAAAGATCACAAAGCGTTTTAAAAGTATCAGTCAGTGTTAATATCGGGATATTAGCTTTGGTGCTACTTATCAGACCGAAATGTGACTGAATCGTCCCTGACTTCAGTCAATCAGGCGAGGAGCCCAGTCGAGCACTGAGCGCTGTGTCAGGTGTGTCAGCTGTGTAAACAGTAACTGAAACAGTCATCTTACCTGACACACTGTGTCAGCTCGACCTGAGAGGATCACCTTTCAGGAGATATGAGAACGACTCTGAGACCACCAGAGTAAACACAGCTTTCAGACTGTTGTAACAGCCGTTCACTAACAAAGCAGACAGACTGAGCGACCCTGTAGGACTCACCTCTTCTTGATGGTGGGGAAGCGGTCGCTCCAGTTGAAATGTGTATTACACCCCCTGCTGGACTGGAGTGTGAATGAAGACACCAGCAGTTGCTCCAACGTTTATCTTTATCCGAGTCATTAGGTACGGAGCCCCGTAGGGGTCACTAACGAGAAAAAAAATGTGAGGTGGAAAATCTGTCCCCGCAGTTTAGTAATCCGTACTCGCAGTTTATAAACTGTGCCCACGGAGCTGTAAACTTTACTCTCGGTTAGCTAAACTGTACCGATGGGTTTGTAAACTGTACTCTCGAATTTTATTTCCGTGGCCTCTTTCATCAGTTTTCCTAATTTTAGAAACTCTGCCCACAGTTTAGTTAGCTAACGTTAACTGTGCAAAGCACACGCTAACCTACCTCCCCCAGCTACGGTACAGGCCACATATAACTATTTTGAGAAAATGGAGAATTTTTTTGACATTTCTCAAAGAGCAAGCAGGGACGACACAACTGTGTCGACCTTTCGTGATGAAAAGATAAATTTTAGCAAGTAACGTTAACGTGAAATAAAGCATACATTACCAGAAAGTGGGTAGGTTATGTAACGGTGCTGTACCTTTCACATACACCCTTATCAATGGCTTTAACATTTAATGAAATTACACTTTAACCTTACTGCTCAGTTGGAGTGTTTTGTAGAAATGTATTATGTGAATGCACTCGTTTTTGCCTTTATTATCCCACCACGCCGCCAGCGACGACTGAATGGAGTCTCAGCCCGGAGAGCAGATTGCGTGTTTAAAAGGAATAACGTTAAGCTAAATCCTGTCTATGCAAGAATTGCTGGGTATTTATAGCCCGGTGAACAGTCGACGTTGAAATCGCGTAAATGAGCGTCATTTCAATGCAGTACATTTTACAAATCCATCGGTACAGTTTTGCTAATCGAGAGTACAGTTTACAAACCCGTGGGCACAGTTTATAAACTGAGAGTATTACTAAACTGCGGGGACAGATTTTCCTCGCAATTTTTTTTTCTCGTTAGTGACCCCTTAATAATCACTGCATCGCCTATTGAAGTGCTGCTGTTTTTCAGAATATGTTGTAGATGGTTCTATATAGAACCTTTCTGAAAAGGGTTCTATGTAGCACCAAAAAGGGCTCTTCTATTGTTACGATGTCAAGCTCTTAACAATAGAAGCATCCTTCTGGGTGCTATATAGAACACTTTTCAGAAAGGTTCTATATAGAACCATCTACAACACATTCTCCATCAATCTGAAGAACACTTTCACGATACAAAAGCCCTTTAATCATGCAAAGGATTCTTTGAGTGTTAATGGTTCTTTATAGAACCTTTTACTAAAGAACACTTGAAGAACCATTCTTTTTAAGAGTGTTGTTTTGAAATTTATTTTATTTTTATTTTTATTTTTTTTATAAGGTATCATGTCAATTAATGCTACTATATTTGTCTTATTGTCCTATTTGGCTTGTTTTTTTGGGGTTTTTTTTTTGTTTTTTTTTCATCCCTACAAGTGTATTTTGCCACTTGCACATACTGTTATTCTATAAAGCTATTTATTCAACATGGCTTGCCTGGTTAAATAAACTTTAAATAAAAATGAAAAACATCGTTATTTCTTGGCTTGTATTTCTGTTCTGTGATGTGGTAGCTTCACATAATTGCAGCAATGATTGTATTATGTATGTGGAAAATGTAATGTAGTGGAAAGATTGTACGATTTTAAATTGTATGTGACTTTGAAATTCAATGAAACTCTTTATAACCTCAAACAGGCTCCGGCCCTTCCTTTACTCTCCTAACTCTGCTGCCACGTCAGTTATTACATTCCAGATGTTGATTTGGCCTTCCTCATAGGGATCAACTCTCTCTCACTGCAGTGCTTGCTTAGCTGTTTGATCAGCACTCGTGTTTCCCTCCACTCCCTGATGTGATGGAATCCAGATGAACTTCACTGTAATCCTGAATGCCTCTATCCCTGCAGACTTGTGCAAAACTTCATTCAAAACATCCTGCCTGCCTGAAAGTTGATCAGTGACTCTTTTCATCCCTTTATCCTTAATTTATGAACTACAAATGCTGATTCCACATGACCTGACCGTTGGTGTTTTGATAGTACACACTGTAGTACACACTAATGCACCTCCAGTTAAGTGTCTGCTATGAAGAAGCATACTGGTTGCTGATCCTGGTCTAATATCAGAATTTACTGTTAGAAATTCTCAGCAACACATCATCTTAATGTCACTATGATCATAATTGTATATAAAAGAATTCATTATTAAATATGAATGTGTTCACACAATTTAACAAATTACAAATCAGTTTAGGGCTGAAACTGATGTTTCCACTAGAGGGCATCAGACACCACACATACCTGCTGGGGGAAACATTGCAGACCAGGTGGATTCAGGGACAACAGAAGTTTTTCTGTATATTTTTCCTTGTTTATGTCGAGCTATGTAATGGGATGAGTCTTAAATCCGTGTTTCTAATTTTCTTCCAGACAGGAGACGAATACTAAAAATACATTAAGGACGGAATACGAAGTTGCTCAGAGGTGTGTTTATTGCATGTCCTGAATGTAGGCTAGGCTATGTTTAGGCATTTGCCTCTTAACTCTTAAAGTAGAAACTGTGCTGTGGTTGAACATAGGTCTACTGCTGCTGATAGTCACTGATTATCTGCAGACAAAACACTGTCAGAAGGATTAAAAGACCCAGTAAGTAAGTTACTCTTCATGGATCAACTGAATTAGATTATTTTTTATTTGCTAGCACAAGCCTGATTGTAGTACTGCTCCGTAGTAAATAACATCCTATGCTTTATGACGCATTTGCCAGACCAGAGACTCCAAATACAGTCACTCATCACATCGACCACTAACCAGGCTGGCCTAGACTTTAATGTCAGAAGGACCCAGAGTTTGGTAATGTACTTTGTGTTAGATGCCTATTTGAGTGAGCTTTGCATACACAGTTATGCAGGCTGTGCATACTGGTTTATGTAAAAAAAATAAAAAATTCGGACAAAAATTGCTTCCTGACAAACGCTTTTTGCATAAGTATGCAATCCTTGTGCTGTGAAAGCTCAGAGTTTACATAGATCAAAGATATTGCCCTAACAAGGACACAATTGGCCTACTAATGGCCTCTAACTGTGAATTATTGAAAAACTTTCTGGATAAAAGCTTCTCCTAATTCAATTACTATGGGTCAGACTGTGAATCTGATGGAAAGCTGTGAAAATGATGACCAAAAAGCATTCTAGGGAAACAAAGTTAAAGACACAAACAAGACAGGAAAAAGCCACAAAACAATATCCAAGTGTTTGGATATCCCAGCAAGGACTATTGAATCAATTGTGTGGAAATGGAAGCAGCGTCATACCACCCAGGCACTGCCTAGACAAGGCCGTCCTTCAAAACTAAGTATCAGAGTAAGAATAGGACTTGGGAGGGAAGCCAGAGAGGCCAAAAAATCACACTGAAGGAGCTACAGAGTTCAGGGACTGGCGTAAAGGGGCACCACTCAACTACATCAAGAGCTCTGCATACAACGGGCCTGTATGGGAGGGTGGCTTGAAAGAAGAAAAATCTAAATGCTATCTGTGGCACAATCCTAACACTGCCCATTCCTCAACAAACACCATCCCAACAGTGAAGCATGGGGGTGGCAGAATCATGTTGTGCAGTTGCTTTTTCTCAGCAAGGACAGGGCATCTTGTTGAAACTGAGGAACAGATGGATGGTGGAAAATACAGGGAGATACTGCAAGACAACCTGCTTCAGTCTGTAATATTAAAGCTTGGGAGAAACTTCACCTTTCAGCAGGACAATGATCCAAAACACAAGGCTAAAACAACATGGGTGCTTGAACAGCAAAAAGGTGAATGGTTGAGAGCATATTGATCAGTTTCATTTGCAATCCAGACAAATTTGATGACTTTTGAGGGGGTTGAATACTTTTACAAGGCACCATATATGCTTTATGTGTACATTTTCTCAAAAGGGACTAATCCTTTTTCACTCTTTTGCTCTGACTCATAGTTTGATTTTTTTGAACATGGGGAACTTGACTAATTAAGCACAATATACATAAAGAAGTAAAACTGTAAATAGGCAAACATTAGATCTCTAAAGTAAACTTTCTTCCAGAATGTCTGTATCTCTGTGTATACACAGAATCTCTTCATCCTGTGCTGTTGGAGGAAGCAGTAAAATTTCCGTAATTTTTGTGAGTGAGGCATTACTGTTCTTATTTAGAAAAAGAAATTTAAAGAAAGAGGGTTAATCACTTCTGAGAAAATATAGAACAAAGGCTTATAAATGGATTTTTCATGAAGCCATTTTGAACTTACGGTGTAGCTTCAAGTATTGCACAAATAAATCATTCATAGGTTTGAAAAAAATGCAAGAATATGTAGTGACATTAAATAAAATCTAACATAATCTGTACATTCCCCAATATTTTAATGTGTTGTGGGCATTTTTTAATATCAAACCAGGGAAATATTGTGTTGTATTTATATCCAGTTAATATTTCAGCTAAGTTCAGTCATGACTGTAAGCCTATAAGCAGCATTTATCTCAATATTTAAGGTGTGATTTAAAACCTGTCGATACAAACTTTAAAATGTAACTAAAAAAGGAACTAGAGTGCAGCTTTAAAATTTGGCATGGTTGCCAAGTCTTCGGCTGATTTTTTCATGAGAATTCTGTTGTGACCAGACAGGATCTAGGTGAGTTGAAAATGATCAGCATTTATGCTGATCATTCGCATATTGGAGAAAATCAGAGATAGTATAGATGTCTCTGCAGTGTACTCACAGAGAGACAAATTGAGTATTATTGCCTCTGGTTTTGAGAATTTGTGATACAATGCTTTCATCATGTATAGAATCAAATCACAAAGGAAAAATTGTATTATGCAGGTTATTTTGCTTCCTAAGTGAAAGAAATCTTGGAAGGCATCTGTTTCTCTCATGTAAGTGATTACAATTTTGTTTCCTTTTTTTTTTGGTTGAAACAGGCGCATTTTTGCCACCAGTTTTGGTCTAATCTCTGGCTTCATAGTCTTGGATATTTGGTGCATGTGAAATGTTAACACACCCTTACTGACGCAGACAGTTCAGGCAGCAGTAAAAAGCCTATTTCAGGTTGGGTGACTGACAGCATGACAGATGCCCAAGGTCTCTATGAGGCTTATATCTACATGGCCTTAGGCTTCCTGGTGGGAAAGGGCTGAGGGGGAAGGGACTGAAAGGTTTAGGAGTGGTGGTAGTGAGGAAAGATGGGAAAGAACACGTGGGGAAGGCCTTTGTTCAAAACTTTTTTAGCTTAGGTTTGCTGACAGCATGCCACTGCAACTGTGATAAGACATTTTGGGTGTATTTACGGTTGTGCTTAGTAGAAAAAAGTCTGAGCAACAGTATAATAGAAAGAACAATGGTGAAGACTACACTTGTCAGGTATCTTTAATAAGTCAACACTACTAAAGCAAACTGATGGGACTCTATGATTAAGAGATGATGGACATTATACTTGCTATTCAAAGGCTATCCTAAAAACCCATGCTATACTCTCCATTTCGAAACAGAAACAACCGGAAAAGAGGAAATTGTGCGTGCCTCCACACCAGGAAATGGACATAGTATTTATATCACCATTGGGATAGGATTTCTGGCACCAAAAAACTGTGGCACTTGCTATTTTGGTCAAAGGGTACCACGTTACAGCCAGGGGTTAGGTGTCTCAGTGCTTGTGCTTTGCAGACCTCATTCACTCCAGGCTGTTAAAATATCCCCAGACTGACAGACTACTAAAGCTGGTGACTTGCCAAACTTGTGTCCTAGATGCTGAATTCAGAACCCTACTTGAGATGATTGTTTTACATGGGGCTGTCAGCCATCACATTACTATCACAACATCAAAGGAAGAGGATGTTGCCTAGCAGAATGCTTAAGATACATCTCAAGGTGTTATGAGAGCTATTTCGATAGATGCAGGCAGAAAATGCTTTTGACTGGACAATATAAATGTGACATGATGAACAATCAAGGAAAGAAAAGTGGGGTGTTGTACTCATTTTATTTGTGTCGACCTGATAAAAGAGCCATTGCATTTGAGATATTATTACTAGGAAATAGCGGTTGTAAAGGCTTTTCTTCAATGATATGTCTCACCTCAGTACAACCAGTTAGAGGGAGTTTGAAATGCTTGTCTTATTAATACAAGTCAACTATTTTCTTAAATAAGAGTCAGGAAAAGTATAACAAATGATTTCAGTGAAATTGTCAGCACTACAGCATTTGGGTAAGGTTTGAAAAAAAAAACTTGGCCTCACATATAGGAAACATCTAAAAAGCATGAGGAGAAGTAACACGGCAGTTTTCAGGTACAAAGAACACAAATCTGATCATAGATTTGTGAACACAGCCTTTGGCATGAATCATGAAAAACGGCTCCTGCATTTCATGATTCAAGGAGGAAATATACACAGATATGCTTGATAAGATGATTACAGAAAACTTGTGATTTAAACAAAACAGTATGCCACATTGCAACTTAACAAACTGAGTTAGATTAACAGTCATTGTTGGTATGTACAAAGGTAATCAGGAAGAGATGAGGCAACATTTAGCTTGGAAAGCACTGTTGTCAGTTAGCCCGTGTGCCACACAAATGAATCATATTTTCTCACTCGTTCTCACATGATGACTGTCTCTGTATGAAAGGAGGAGTAGGTGAATGTTTGCCGTGGGGTGGCGATTGTGGGTTGTGCTGTTGGTGAGGGTGAGGGAGAGGATGTAGATGAGGTGGAGGAAGAGCGGTTAGCCCAGCGCGAGGGCGGACGTCTTTTTGCAGGACAAGCTGGCCGCGAGAAGCTCTTCTTGGCACTTACTGTGGACTCTTTGCTTTGCTGTAGAGACAAACAATTTGAAGAAATCTTATTGTTTTGCATGTATGGTTTAAAGTGGCACTCCAGCCAAAAAGAAAACTAATTCTGGCTACATTTGCTGTAAACTCTGATAATGCATCCTGAAGGTAGGAGGAACTTTTAAAAAACTAAAACTCCTTTGGCCTGTTTGAAATGCTTCTTGTTCATTAGCTGAATGCAAAAAAAAGTTAAAGTTGTTGCTATGAAGTCGAGTATCTTATTGCAACTGTCTTTAAAGAATCATTACAATGGATTAAAATGCAAACTTTGGGCCAAGATGCCCCTTTGAGTTCCAAACTGTAACCTGTCTTCTGTCAATAATTAACTATATATTCCAGCATTTTGGGCTTTCACAAAAAATGCAGATACAGACTTGTTTGCACTGAATGTCCTCTACTGAGAAAGCTTAGATAAAGAAACTTAATCGAGTCTTAGTGTTTTGATATACATCAGAGTGACCTATTTGCTAGTAGTCTGTAATCTACAAAAGAAACCTGCGACAAGGGTTGTTTCTCTGCTGGCCGTACGTAGATAGTTCCGTAATTGCACCACAAGGCCTGCCTCCTGTCTAAAAGCAGCTTCCAACAGAGCCAAAGATGAAAGGTTTGGATTTAAGACCGGGCAACAGTGCCAAAATTCTGTGCCACTAGTTTTTCAATTTGAGGGACTTGAAGAAAATGCTTCACCTCTTTAAAAAGAAGGTGCATTCATTTTCTGCACATACCAGAACTGAATAGTTCCTAACAGTGATGTGCTTGGCACTGTGCAATCTGGAAATATTTTTAATGGAATTCAGTATAAGGAATTTTAATTGTGCTCTTTTAAAGGTTTTGTGGAGTCAGGGTATTTTCCCTGATAAATTCTAAATATTTCCAGATGCATGAAAGAACCTTCACTGCAGCGCTGAAAAATAAAAAGTATACAAAATATTTTCTATTATGCTGCTTCTCCAGAGAATGATAAAGACTTGGAGACTGGTGAATTGACTGAGCATCTCTGTATTTGTGTGTATGCAGAGCATACATAGAACAGACATCTACACCTCCACCTCATATACTACTCCTCCCTCATGTGAACTATCTTCTGTGTATTTGGGTGTTCCAGTCTCAGGTAATGATACCAGTGTGACTGTATGAGGTTGTGACAATGTTTCTAGGCATGTTTTTCTATGCACTGGGGTACTGACCTTCACTGTTACATGTGCCTCTTTGTGGGTTACAGCCTGGTGGTGAGGTGTATGTGCAAGTCTTTGACTGGATCTAGACTGATGCTGTATTTCCAGCATATCCAACAGCTCTATGAGGTCCTCCTCCTTCCCTGGACTGGACTGTAAGTATGTGTCTTGTTGGGATCTTCCCATATTTTCATAACTCTTCAAAATTCTCTCCACTGCTCCATAATTGGAGCGGGACTCTACTGGTCGAGGGTAAGCAGCCAGAGTCATAGGTTTCCAAGGATTTTCATCTAAAACTCTTGACCTGGTGGACATGTCCTGCTTTGGACGTTCAGGCTGTTTAGACTTTGTTTCAGCAGGATGGGGATCTGAACCAACAGACTTTCCTTTACTCGGCTTATCTGTCTGATGTTTCAGCTGTGATGGACTTGCATCTAAATCAGTTTGACTGATTCTCAGACCTGGATCACACTGAGTGGTGGATGTCCTGTTCTGCAGGCGCAAAGCCTTCAGTTCCTTGTCTTCTGTGTGCGCTGGCAGGCGTACAAAGTCCTCATGCTTCACTACTGGATGCTCTGATAGGTCTGAAGTTACTTTCTTCAGTTTAACATCCTGCTGCTGAGGTGGAAGGTCAGAAATAGAGTCTCTAGTTTGGTGCTTTAACTGTGGTGATGTCTGAGGAGCAGTCTCTCCACATTTGCCCTTTGGATGCTGTACCACAAGATCAGATTGCACATCAGTTGGATTGTCCTCAATATAGGAAGATGGAACGGCAGTAGTACTGCCAAATGTACAGTGCACATCTGTGGAGCCAAGACTGTCCTCATTGTACTGAAAACCCATGCCTGCCTGGAAGAGCATACGGTTGAATTCAGCCGTTTTCCGTTCTAATGTCTCATTTCTTCGAGACACTTTGGTATTGATGCAAGGCATGGTTATGTCCAGAGTCTGCGCAGAGTCTGTAGCCGTGCCCTTGTGTGAGGAGTCTGTGAGATGATGCTCTCCCCTTAGGTTTTGTTTATTCTCTGCATCCGTTTGGTTTTGACCGCACTCAGCCCCTGCAGCCGCTATGTTAACATCTGAGAGGCATTTTTGGACAGGCACATATGTGGATGACTTGCTGCTGCCAAACCTGCTTCCATCACAGGACCATCGGCTCTGGCAGCAGCTGATATTGCACTTGGAATCAAGAGGCACTGAGCAGGACACGATCCCAGAGTCTGTCAGAATCTTTCCCTCGTTCTCTTGCAGCATTGCCTCAAATTTACGGACTATGGAGGGGCTGTTGCACTTTCTGTGAATGCAAGGGCTTTGACACCTTCTGTCTATGAGTGGTTCTGGGGCACTGGGCTCTATTTCTTTGGCAGGGGGACTGTTCAGGTACCAAGATGTGCTCCGGACAGGGATGGGAGGTGCTTGTCTTCTCTTCATAGGCAGCTTAGTGTCACTCTCAGTCCTGCTGGATTCCTTTTTGATGTCCTCCCAGTTGATCCATTTTGGGTTGTCAAGGGCTTTGCACCACTCATTCAAGCTGAAATCTGCGGTTCCCGTTTCCAATTCATCCTTCTCTGCCACCCCAATCTCTTCTGGAAAGAACACTGACTCAGTGCGGCTTCTGAAGTAGAAAATAAAAGACAAAAGACCATTACCCCATGAAGTGTGTGCAGAATATTCCCAATGTGTGAAAAACTGCTGGAGATTATAAGCAATTACCTCTTGACATCAGACCTCTTTCTGATCTGATCCTGGTAGCTGCACAGTTCCTCACTTACCCTTGCTATTTCTTTAAGAGCCTACGATAAACGAAATGTCACAGGGTTGGTTAGTATTATAGCAAAGAACCTTTCGGTCACAAATAAAACTTGAGCAAAAGGATAGTACAGTGATAAAGGAAAAGATGCAGCAATGCAGAGATGGTCAGACTAAGCAGGGCCAGGAAACCAAATATTACATTCAATATGTCCCAATATTGCAAGCCAAGAAACTCACAGCATTGAGGGCCATTGTGTTCTTTTTTTTATCACTTGCACAGCTGATGTCCATGCTCTGAAACCTTCTGAAGGGGCTGACGAGATCCTCTTGTCCTATAGACATAGGCTCATTCCCAAGTCCTTTACTGAGACACCCATGCAGAATGTCCTCCAGCTCTGCAGTATTAATGGCCCCGAGCTCCCCGTGCTCATACTTCCCAGAACTGCGCTGCTTTGATGGTTCAGTCTGAATACTGCAGCGCTGGTCACTGGGTTCACTGCAGTTATGACTGGAGTCAGTGCTGCTATGGCTGTGCTGGGTGAGAGGCTCAGAGTAGCTGCTGCCATGGGCCTCTGAGGGGTCAGTTAGAGAACTAGACACAGTGCTGGGGGAACGTGTACTGAGCCTTATAGCACGCCTTTGTACGTCAGCATTTGGTCCAACAGCACCTCTCTCCCGATGGGCCTTCACTTCACTATACAGCTGAAACAGACAAGTAGACATAAAGAAACTCACGCACAGGCTCAGCAATATCTCAAGATTATCACTTGCAAACACAATGTAGAATGTCTCCTAGTGTATGTGCTCACAAATCCAAGGCAAAGTGAATTACTGCTTTCTTTCGCTTTTCATCTGTTCTTTTGTTGGCTTTGAATTTGTATTTGAGGCCAAATGCTCACATGTTTTTTCAGAGCATATTGTTCCAGTGGTTTAGTTCCCAATCCGGTTCTTTTATGTCATTAAAAAGCTAATCTCTTTTCCAAAGAGTGTCAGATTTAAATCCATTCTGCCAGATCTCCCCAGGGGTTCAGTAATTCCATCTCCCCCTTTTTTTCACCGCCCACTAACAGCCCAAGACTGCAGCAGAGCATGTCTCAGATCAGTCATACAGGAACTAAAAAATGGCAACAAAGTTCTTCCTATTTTGTGTATTCTGGTTTAGCTGGTTTAGTAGTCCTACAATGGAATGTCTACCTCTGATGCTGTAGTTCTTACTACTTTTAACTACTTAGACAAAAGCTCAAATACATTAACATATTCTAAAAAGCAATATTTTCAAAAGGACTTCTATATATTCAAGGACTTCTGAAAGCCAATAATTAGATGGATCTAGTGGGGTAGATTAGGGTTGAAGCTAAAGTCTGCATGAATGCAGATCTCCAGGAACAGTGTTGGTGACCACTGATGCACATTATGTGTCTTCACCTCTCTGACTTCAGACATTCCTGAACTCAGCTCTACTTGGAGATCTATCATCAGCAATCAAGCAATGAGTTTCGAATAAACAGACAGCTGTTTGTTTGTTTAGATGACTTTTAGGGTGTGGCAGACTGTATCCTGGGCTTGGCGTCCATCTGCAGACTCACCTCCTCAATTTTGCATTGCATGTCCCTGAGCTGGCTCTCCCACTCCTTCCTCTCCAAGTCAAATCGTTCCAGCAGCTCGGATTTCTCCCTCATCCAGCTCCTCTCACTATGCTCCAGGCGGCAGCGCAGGTCCATTGCTGCAGTATGGGTGTCTGCCAGCAGCCTCTTCTGCTCCTCACGCTCCCTCCTCAGCGTGTCTCCAGTCTCGGAATTCTTCACCGTTCCCACCACTGTACTATGTCCTTTGGCCTCCAACTGCAGAGGGGAAGGGTCAAGTATTTGTTAAATGCCACAGGAGAACAAGGGTGTGTGAAGGATATTTCGAGGAAAAAGCTAAAACAGTTTTTGAAGAGAAGTGGAAGTAAAGGGGTTAGAAGGACAGGAAAATTCTGGATGGCTGGCATGTTCAGAGGATATAACAAACTATCTGTCTTCACGCTCATCCCATAGAACATTTAACCAAAGCCTACTCACACATACTGGTGAATAGGTGCGGAAAGATTGCATATGCCGTAGAGAGGCCACAAGGGCATGGTGGCCTCCACGACACTTAGTGAGCACTGACACAACGCACACTACTTGTAACTGGGCCTGCAAAACTTTCTAGAAGAAGAAGATCCATGTCACAAGACAGATACAGACTTGGCAATGATGCTTGCATCTGATGCACTTTCACGTTAGTAAAAAGAGAAGTTTGATTGGTTTTAGGAACCAACTACAGGTGCAAGATGTCAGATTAGCAATGTTTCATTGCAGCGTGTTTTGGGACACCTCTGCATAACATAAAACTGTAGAGATGTAAACAAAGTCATTCAGAGTGGTTCACTGTAGAGAAACATATCAACTCAGAATTCTTTACAGTGATGATGATAGAACCCAGGGGTTTGAGTGTTAAGTAAGGCATCCAATAAAGCCATTTTATTTACTATCCAAAATGACCAGTGAACCTAAACATATTTTTTGAGTTTTTATAAGTTTTTGTAATATTGATAATGGTATATTTGTGGTTAATCAAATAAATAAATAAATAAAAGGGGACTATTCTGCCTTACTGTATGTATCACTCCACAATGAATGTATTTAAAAAAGGTTTTAGTCCAAAACTTTTAAATATGCATTTTCTGCATATTTAGCCTATTTATTTTGGTTTAGGCATTTGAGTTCATTCAGAAGTGAACAACAGCGTGGTAATTTATGGGCATACCTCTGGTAGTGATATAAATCATGACGTTGTGTCTGTAGCAATGGCAGGTGTTTAAACAGCCTGGTTCTTTGACTTGGTTTACATATCCCATTGAGTGGCCTCTTAAAATGGAAACCCTGCATTCCTGTCAAGAATCCTGTGTAGCTCTCCTCAACACTGAAACCAATTTCATCACCTACCACTACTGTGTCAAGATACACGTCTTGAAAAGCTGTTGATAGCTTCATTGGCAACCTTGTATAAGGGCTTTTTCTTGAATGCAGCTTCAAGGATTTACTAAGCACTGGGATGAAATGATAGATGCAACTTGTTTTAAAGTTTGAAGTACAATATAATTAATTTACTTTTCAAGTTATTAAATATACCAAGCTTTATTCCATGTACTATGTAGTTACTTGCAGGTTATCCCAGACAAAAATATCATAGTGAGGATAATGATTTTGGCTTTGTCCAAAAGTTATGGCATTATAGTTACAACAAGTCACAACCCTTTCATATGTTATTTATTTATTGCTTGTTTGTTTCAGTCTTTTTGTGTCAGGTAAACACATATTGAGCAATCCACCATCTGCCCCAAAGCACAAACACAGACAGAAATAGGACAGCTCTTCATAGCAACAAAACCAGATTCAAATATGGCCTGTATAAACAATGAACCACTGGACCACAAAAAAGGTTAGGACATGGTCATTATATGCATTATATTGGCACAGTGCAAACCCAGGGCATGTGAAACGCTGCACTATTTATTTTGCGCCATGTGATCAGGTTTGAGGGAAACAGTCTGCTGCTTTAAAGCTCAGTTTAAAATATGATCATTGCTGTGGCTGTGTGACTGAGGCTCTGTCTCTGGGTAAGAGTGTCACAGAGGCAGTCCTCTATAAATAGACAGCAAGACCAATGCTTTAGCATCTCACATTCCTAAGGGTGGGGGCACAGGGACACACAGAGTATACCACTTCTGCTCTAAAAATCAAAATATGCAGGGAAATATACTGGCAAATACCCGGCCACAAAAGCCTGGTGGTAAACCCGGGACGTCCTCTGGGCCTGCAGTATAAGCTGTGGTAGGATGTGGATTGTAGAGAAAACAGCTTTTACAGTTTCATTTGACTCCTCCCTGGATTCTATTCTCCATGCCAACCAATACTTCGGCTTGGTTTGTGTGACTAAATGCAGATTTTTTCCACTGTTCTTTGAGAGAAACAAGTGCAGCTGTGGTGTTGTGAGTGAACTGATTGGCTAGGCAAACAGAAAATTACTGACTTGAAGCAAAACACTTGCAGTCCATTCGTCTAGATGCAGAAATCTTGATTAAAAGTTATCTCTGATAAACATCCATTTATAAATGATACAGCTAAGCTTTTGTAGCATCTTGGCTGCAACATTAGAGAACTGTCTGGAGTCAAGGTCCAAGCCCAGTATGAACTATCCAGACAAATCTGTATCTAATATCACAGCACTTCCTGCCTGAGGTACATACACCCCTACAGCATTCCACAGCACCACTCCTCTCCATCTCCTTTGCCCTGCAGTCTACTACTGTATTAGGAAGGCCTTCCAGTGACTCACTCTGAGCGTAATGCATAAACTACCGGTGGGGATTAAACCAGCTCCCGTTAAAAACGATAAACACACTAGACAGTCTGGACCGTGTCTTTATAAGGGTGTCACAGACAGGAGTTCTGAGAGAGCAAGACCAATCAATAAGCTGTAGAAGTTTAAACAGACATAGGAAAGAAGGCAAACAGAGCGGACGTCTGAAATAGCACCCTGCTTTTCTGAAGTCTTTTTGTAAAATCTAAATTAGGGATGGCTCTGTGAGCATGGCCGCACAATAATCAAGAGCATATTTGACCCAGTTTGCAGAAAAATGCAAATACCAATAGTGACTGGTAATACCAATGTATTACTAATAGTAACATATTGCAGAAGTACCAACGTCCTACAAACTAGAAGCTACTTGTAACATACAAACTGTTGTGGGTCGGGTTCATTCTGGGTCAAATGTCAGTAACACTTTTAAACATGTAGACTACCACTGGGATGAATTCAGGTCACATGGGACATAAGGTCACATGGGACGCATGTCACAGACCCTGAATGGACCTTTCATTTGCTTTCCCCTTACAAATTACCTTTAATTTAATAAGCCCATTTACAGCATATTCTCCAGCTCATTTACAAAGAATATACCAGGAAACATAGGCTGAAATTGGAACACAGGGGATTTTCTTACATTGTCAGAAAATACCAGAATCCAGCCTATCAGAGGGTTGTGAGTGATCTCTGTTGGCTGATGTTCGAATTAACAGACAGCAAACAATTTCATGTCTTAATAAACAGGTTTTAGGCACTTAGAAAAGGGTAAAACTTTATTTTGATGGTGCACTGATTCTTTGTAGATGCTCAGTTTATTTTTAACTAACATTTAACTAAACATCTATCAACTGAAAAGATTCTATTTAATCTGTCCCTAACCCTAACCTAACCTAATCCTAACCCTAACTTCAAGGCAAAACCTACACCTACTTCTCAACCTAACCCTAACTTAAATGTTGTTGATAATCAACTGAGTATCACCAGAATGTTAATAATATAAGTATCTGTAGATCATCTATAGGAGACAATCCAAATAAAGTGTGACAGAAAAAAAAGTAATATGTTGAATTTACATGATTCAAAAATGTACATTATTTAAACAAGAATAAAACATATCACATCAACACAATTCCCTTCTGACTGTAACTGATATATTTTATTAAAGTGGAAATGATACACAGGGTTTAACCAAGTCAATCCAATGCATTATTGTTATTATCCGCCTCGCCCACCCCCGACTCCCCAGTGCAGCCACGGTACGGTACCTGCGCGATCCTGCATTTCAGGTCTGCTCTCTCCAGCTCCCAGGCGCAGCGGTCCTTCGTGTACTGCAGCTGCAGCTCGCTCCGTCTGCCTTCTTCCCTTTTCACCTCCAGCTGCACCTCTTCCAAAACCGTCTTCAGGTCCAACAGTATCCTTCGGTTCTCTCCACCCTGTGGAAGGAAAAGCGGATACATTGTTTTAAAAGTTCAAAAGCAACACTGATCGCAGGCTAATCCCTGCGCTGCGCTGCGCTTTCTTTAATAAGCCTGCTTTCATTTCTTTACTTGTATATCAGCCACTTCTCTTAAAAGACCCTCCTTCTCCCTTGCCCACTCGTCCCTCTCCTGGCCGTAGCGCCTCTTCATCTCCTCGAGCTTCTTCTTCAGACGCGCGTGCTGGCTCTGCAGCTCGCGCCACGGGCTCTGCCCTTCGGGGCTGGCCGCAGGTCCGGGTGAAGGCTCGAAGAAGTGAGCTCCGGACGCGGGAGCGGGTCTTGGGCTGCGGCTCCGTCTCCTGCCCCCTTCTCTCTCCGGCCTAGAGCAGGGCACAAACTCCCAGCCCTGCGCTTTGCTCACATAACCCGCTCCTCCTCCTCCTCCCAGCCGAGCCGTTCCCGAACGCGCCCCACATCTCATGCGCTCACAGCTCCACTCCGCACGGCAGGCTGGGTCTCAACGGTGCTCGGCTGCAGTCCTTCATCAGGACCGTGAGCTGCTGCTGCTGGAGCCCGAGTCCGTTTCTCTGCCCCGGCCATGTCACCGCAGCCCGCCGCTCCTCGCAGCCAGGCTTTCTCCTCCACACTCCTCTCACCGCGGCACCAGAGCCTCGCACTGCTGCTAACCGAGTTCACCAGCGTCTTTACTCACATTGTTTTCGTCCTTCTTCTTTCTGTTATTTATTACCCCACATGCTGAAAGACAGCGAGCCTACTCATCCACTCGGTATAGAGAAACTGACACCGGCATACTCGAGTCCTCAGCTCAAAATACTCCGAGCCGCACTGATGCAAGAGTTTGGGTTTATTTTTACTCCGTGGCTGCCTGACGCAGCCCACTCCGCTCCATGACGGGGCAGAGGAGACTTTTGTTTATCACAGGTAGGCCAGACCGAGCACAGAGAGCATCTGCATTAGCAACAGAGCAACGAAACCAGGTCATTCAGAGCTAGAGGACTGTAACCCGGGCTACAAATTAGGTTAATGTAGCACACGGCGGCTATCCGGCTAACCTTCAGTTAACTCTGGAGGCCGCTCCAATAAACACAATGGAAGTGAACGCGGACTTTTATCTCCCTTCCCTAGCCTGGTGCGCGCGCTTAAGGCAGAAGAGTAATGAAAGCTGGACGGGTGCAGAGCGTGCCTTACCTCGGAGCAGTGTGAGAGGTGCTCTGTAGAGCCAGAGGAGCTGAGAGCGGACGGCGAGTGGACAGAGGAGCAGCGCTGAAGTTCATGGGGAGTTTTCAGCCAGTTTTACGCTATGAATGGTGACCGCTGGACTGGCCCGTTTCCGCGCATCTCTCTTCCAGCTGCTTATAACAGCACACATGACGGTCTAGAGCTCGTCTACACACACTCCTCCTGCCCCACAACACACTGCAACCATTACTACAGTCTCCTCAGTCCGCACAGATCCTAACAGGAGCCTGTCTCGACGGATTCAGCCTGAATGCGATTATCCTCTAAACACTCCCTCCTCACAATGCAGGCATTTCTCCCACAAATGTTCCTGCCCATAAAATGGTTCTGGTTACCTTTCAAGGAGTAGAACCACCGACAGTGGACAAATGTTGTTTCTAACAGGGGTGGAGGAAGTACAGAGAAATTATACTTCAGTAAAAGTGTGAGTGCTTTGTCAAAATTGTACTCAATTTAAAGTATGAAGACTCAAGTATACCTGAGTGAAAGTTTAAAAAAAGGTAGGAATGGATCAGTAAGAGAAATGTGAGCTGACGCGGATGTCAAATATTTTTCTTGTACATGATGCCAACACCAATACCGATACAGAAACATTTATGAAATGTAAAAATCGGCACTACATCTACCGAGAGTAAAGAGAAATGCAACATTTATTTTTAGAGGTTTATAAATGCAGATACCTTTAGTACAGCAGCCCAGCGTCACCTAAACGGTATGCTCTTCCGGAGGACAATAATTACATAATCAAATTTTCGATTAAAATATCGGTCAAGTCTAAACATCTGTCTGTTGCTGATAATTTTATAAAAGCAAATATCTGCCTATAATGATATGATATTGTGCATCCCTAAAAAAAGTAGTGGGACTGAAACATATTAGCGTATAAAAGTAAAACTATATAGAAGTAAAAAGCAATGGTATGTGATGCAGCAGCTGATTAACAGTATTAGTCCTCCCATAAAGACAGAGATGTGTGCAGTTTCATTTTAAACTGACTTTAATAAAGAACCACGCACTGAAATGCATTGGCTCGACTGAAAGGAGATCTCATGGTCTTTGAGATTTGTAAACAAAAATGTATGTTTTTTCTCTTGAAATGTAATTGAGTAAAAATACAAGTATTCAGCTTCAATAATACTCACGTATTCATCTTTCAAATCTTTCAAATTCATACTTACAGTATAACAATATACCATTAGATAAGTATTTTCTACCTCCGGTTTCTGGTAACTGAGAAAGAATGTCCTATTTCATCAACATACTACACCTATTCAGTGTTTACCCAGATCACTTGTAGGTTGATTCTAAACATCTACATTCTAAACTACAATGTTGTAATGGATATTTTTTTTACTTACCTCCCTGACAGGCTTTTGTAAAGATGATTTGTAGACATCACTGTTGGTTGAAAGCATGTGTTTGGTTGAGTAACTGTAGTCCATGCGTAAACTGATGAAAAGCCTCCTGTACCTTGTATAACCTTAATGACATATCCAAAATCAATCAAAAAGAAAAATAAAACAAAATAAAACAAAATGTGGCTGTAAAAAAGGGACGGGGGGCTTACAGAACAAAGAAAAGGGTGAAAAGAAAGACCAGTTTGAAAATAGTGGCATATGATAGGGAGGAGAACAAAACAAGAATGAGGATGAGCAAAATGATAGGCTGAAACATCTGGATGAGTGGGTGTGAAAAAAGTACAAAATGAAAAGTAAAGGAAAATTAATTGAATAATGTAAGAACAGAGAAAAAGTGAGATATTGTAGTAAATCAGAGATCATAAACAATGAGCAATTAAACTTTTAGACACTAATCACAAAGTTTTATAAAAATTAGTAATAAAAACAACTTTGAATAGAAAACATTTCAGCATTAAATAACTACATTTGAAGGAAAAATAAACAAAGACACAAGTATTGTTTGATGTTTTGAACATAGGGAAGAATTGGTCTTGCATTTGTTTGAACTTACAGAGAGAGGCTCTTCACTTTCCCGATCTTCTGGTTTAGGAACATCCAAGCGGTCGATAAAGCTCTGAAGCTCTTTCCTGAAAGCTTTCATCTGGGCATTAATACGGTAGAGAAGCTCATGCTCACGTATCCGGCTGCCTTCGTCATCCTCGTCCATCCGGCCAAACAGCTCGCCATTCGTCACATACACCCGCGCTTCAGCAATGATGGTGCTGGTATCAGCAATCAGTCTGTCGATGGTCCTGCTTAAACGCTCTGCCTCCATGCGAATATCAATCATCTGCTGCCGGTCCTTGAGGCTTCGAGATAAAAAACGGCTGTCAGGGGAGTACAGGGAGCGAGTGGGTGTGAGGCATCGGATGTTGCGGACTTCTTCCGAGTCGCTCTCCCCGCCGATTGGGCCTTCTCGCTTGCGGTGAGGTGGGAGGCGTGCGGAGTCGTCATCACTCTCCCTGCGGCCACCATCACTCTCTGCATCACTGTCTCGAGGGCTGGGACTGCATGATATAAACCAAATACCATATTGCAATTATACTGCTAGCCACTGAAATGACAATGTACCTGGCAATATACACTACAGGCCTTTTAAAGCTGAGTACTATCAGCACTGCAATTTATGAAGCAAAATAGTGATTTAATGTATGTCAATGTGATCGCTCAACAATTTCCGAACCCCTTCTTGTGGTACCCCACTATTAATTTTAGTTACTATCCAATAATTGGTTCGGCTATTCAATGCTTCATTAAAATTCAATCCAGTGTGCTGCTCATGGACTGGGGTCACTGAGGAGAAATCTGGAACCAAACGTGTTTGTCTAAACAGCTCACATGATATTTTTTAAAGGAAGGCTTGTTACTGCATTTATGCTCATTTGTATTTATTCTAATGTTATATGGTGTTTTTACATGTAAAATACACACTTACATTATAAATTGCCTTAAACAATTTGCGTAGAAGACTTCACAGATGATGGTGAAACATTTCTGTAAAGATTTGATTGCATTCAGCCAAGGGATGTAATGGTACGTGTATTAGTCCTGAACTGTCATGGTATGGACATTACAGTTCGGTGCATGCAGTCGTACAGAAAATACGCTGTATGTATGAAGACTGATGTATCGCGAAACCAAATTTCACAAGTGCAAGTTCCATCTGGAAACCTTAAGCTGTAGGCCATTCGCAGGTTAGCAGTGGTGGTCCACAGAGGCCCCTTCTTCTGCAGCTAACTTAGCGCCAAATGATCCCATCTAACGAAAATTCATAACTGCAGCAGCATCCTAACTCCTGACCCAACTGTGAGGCTGAGTTTGAGGTGTTTGACCAGTGAGCTAAAGTGAGCAAAAAAAAAACAAAAAACGCTGAAATTAAACAAATGAAACAAGGCAGCTTGCAGTATTTTGCGCCTGTGAAGAAATTTTTGCTTTTTCTGCTCCTAACTACAAAATCACAACTGAAGTTGAACTAACACATTAGTTACACATTAGTGACTTTTTCCATTGAGTGCAAATGACTCTACAGGCTACAGCCAACTACCTCGGGGCGACTATACGACACTATGTGGAACAAACTGTAACTTGCACTTCTGTTCAAAATAAATAAAAAGAAACCTAGCCTTATGCTTTTGGGTGTTTTTGCTGCTTTTTCCCCGTTGTACCAAACTGTGATGTCCAAACCGCAACATGAACCTAACCATGTAACTTTTGGCTACCATTTAAACCCAAATTCAGCCACAAGAGAAGGTTGGTAAGAATGCTCACGGAACACATATATATCACTATATTGACCCTTTAAACTCTAAGGCCCTGTATGCAGGCCCACACTTCAGTTCCCACTCTCTTAACTACATAATACATGATAGTTTCACAGTTGTTAGCAAATAATTCATAGTGGTTGCTGAATAAAAACTCTAAAGATTAACAATTCAATACCAAGCCTAGGGTTCAAGAAGTTATCGAATAATACACTGTGCAGCCTTACCGAGGGCTGGGCCGGATGCCCAGGTGTGATGCCAGGTCATAGCGCTGCATGTTTGAAAGCAGTACGCGGTTCTCATACTGCAGCTGCATCACTTTCCCACTCAGCTCGTTGATCTGCAGTCTGGCAGCCTTCAGCTCCTCCTGCAGGGCTTCGGCCTTGGCCGCGTCCGCCGCTGCCCCTCCACTGTGACGGGGACCCTCATGTGATCCAGCCTTGTACTTAAGCTTGTTCAGCTCACCTGTCACCCGCTTATTCTGCTCCTCCATGTCTGCCAGGTTGCGGCGCAGCAGCTCTGCCTCGTCCTCCACCAGCTGCAGCTGCTGCCGCAGCTCTGACAGTGCCTCGCCCTGTTCCCGTGACACAGGGTCCGACGCGCCCCCCGCCAGCTCCTCCCCACGCAGGTCGTCCAGCTCTGCCTTCAGCCCTCGGTTCTCCACCTCCAGCTCCACAATCTTCCGGCCGAGGATGTTGGCCTCTTCCTCCACCAGCCGCAGACGCAGCTTCAGCTCAGACTCACGTGTGGTAGGGGGTCCCCCGGCCTCGCCCTTAGGGAGAGGGCTGTCCACGTCGCCATAGAAAGAGCGATACTTCTGGAGCTCCTGTTCCAGCCGGTCCTTCTCTTTGTCTATCTTAGCCATCTTCTTCCTCATCAGTACAGCTTCTTCTTTAATAAGAGCCAACTGGCATTTCAGATCTTCATTTTCCTCCTGTAAAGACATTTTACAACATAAGAAACTCCTCAGAATCAGTGTCAGTGTCACAGGTGATTCCAACTGAAATATTTTATGAAATGGTCATATAGTAAGTAATTACTTTGATGGAATTTACATTATAATTTGACATATTCAAACGTAGTTGTTATTGTTTCATTGTTTATACCTCTGTTGGAGTCTGTGGAGTTTTCTTTTCTGATTTCTGCGCATCTTTGCCTCCCCTTCGTTTCAGAGATGCCTGATGAAAATGGAATAGAAATTAAAAGGCTGTACAATATACCTGACCGACTACTTTCTGGACGTGCAACCATGACTGTGCATTTTAGAATTGTATTATATTTTATGAAGCAATAATGGGCCTTAGGGGAAAAATAATTCAGTTATCTCTAAAAGATGGTGCTTGTAAAGTGCTGTGACTCACTTTAATTCCCTCAAGTACTTGTTAATTGATCTTAAATTGTGAGTATCTTACAAATGCCCTCACCTCTTTAGCCCTCTCCAGCTCGTTCTGTAAAGCCTGCTTCGTCACCTCCACCTCAATCAGCTGCTGTCTCAGTCTTTCATTCTCATCCTCTGTTTTTGTCCTTTTCTCCTCCACATTTTCCAGCTCGTTATGCAATCTCACAGATACATCCTTTGCCACCTGCAAAAAAGAAAGAGAGAGCTGGGTTTTCATAGATTATGCAGCTTATACACCACCTTCAGCTTTTTCAGGGCATGGATATAAAAACACTAGGTCTAATGAAGAGTGACATCACATTTGATGAAGTTCTTTTCAGTATGAAGACTTGGTGCAACCTCTGATCTATTTACAGAAGAACATGTGTAATGTCTTCTAATCAGAGCCCCAAAGGCTCAGGTACTATAGATGTTCTACTTTTCCCTTTCCTAGGGGTCCAGGGACCAGATGTATTAAAGCAATGGTTCAGCATAAAATTTTCCACTTATCCTGCACATAAGACATTTTGATGTTTAAAATTTGCTTTGTTCGTTTCAACAAGAGGTGCTGTCCCCAATTCAGACTCCCCTTCATGTGAAAGCACTTGGAATTTGAAAACTAGGCTAGATTTAGATTTGGAAACTAGACTAGATTTGCGATTTGTGTTGTTTCCATTTTTAAACATGTATCTTCAGTTAGAAAATAAAAAGTATTATATTAAAAAATATTTATTAAAAAAAAAAACATATGTAGCACACACATGTCTGCATGACAGGTGCAAATGGGAAGGAGACTCAGAATTCAGCACCTGTTATCTAAAATGACAGCCGCCAGTGTACACAGTGAAGTTATGTTCATGTTTATAGTTCACTGTAAGTCATACTGTGTTCTTAACAAAATAAACAAGTCTGTGTGGCCTTTAAGAAGATCTGAATGTGGTTTGATTGTGTTGAGAGAAGTTTTGGGGATGTATTTATATAACAGATTTGGGTGATGATTGATTTCTAGTGCTTGTTACCAACAGTAGCTTTGTAGCTTCAGAAAAAAAAATTGTACGCCAACCATCAAAGTGAATTTGAAATTGAGGAAATCAGGGTTTACGGTGTGTCACGCTATAGCACGTCCTATATTATCTGTTGTCCCAACTATACATTGAATCAATCAGTCGTTACAAAATCTACAATTGCATTTGGATTCAGGGTCAACACCATCATAATCTCCACCTTTAAATCTTGCTCCAGACTCCGTAGCAACTCTCCATCAATCTCGCCTGTTTCGGCGTATCGTAGACGCTTCCGCTCTGCCTTTCGCAGGCGATACTGGAGGATCCTGCAGTTCTTGTTGGCTCTCTCCAGCTCACGGCGCAGGTCCTGCAGCTGGCAGGCATCCTCCTCGTAGAAAGTGTCTCTCATCTCATCCATCTCTGCCCGCATCTCCTCAATTTCATGCTGATGAATTAAATATTACGAAAGTTAAAGGGATATCAGTGAAAATGTGCAGCAAAACTCATTCCATTTTCAGGCAAATTCCTGAGTGACATACCCAATCCTCCGGGCTTACCTTTAGGTCATCGTTTTCGTCGTTCAGCCTCTCAATTTCGGCCTGTAATTCTTCGTCCATCTCAGACACTGCCTGAGGAGGCCTGTCCGCCGCCTCAGGCGACAGCTCCATCGTCTCCTTGGGTGGAGAGTTTGCCGTCTTGGTCTGCGCTCCTCCTTCTTTCTTCAAGCTCTTGTTCATGTGAAACTGGATCAACTCAGTCTGCAGGCATCCCTCCCTCCAGAAGCCAGGTCCACATCCTACAGGGTGCTTAGCTGCCTGCTTGCTGCCGCCTACCGCCCCCTCTGCTCTCTGACTCTTACCTTTACCCTGTGAGGACTTGGAAGAGCTCGGCTGATCGGACACTACGCGGTTAGTGTCGCCCTTTAACGGGGAGTCGTCGGTGCCGCCCGAGTCTTCAGCGGAGCTGGTGCGCTCCTCGATCTTCTTGGCCTTTTCTGCTCTTCTCAGAGTGGGACTTTCAGACGCAGAGCTTTTGCCGGACTGCTTGTCTTTGCCGGTGTTGGCCGGAGAGCTGCTGCGGCTGTTTCTGCCGCCGGGCTTCGATGAGACGGCTTTGCCTTTGGAGGGCGTTTTGGGTGTAACGTCTTTGCCTCTGGCCGGGGAGGATGCTCTCTGCTGCTGCTGCTTCATGCTACTATTGTCTGTCTGCCGCGGGCACTCTCCGGCGCCCCCTGTGGCCGGATTCATCGTGTCGTTTGATAGTGCTCAGGTGTCACCCATCGTCCATTCCCTCCTCCGCTGTCTAAAAGGAGGGATGGAGTCAACAAATGTGATCTTCAACGCGAACACACCGGAAAAGAAACGTTTCTACATGCATTAAATATCAATATTACCGTCTGCAGTCCACCCAAAGCTCGCTAATGTAGCCTAGCATAGGCCACCAGACCAAACACACAGCCTGTGTGCTCCATAAACAGGTTTCATTTACTCTGACTGCTGGATTTCGCAACATCGAACCACATTTTTTACAAATTACAAGTCAAATAGCTATCATGAGTGTTGACAAATCGCTGATAACCGATAAGAGCTTAGCAGACCCGGTCATCGGTTAGACGGATGTGCGCTCGTGGTCATTAAAGAGGCGTCGATTTTACGCATGGCCTCTCCCTAAAGACTGACTTGCACTGACACTGCTCACAGATAAGCACAGTATTTTTTAAGTAAAGGCCTGTTTAATGCCCTGTGTCGGATTTACACCAGTTTACATTCGCTTATCCAGGGACTCAAGACTTAAATATTTTTATTATATTTTATTAAATGTAATAACACATTTACAAACACACTCAACGATACTCATTGCCTTCAGCTAATTTCCTGAAATAGCAATAGCTTAGCAGCTTGTGCATTTTTGGGATACTTGTTTACAACGTTAATTTAAGAGATTTCAGGCGAGGCTAACCTACTAATATTCTGTCTCGTTGCTCAAGAGCCCCCATGTCATGTATCAGTTTCACCTGGACTATAAATAGCCTATGCGAGTGGTCTTTCTATTCAATAGTTTACCAAACTGTGACCAATTCTGAGCTATTTAGGCCCCTTCTAAAGCGAGGCGCCTTGTTTATAACCTTTCCAAGGTGACCGCCTACAATGATCAGACTACAGAGGCACTCAGCTTTCCATCAACAGGCCTACAGACAAAAGACAGTCACCGTGTACACGTCCGTAAAGTCCTAGTATTAGAAGAGAGGCCTTACCGTTTCAGCATCCCAACCTGTCCTGCACTCTGCTGAATGGAGTGATGGAGAATGGAGGAAGGAGAGAGAGGGGGGGGGAGAGAGAAAGAGAGATGCACACAGAGGCGCTGCTGCTGCAACAGCACCACAGTAAGACACGGTCAGGCGATGACGTCACTGGACGGGCGGGGCCTCAGCGACAATAGAGAACAGAGAAACCTGTCTGACATGGAAGTGATGTAGCCTACTAAAATTAAACCCAGTACTTAAAGGATGAGGCAAACCTGACAAATTGCGTCAGGCCTGAGAATTCTTGCTCACAAGGAATAAGCCCAGTCCGCCAAGATGGAAAATGTAGGCTAGGGAAATAGCAGCCAGCCTCTTGTGGGGAGTATTGTTAAGTAAATCAATCTGTCATGCTTTTGACAAAGTTATGAAATTGTGACTATCTCTATGTGCTCATGGCAGGCTGAGAGGAGGTTTATATAGAAGGAGAATATCTGCAAACACCCTGTGTTGTCTCTGATAGATGGATGACCACCTTTTGGACAGGATATCTGTGATTTTTCACTAATTCCTGTCAAGCCGCAGAACCCCAATCAATTCTTTCTTCAAGAGTCTTCTGTCTTTACATTTAAAAAATCAGCACAAAAAATGTTAGCCCTTTAAAATGGTGTCGTATATCATGTAGCAGTGGCTGGATCAATGTTGTAGTGCTCCTCTGCAGGTACCATCATGCACCATCTGAGATGATCATCACAAGATGAGATGGCCTGCTGCCCTTTGTCTGTTCTGATAGCACAACTGTGGGAATTAAAATATTTTATGTTAAAATATGTCATCATGTTACAGAGGTAGCATTAGGAGTATTGTCCAAGGACTCTTATTGGTGTAATAATAATATAAATATCCTTAATTTATAGTGCGTGGTGTGCTTGAGCTGGGCAGTGAAGTGCACCCAGTGGGCAGCAGTACTGTCTATTACACAATACCAACCATCAACTACTTTTTTTTTACCATATATAAGGTTCATGCAAGTGATTATGTGATTAGAGTTTTACCTGCATGACCACTTCTGTCCAGCTGGTAGCTTGAGATGGGATAAGAAGGGATCTACAGCAGCTGTTCCTCTGCAATTGTTAAATTTGTCACCACATTATGAAGGGTTGCAGCTTGGACATAAAAGCTAAATTAGCAGAATACAACATAAATGAATGAAGCAATAATGAACTAATTAAAATCACTTTCACATGACACACACATACCCAGCAACAGTGAGGTCAGCACCTCTAGCTCTCCCTAACACACATCAGTGTTGTCCCAGTCTGAGAAAATATGTGTGTGTATTGTCACTGTCAGAACAAAATCTTCATTTTTGTTGTTTTTTTTCTGATTATGTCAGCATAATTTCAGAATTTCATAACAAATGGACCAATAGAAATGGTCAACAGAAATAAAAGTAACAAATTTATAAAAACTTTTTTTTCCGACAGTGACAATATACACTGATCAGGCTTAACATTATGACCACCTCCTTGTTTCTACGCTCACTGTCCATTTTATCTGCTCCACTTACTATATAGGTGCACTTTGTAGTTCTACAATTACAGACTGTAGTCCATCTGTTTCTCTGCATACTTTGTTAGCCCCCTTTTACCCTGTTCTTCAGTGGTCAGGAACCCCATGGACCCTCACAGAGCAGGCACTATTTGGGTGGTGGATCATTCTCAGCACTGCAGTAACACTGATGTGGTGGTGGTGTGTTAGTGTGTGTTGCGCTGGTCTGAGTGGATCAGACACAGCAGTGCTGCTGGAGTTTTTAAACACTGCAGTGTCACTGCTGGACTGAGAACAGTCCACCAACCAGAAATATCCAGCCAACAGCGTCCTGAGGGCAGTGTCCTGTGACCACTGATGAAGGACTAGTGGATGACCAACACAAACTGTGCAGCAGCAGATGAGCTATCGTCTCTGACTTTACATCTACAAGGTGGACTGACAAGGTAGGAGTGTCTTTTATGCTAATGTTAGTGCATAATTTCTATTTATTCTATTTAAGCTTAACATATTGGAAAAAGACATATATAAAAAGTGGCATAATTTTTTGTACAGGCCACAGCTTATGTTTTTCCAAAGTGTTAAATTAATAATATAAACACTAATTGAAGTGTGTTTTCTGTATGTGTGCTTATTTTCACTTGGAAAATTGACAAAATATGTAGTTTGACCTGGAGTGTTCAAACTTTTGTATACAACTGTATATTGCAGCACTGAGGAGATTTGGCTCTCTTCAGTGCTGCTAGGTCACATGTGACTAATACATCTCCACTGTCTCAGATGGGCCACAAGCCTCTCTTGCTGCTGTCTGCCATGCTTTCATCTACTGAGCTTCCAGCCAGCAGGAAGAGATTATATTACTATGGCATCCATAGAGAATCAAAGACAAGAAGCTTTCTTCCACAGAGCGGGCATCAGTCTGCTGTTCCTGCCAAGGGGAGCAGCCTCACAGCAAAGCAAAGAATTTAATTCCTTTTTATGTGTCTATTGTGTTATATTGTGTTGGGGTTTGGGTCTAACTGTGTGGGGTTGGTAAGGTACCGTAAAGTGAAATCTTATGACTTGAGGTGACCTTCTTGCTATTTTTTCCTGCAGTGTATGTGCTTTTTTTGGTGTTAATAAAGGCCTCTCATAGTAGGAATCATGATCTTTTCCATGTCTCTTTTTTTTACGAAGAAGTTATATTTGGTGTCAGAAGTGGGATAGCACCCCCTTGCAGCAGGGACCGAAATGATGCTTTGAAAAACTTCAGGGGCGAACAGTGAGGAAGACAGAGCCCAGTGAAAGGCCACGATGGTAGAGGCAGCGCTTCAAGACTCAACGGCAGAGACAGCGCAGGCTGGATGGCATGACGAGGCTAGACTGCGCAGCGAGGCTTGGTGGTGGAGAAGCTGCCGAAAGAGAAGCCATGGAAACGCCGCAGCGGTCAGCACAAGCATTACATAGTGGAGGAGCATGCATGTCACATGGCCCCTAAGTGAGCGGCTGGCAGCATCCAGCTACACCGTTAGAAATAAAGGTTCTGTGCAGGTACATTTTTCTTTCATCAAGATACCAACAGTGTAAATGAACCCTCAAATGTACAACAGTGGTTTTAAGGTCCAATTATATACCGTGAATAAGTTTTTTCCCTGGTGAAAAGTATGTATTTGTACTTTTTCATAACCTAATGTTTTAAAACAGAACAATAAAATAAAAGGCCTGGAGACGAGACAGTGTGTGTGGAGTCATACAACTTACATTTTGTTTATTTAATTTCAACGGATTATGGTACAATTATGTTCCCATTGACAAGAGTGGTACTGCCCCAGTGACAGTTTTGTGCCGTTTTTTCTGAACCTGTAGATCACAGCAGAGCAGAGCTCAGCCTCAGTGTAGAAGTGTTGTGGCGAGCAGCACAGAGTTGTATAGTGGAGGCACATGTGTGCTGCACAGCCCCTCAGCAAGTGCGAGTGGCAGAGCACCTGGTGTGCCGGCATTGCAGACAGCAAGGACACTGCACCAGACAATGCCGCAAACCTGAGCCGGCGTGGAAATTGAGGCTACCCATGGGAATTGGAGGCAGCCAACCTTGGGTCAAGTGCAGCATGGACAGGACATGGTTCGTTGTGCTCGTCAACACGTGCTTGTCAATTTCCCTACAACAACCAGGAACTCTCATACACAACAAAAGAGGCACAGCAGGGGCTAGGAGGCGACCAACGTCCAGCTCAGGTCAGTTACCAGCAGCAGAACCAAGGCAGAGAGTTGGGTCTCCAACATACTCAAGCGACACCCTTGCCAGCGTCGACAGCACAGAAAGCAGAGAGTGGCTGAGAAAAGTGCCTTTGCTGCAGTCACCGTCCCTGGTAGCGCTGGTACTCGACGCGGTGAGCCACAAGGAGCCATGGTGGCAAGGGCCGCGTCCACCCCAATCAAGGACTTGGGGTGCTCACTGCAGAGGAGTGCACATCCTGCAGCACTTGTGCTGGCCAGGACTCCACAGGCCCCAGGTCGGGCTGTGTTAGGTCACTGGGATGGCTGACCTTTGGTGAGGGGGGCTATGTGATGGCTGCCACTTGCTCTGGTTCAGAGAAGAGGCTCTAGAGGTGTAGCATGCTAAGCTGCGGGCGTGCCCTGCCCCCCTCCGCCAAAGAGACTTTAAATGTTGTTGTTTCATGTTGTTAACATCGTTGTTTGTTAGTTTGGAATGTTATGTGTCTGTTGTGCTATTTTGCATTGCGGTCTGGGTCTAACTGTGTGGGGTTGAGTGGTTACTGTAGAGTGGAATTTTGTGGCTTGAGGTGACCTGTCTGCTGTTTTCTTCCAGCGCATGTGCCTTTTCTGTTGGTGTTAATTTAGAGCATGTTTTGTAGCAGAAATCATGGCCACCCTGTGTCTCCTTTTTGGCCAAGATGCTACAATATCATGGTGTTAGAACCCATTTGAATTATCAACTCCAACTAGTTATGCAAAGAAAAAATATAAACAGTTAACATCTTTCATACAATAAATTTGTGTTGTTTTCTCATGGGTTACTCTTAAAACTAAAGGTTCCTAAATGGTTGGCTAGTACATGCAGTTCTAAGTAGAAAAACCTTTAATTGATATAGAAACTTTGTAATTAAACTCTCCAAAGGTTCTACTCAAATGCAGATCTCATTTATGAAACAAAGAGGAATCCATTCAAAGGTTCTCAAAAGGGGAACCAAAATAAACAAAAATTACAAAAGTGGTCCTATGGCATAAACCCAAAGAACGCTTTTTGGCTCCTTTATTTTTTACATCTCTACATCATATTATTATTATTATTATTATTAGTAGTAGTAGTAGTAGTAGTATTACATGTAATCAAATGATATTAAACATAGAGACTACTTTTGCGGTGTTGGGGATGAGCTTCACACCTAACAACATTAATCTGAAGGGGATGAGGGAAAGAGGGGATGGGTTTTTGTGTTTGTTTGTTTGTTGACCAGGTATCCCTCTCTCAAATCGAGCCCTACATATCGGCTGTTTCGCTCACCAAACGTGGCTGCACTAGGTGCTAAGTGTAGTCAGTAGTACAGTATGGAGGCTCCATGTGAGCAGACGGTGGAGGAGAGAGGAGCCAGACGGCTGCTTTTAGAACAGCTGTGTACGGTTGCCATGGTAACCTTTGTCTCGGCTGCTCGTGAGGAGGAGGAGAGGCGGGGATCTGATTGGTCCTTGGAGACCCTCATACCCTTTGAGTGATGGAGAGTAAAGGGGGGTGGGAGGGTCTCTGGGACGTGATGCAGCTGGTGTGTTGGTGTGGGGTTACCTTCTGGCAGCTCCTACGGGAGAGAGCATGAATAGTTTAGAGGTGGTCATTCGCACTGCTGCAGGAGGAAGAACAGGATATGATAAGTTAACGGAGTGGACAGATCTTTGGGGATGGAGGAAAGACCAAGCGAATGCCTTAATGACATATTGCATATAATATGGTGTGTTCGTGATGTGAAGAGACAGCGCTGAGATTTATTATCAGAGGCTTTCCAAGGCAGGTTGAATGTTGGGAACTGAGGAGCTATACGTGCTGGAGCTCTCCCTACTGGCCACTACAGATACAGCAAGAACTCCAGAAAAAAAGATCAGTGTACAAAAAAGCCTAAAAAGCACTGTTATAAAGCAAACTGAACGAAAACACACACACACACACACACATATACACACACACCCACATACACACACACACAACACATCATCTAAACAGCTCATCCTTCTGGGTGAGAACTGAAAAAGAAAGCAAAAGTAAAATATGAGAGATAAAAACAAAAGGTTGCTTCACGGAAATTAGATGATCAAATTACCGAAACAATTAAATCAACAAATAACTAAACAACTAAATGCAGCGTTTTGTTTTACAACATTCAGTTAAATAATTTTATTTATTTTTAGGCGTTGTTTTTTAAGGCGTGGACAAAATTACTATATTATTTCTCGTAACTTGTGACCTCTATATATTAACTTGTGGCCTCAATATAGTAATTTGCGGCCTCACCTGACTAAAAATAATCACCATGTCACCTTAGGGGCTCAGTAAAATAATAACTTCAAAATATCTTACAGTAACTTTTCCCTTTTGTTATTACTTGTTTAATTTTTGCTGACTTGCTCAATTCAGTTTAGGATATTTTAGACTCACCATAAATGCAAAGCTGGTAGAAGACACTGAATTACACTGTTTCACACATACAGCTGTGCAAGTAGTTACTGACATGGGATACAAAAATAATCAATCTATCAACCTGAAAGCTCACCCTTTTGCCATTTCTGAAATTCACCCTCGATCACATAGAAGCGTCACACAGAAAGAGGAAAAAGGGCCTGCAGTCTAGACTGAGAAATGTCCCTTCATGATACCCATTTTATTTTTAAAAGCACAATGTACAAAATCACACAGCATATACAACATAAGAAACAAACAATTATTCAAGAACACAAAACACAAGCAATACATTTTTGGATAATTACTCAAAACAAAAAATTATGACAAGTAGCATTTTAAGACCTCATAGACGTACAGTAGAATATCTCAGATGAGTGCAGGCTTCAGAGAGCACTTCTATAGACACGTTACATTCGTAACTTCACTTCGGCCGCCTAAACATGATGATTACAGCAGCACGTCTCTAAAATACGCATGATAGTAATTTCAGGTGAAACTTTTCCTTTCAAGAATCTGATGGAAAAGGCAATTTTACAGGAGCTTGGTGTCAGATTATACAGCTGTCGTCAAGATCATATTAAAGAAAAGTAAAACTATGACACTGAAGTAACATTTTTAAAATAAATAAATAAATAAATAAAATAAATAAGAACGGAAAGATTGGTAGACCCCTTTTGTCGCAAGATATAAAACAGCACAATCTGATGGTTCTTGAGTTTTCTGCTTAACACATTCAAAACGATAATGCATTTGCTTCACCATACTTCATTTCCCAGTTCTGGAGTACATCTATAAAAGCAGATTAGCGTTTGTCCCTGCTGTATCGCATCTGTGACAGCTCAAAAGTTAATTATCAAGCCATCTATGAGCTGAAACAGCTGTGTTAGCGCAGAGAAAATGAAACTAAGAAAACTGTGCAGTGTATAGGGTACCCCAGGATTGGGAAACAGTACAATGTAATACGCTTTATTGTCTGTTCAGTTTTTTGTTTGTTTATTTGTTCAGATTTTGTTAAATGAGGTAAAACAATATTTTCTGATGAGTCATTAGATATGCTACAAAGCAAAATGCAGAGCCTGATTGAGGCTGTACTGAAGCATGTGTATAGGGGCATGTAAACATGTTATATCATAACAAGAGACTGGCCTTAAAACCTAAGGAATGGGAATCAACGGGACAATTACATAAAAGGCAGACATACAGGCAGACAATGAAGGTATGAAATGATTAGTGAAATGATATCATGCCTTGATAGAGAGTTGAGACCCTCTTGATCATGAGTTGGGAGTAATCCACTGATCTACCCATGCTCTGCCCACATAATGTTGCACGCAAAGATTTGGGCGCCACTTTGAAAATTACATGCTTTGCTGATTTTCTAAGTGAAGCACATGCTCTACAGAGAACACACTGCATATTTTGATGGATAATTACTTACTTGCTGAATTTAACATACTGGAAAAAATAAGATTTAAACTTTGGCCTGTGCAAAATCTACCACATTTTATATTGTATGTCTTTTTTTCCAAATAAATAGAAATGTATATATAGCAAATAAATAGAAATGGAGTGCTACAATTTGAAGAAAAGTATCATATTTCAGTTTGTTCCCTGCACAGGATGTGTTAACTTTATATACTATACTAATGTGTTTCACTTAGAAAATCAGCAAAACTTCATCAAATTTCGTTGGGAGTATTCAAACGTTTGCCCACGACTGCATGTGTTCATTCATAGCAACTTATGTACTTGGGCTGGCTTTACAGAATATCGGAAGAAATCCTTTCCAACCTAATGAGAAATTGTTGCCCTCAGCTTACTTACATCAATTTCAAATGCTATTATTTTTAAGCATGTGAAAGGTCACACTGCAGGAATAGATCAAGTGTAGTTTTTTGTTATATAATTGAGCTGATGTTAATATATATATAAAATCCAGCTGAGTAGCATAGCATTTTAAACCGGAAACCTAAGCTATGGCTCTAAACTTCTAAACTTCAACCTCCATTCATTAGGTTCAATGGTATTTTTGCCAACATCCTGTAAACCTTGTCCAATCTATCAACAGCTGCTACAAAAGAACATTTGTGGGTGGAGCACGGATCGGTCAGTTCTCCTTACAGAGATGCTTACGCATACAGCCAGCAAAAGCACTCGGCTGTAAGGAGAGAGAGAAAAAAAATTGTTCTTAACAAATATTTCTAATTAGATCCACCAGGCCTGGTGGTGAAGAACACCTCCTACACAGTGCTGTCAACCTTACAGCTTCCTCCAAACAGGCAGGGCCCCATCCCAGCCGTCCCTCAGCAGATACTGGTTCTCTACCAATGTCCTTTCACTCCCATCACCTATTTAGCCTGTGGTCTTGACAGTGTCTGTATGGAAGCCTGCCTGTTTCTCTGCCCTCTCTGCTCTAGTCACGCTTGGCCCTGCCCTTTCGCTTCCTCCTCCCATTTTCTGCCGCCGCAGGCTTCTCTGCCATCTTGGCAGCCACTCCATTACTGGCTGCCAGCATTCCATTAGGAGCCCCGTTAGACACAGCTTTGCCTGGTTTGGATGGACCTTCACGACGGGGCTGGCGACGATAGGTCTGATAGTAGAAGTTTCCAAAGAGGACGATGAAGGTGAGGGCATAGCCAATCAGACACCAGTGCATCCATTTAGGGAAGGGGCAATCAGTATAGAGTGACAGAGCGGTGTGGCCAATAGTAACATGGAACTGGATCTGAGAAAGAGAAAAACAGTAAAGTGACCACAAAGTGACTCTTTGGAAGCAAACCAGTGAAATTATGTTAAACACGCAGATTCTAGACTTGAAATCCATTCTACATTGTTTCCATTACTACAGTGTTTTTAGTCGAAGACGAGATATTTCACTATGATTTGAATTGGCTGAAAAGTTATTGTCATACAGAATATAATTCTTTAGGTAATTATGTAGTAATAATAATAATAATAATAATAATAATGTAAATAGTATAGCAAAAATGACTATTAACTCAAAAGCTCTAAGGGTTAAAATTTGGGTTTAGGGTGAATCAGTTGTATAAGTCTGTTCATAATTATGTTCATCTGTAGTTCTAATGGTAATTACGTTTTATAGTTAGCTGGCACTCTGCAAAACTTTTTGGGCAGTTTTTTTTCCCTATAACAAAAGGAAAAATGGAAACCAACATCTGGCACTCAATACTGAACCTACTAAAAGCATAATTGTTGCACTACTGAAATCTGAACCAACAGCAATAATTTAAATGCCAAAATACCATTTGGATAATTGTCAGGTACTTCTTCCACCACAAGTATTTCTGGATCTTTGGCCCGCAGGCAGCCAGCCCGTAATAGAGATACATAAGAACATGGATAGCTGCATTCATATGAGCACCAAAGAATGCTGCAAAAGAAAAAAAAACACAATTTCTCATACAATACAATATTATTACTCATCACATATTATCAGAGTGTATTATCACTTACAATGTTTGACTTTGACACTGGTAAAAGCCCCTTTTTCCTTTTAAAAGCTTTGTAGATGCATGATGGATGCATATTTAATAAAGTTCTTGTCTTTAGGCTTTGGATTCTTACAGGAGTTTAAATTTTCTCTAATATGCTTTGTTCACCCATATATTACACAGCAACTGTAATTCAACTTAAAAATCACTTTTTCTAATGTTTGCTGAATACTTACACTGCCCACCGGCAACCCACTTGATGCCAATCCACCACAGGGTGAACATGGTGCAATGGTGATAAACGTGCAAAAAGCTGACATGGTTGAACTTCTTACGTAGGATGAAAAACACTGTGTCCAGGTACTCTACTCCCTTTGAGACAAAATACCACCAAAGAGCAGCTGCCATCTGTTTGGAAAGACAGTAAAAAGGCCGTTGCACAATACAATAAGAGTGTCACATTACATAGTAAACCACATAATAACCATTTCAGGTGATTTCTGAGTTCTTTCATTAGTTCAATAGTTCAATTTGTACATGTACCTACAACAAAAATGTGTTACCAGTAGTTTGCTTGAAATGGCAGTGTCATGTCATTAACTAAGCTCCTGCCATGCCTAAGATGGAGCACCAGGTCCTGACCTCCACTCAGTGATTTTAAATAGGGTAGTGGAAAATAACCATTGGACACCATCATGACCCCTAAATGATGCAAGCTGGGTAATCTTTGGCCCTGTTGGCAGTGACATTTGTAACTGTTAGTGTGTGCATCTGTGGCGTCACACATCACTGAAATTGAGCTCCATTACAGTCCCACTCTTTGGCCAGATAAGAGGAAGGGATCATATTGCCAAGCGTCAACATTGTGTTTCGTTTCCCATGGTCTGGCACAGACATGGAATCGCAGGAACACTGATGCTAATTGCATCAGGGCCCCTCTCCAGGAACATACTCACCCTGACTTCGTTAGGGTCGTCCGAGTAGTCCACTGGCTGGCAGAGGTAGCTGTAGTTTGCTGCCCGTGCTGCAAGGAAGAGCTGAAATAGAACAGGTAAAAATAGAGCCATTAAAAGACTCATCAGACTGAAGAAGGGGAGGACCAAGGAGAAGGCATGCAGCAACCTCAGTGATAAACATGAGGTGGCAGTCAAGGAGAACGCAAACATCAAAGATCTGTGCTTATTTCTAATGCAGCTTAGAGCTATTTTACACAACAGTTAGTTCCGACCACACAATTTGATGGGTTGAACAGCACCCTGCTGCGATGTTATATCTGATAACATTTTTTTAACCTCTAACAACTGGTTGCTAATTAACAACAACGGCAGCAACATGCCACTTAAGGTGGAACTGCTTTTTGGGCACAAGAAACTACCAATATTAAAAACATATATTTTAAACAATGCTTTGGGCTTCTTTCCTTTACTTCGCAAAACTGTATAAAATCAATAGAACACCTAAGATGTATTGTGAATAACATCTCTACCATGATGATCTACAACAGGGATGCACAACTCTGGTCCAGGAGGGCCAGTGGCCAGCACAGTTTGGTGATTTACTAACTCAGACACACCTAATCACACTTATTTATGACTTGCCAGGTTTAGTGGGTGTGTTAGTATAGAGAAACCTCAAGATTTTGCTGGGCATTGGCCCTCCAGGACCGGAGGACCTCTGCAGGCCCCTGATCTACAACAACAACCCTTCTACAGTCTAATACAGAATAACTATTTATTCACATTACCCGGGGAGAACCCACCTCTTTGAAGATGAAAAAGTTAAAAATGACCATGCTGAAATTGTAGACAATAAGGGTCTTCCTGAGCTGAAAGGGCTCCCTGTTCCGCATGAACTTTGGCCCCAGCCAGAGGAAGAGCAGGTAGGAGGAGCTGATGGCCAGCGTAGGGAGAGGAGAGTCCATCAGTGGCCATTTCTCCACACGCTTGTCTAGAAACAAGTAGACAACAAGCAACAGTTTGTTGCTAAGCTGGGAGATCTAAGCTTGATACATAGAGTATGAGCTTGCAGAGCTACCACTGATTGGGTGGCGTTATTATGCCCTGTGTAATGGAGATTAATGATAAGCCAGTACTTATTGTGCTTTCTCAGTTTTCCAGAAATGTAACTTGTCATGAATTTACATCATCACAGTTCAGGATATAGTGCAGCCTGTAAGTGACTGGACAATAACATTTTTGTTGCTTAGGCTTCTGAAATCCATTTCCGAAACTACAGAATGTCAGCTGTCATCAATCTGAGTAGGTATGTTGCTTGTGTACACTTTAAAATTCATCTTGCTGTTGCTGTCTACAATCACATCACTGATCAAGACAAATGAGCCAGTTCCTAAGCCTCTATGTTTCACTTGGTGCACTTTGGATCATAAGCAGTTATTTTTCTCTTGCTTTTGTGCTCTTTCTATTCCTCTGGCACAGAACTCTACAACCCTTCTGAGATCATGCTGTTGTTGTGTTCTCTTTCATATCTATGCCTATGTATTTTCACTGTCAAGACAAAACTTTCAAGTCAAAACTCTTTCAGTGACTGTGCTAAAATTTCCTGATGAACAGACTAAGAGAAATGGTCAAAAATACTTGGAAAAACATCTTGTTCCATGAACTTCCATTCAAAGTAAAGAAAGCTTTTTTCCTTCTCCTGTAAAGTTGGCTTTTTGGAGATAAAGAGTTTTGTTGCCACAGCAACAATAATTGTCTGAAATTAGTTTCTTGGTTGTTGTCCTCAACAGCAGATTCAGTAGTTTCATGTTCAACACTTAAAGTATCCTTGGGAGAAAACTAAAGTTCTTGCTGTGTCTTACAGCAAGATTTATTTTTCAGTCTCATGACAGCCTGCCTCACTGGCATTCACACTTTTCAGATCCTTAGCCCGGGAGACAGTAACAAACTCCAGATGCCACATCTAGAATGTTCTGTTAGCTCTCATGTATCAACTAATGATGCAGAGATAAGGGTATGCAATAGAGAGTATACAATAGAGACAATATAATGAAGCTGTCATTCTGCACATTAAACTCACTGTTTAGTCATTGTTTCATTTCAAATCCTATGTTTCAAGTTCAGAGTTAAAAGAGCAAAAACTGTGCCATTGTCCAACTACTACATTGTTGCACATAAGAAAAGGATGAAGTGTGGCTTGAAGAGCGCCAAATGCATGCAACCAGTAAGAAACCGAGAACTGTAAAGAGCGATTGACTTGGAGCTGCAGCTGACATTTTCACGTAATGGGTGAAGGATGAGGTATCAAAATGCATATTTGGGGAATAAAAACAGTGTGTGTAATTATTGCATGATGGAGTTGACAGAGATTGCTTACTTGCTGAAGATGTCCTTCATGGTATTCATCAACTGAGAGTAACACTCATGGTTCAAGAAACAAACTGATGGAACTCGAATTACCTGCAATGGTAAGGCCCCATTTGTAGAATTCAATAGTGTCGTTGATGAGATGTGTTACAATATCCATCTTTGCAGTTCAGGTCCTAATTGTCCTTAAATCAGAGTAAATAAAAAGGAGAAGTTTGGTTCAAATAAAACACAAATATGAAGCAATGATATAAACAGCTCATTTTATTTCTCTACTTTTTTATTTTCTCTATGACAGGCGTGCCTGTCATGCAATATTACCTTGTTCTACCATTGGACATTTTTTCGTAAACAATGTGGATACAGGTACAGCTATTTTCTTCAAGTTGCCTACACAAACTCATGCTGTTAGGTACAATCATTTCATAGTAAGTCTATGAAGAATGATCAGAAATGGTTTCACTAATAGGTTCTCCAAACCTCAGCACTGTAGCAGAAACTCGCATATGATACGCTTATAGCTAAAATCAACTTGAGGCCACATTCTTTGGAAACAATGTGCCGAAAAGGGGTCCTTTAGAGTGATGCCATAAAACTAAGAACCTCTCATTCATTGAACACTTTTTTGGGTGGAAGGGGGTGGGGCAGGGACCCAAAGGGCCTTTTTTCTATGCTTTCACTCCAAGGAACCTGTTTTAGGGCAATTTTAAAGAGTGTAGGGAACCACAGATTTCTGTCTTCTTATTTTCATTAATTGGATAGTAGGAGCCAAAACCACAACCTCTTCACGAAAAAAAAACACTGTGTATTGCAATGTCATGCCTTGCTCCTTTAACATCATTGAGGGTGGGGGGTGGGCAGCATGGCCAAAATACATCAATACACTTTCGCTCTCTTTGTAACGATGCAATTGTTCTACAAGTGTTAATTACCCATGATACGTTTAGAACAGTGCATCGTGACGTCAGAAACAGTCCACACGTTAGGCGAGAAATAGTGAGTTGGGGAGGGGGGCGTCTAACGGGGCCTAGGAGCACAAAGGCAGTGGCAGCATGTGTCAGCACATACCCACACTGAGAGCTGTAAAGACAATCAGGCAACAGCTGAAGCCATTTTGTAATCCGGGTACGCGTGAGGTTCTGCCTTAACCTCATTTCAGCCTTCTCCATGCAGTGAGACTCAGGTGGTTTGCCAATACATCGGCAAGGATATCTATCCCACTCCCAGGGAAGAGAACAGGCCTCCCTCCTCCTCCACACAGCCTGAGTGAGCCTGCCAGCAGCAGCACCGCACAGCGCAGCGCAGGAGCTGCACAAGCTCAAACTGCAGAAATGCAGGCAGTGCAGGCCTAGTAAGCGCTGACTGGACCCCTGAAGACGAGATTAAAGACGGAAGGCGGCGTGATAGTGCGCGACAGACTGTAAAAGCCATGAACTGATAACCTTACAGACTAAATCTATCTCTGCAGCCGGTGCAGTCCGGTCAGCGTGGTCGATGCACCTGCACATCGGCCATCTGCAGCTAGTGTCCCGGATTATAACACGACCTAGAATTAATAATCAACAGTCGATTACTATCACGACTTAATTTCACCCTTACCGTTCTGGGATTAAGATCCGTTTGTAAGGACATTCAGTGCAAGGTCACAGCATACAGATATTCCAAGGGATGCTGGAAAAGGGAAACGCTCCAAATAAACAGGTTCACGTGTAAATCCGGATCTCTGAAAGAATTAGCCCAAACGCAGCCTATGTACACGAGCAGAGCATCCTAATGGATATTGACATGAGTGCGCTTGTGGCTGCGGTTCTCCCGTTTGGAAAAAAACGGGCAGTGCAGAGCGGCGCATGCGCAGTGGAATGTGCGCACAGCGCTGATCCAGGATCAGCTAAACCCAAACACTGGACACCAGAGCTGAGCTACTGCTACACAGTTCGCAATCAGTGATGGGCGATAACCAATGAATTTATATTCGATCAATACCAAGGCTAATATCCCAATGCCTGTACTGACACTGATACTTTTAAAGGCCACACATCCTGCATTTTTCTTTTCTTTCCTTTTTTCTACTAATAACGTTTGTGTGATTTTATGTCAAAAATAGTCATAGTTATGTTTTCATATGACACATTTCCAACCTCTCTTTATACCTTAAACAGGCTGTTTTTTTTCAGTGTCATTAAGACTGGTATATGTATATGAGCTCTGTTTTGATTGGCTGCCCTGCATTCTGTCTCATTCAAGAAGCATTTGGTCCGGGATTGAATGGGCGGAGCTAAACTGCTGTGGGCTGAAAGGGTGGATATACGTCAGTGAGTTGGTTCTCTTGACATCACAGAAACAATTAATTTGAAACACACGCTGTTTTGTAGCTTACTTTCTATACATTGACTGTATGGACTCGGGAGTAAACAGTATGTTTTGAAACTTTACCAGTGTTTACCTACGTAATGCTTCGAACAGGCAGGGAAAATTGTTTTTCCATGATTTGGTTTTTCCTTTAAAAGTCTCTTTGTGTACCTAAAAAATTGATATTTTTTGTCTACAGCAAAAACCAGTAAAAGTGACATCAAATATTATATCTGATAGTTTCTGCATCAGTATTTGTAAGTGTGTGTGTATGTGTGTGTGTGTGAAAAGCAGAGAAAGAAGGCAGCAGAAAAAGTAGTTTTTATCTTAATTTTTTATTTGCTGCAATACTTTTTTCAATTTTCCAGCATCAGTGACACATTATGTTTCATAAAAAGGATGTCAGTCCACCCATCCTTATTTCCATTTTCACCTATACTGAGTCACCAACCTCTGGTCAAACTGCATGAAGCAATTTATAGTGAAAAAAACATCTGAGTAGTGGACTAATAATAGTTGTTTGAAATATGAGATAACCAAGCCTAGCTTATTTTTATTCTTGTGTAGTTCACATTTCATATTAGTCTGTACAAAAGTAACAGAGAGAAGGAACATACACAATGATGTGTTAAATACATGTGCATAATGTTTTAGGAAATGTTTATCTTAGATCAGGCAACAGAGCTCAGATGTGGAGAGAGTGAGAGGAGAGAGAGAACACAGGCTTAATGAAAAATTAAATACCTGAGCAGAAAATTTCACACAATATTGTCCTACTCTTTGTATTTCATTAGAGCAGGACTGACAACATCTTATTTAAGGGCTCCAAATCAAACCCAATCATGTTATTTTGTATGAAAGAATGGAAAGAAATGAATAATTCATCAATTCATTCATTTTAGTCAGGAAAAAAGTCTAAAGCAAACTTAATAAAACAATAATTTACAGAGATAAAGGGAGATAGAATCTTTATACTACTAAATAGGCTACATGTATAAATTAAATACATAAAATCAATACAAATAAGATGAAATATTAAAACATGGAAAAAGGCTTTAACAATGTTTTTGTAAAATATTTTTTCTGCTAATATCACAAGAGATTAATTTAAAATAAAAGCTACATTCTCATAAGGCTCTGTGTTGCTCAGGGCTGTGTTCCTCTGTTGCTTATAGTGCTTATGGCAAGAAACAGATCTGGTAGTACATAGATCAGTCCTGCAGCAGACGAGGCGAGGTGCAGGTTAACAAAGAGACCGGATGGACTTTCTAATCCCTCTCTGTTAGTGCAGATGGCAGGAGGCGTGAACTGTTTTTTCCCATCAGGGTAATCTCCATTCTCTGCTCTCTCACTGCAATCCCCCTTCCAGTCTATCCCTGCTCCTGTAGTGCACCTGCACATTTCAGTGTCTCCCTGCTCTAACTCATACAGGGCTCGGTAATGAGCTATGAGTTGGATTATGCTTTTTGTTAATCCAGGGTCAGGAAAACACTAAAACATGCAAAGACTCCAGGATCAGGATTGAGGAATGATAATAATTTGCAGGGATGGACAAATTGTCATACAAATATTTGAAATACAAAACATTACTTTAATTTGTAGATGTCATTCTAGTGTATTTTAGTGCAGGAGCTAACAATGTAGACCTGTTAACACTCTCTTTTGGGGAAAAATTTAGAGAGATAATTCTAGTTATTTGTCCTGGCATTTCAGCAAATAAAATTGAAAGTATGGTGGAAATTTAGTGATGGTTCACTCTTATTGAATATATTGACTATTGCATCCACTTTCTTTGTTGCCCATTTTATATGTAAAATCTGCTTCACCACCATTACTGAACAGATGACTGTGGTCGCTCGTTAGTGTTAGTGTTGTGGATCGTCAACTATTTTCCTTGTATAGTTGATGGATTATCAGAATTGGAGTCACATTTTCCTGGACCATCTTTTAGACGTGAATGGAAATGCCTTGCAACTTCAACAACGTAAAGAGAAATTCCATTGATTATTTAAATTGTACATATGTTTAAATCATCAGGGTGTAAACTAAGTTACAGAGTCAGAACTGTTCACATCAGTAGTGATAGCACCAGACGTCCAAAGCATTTAATGACTATATCAAGCAACATTACATAAAGTTATTACATGGTTATGAATACATTGTCTGAGACATTGTTTTACGCTGATTTTAAGATAAGATGTTGGCATAAAACATATTTACAAAAATCCAAAAAATATTTACTCTAATTTAACACTATGTTACGGGGCTCCTATAGTGACATGTTATTTTTATAATAAGATGTGTTCACAGATTAAAATATTGAGGCCACACAATACTACACTGAGGTTACAAATTACTATCCTGAGGCCATGAGTTATGAGAAACTTCACTCGTACCCTCAATATAGGCCTAGTAATTTGTGACCATGCCTTATTTAAAAATAATCACAATGTCACTTTAGGGGCTCCGTACTGTTTTACCATCAGCATTACATATAAAAACTATATATTACATATAAAAATAAGAACACACCTGTAAGTTCACTGGTCATTTTGCATAGCATGTAAACTATTTATTTACCACCACTGTAAACAAACCAGACTGTAAGTTTCTCTACAATGAACCATTTCACCTCAGAACACTTTGAATGGCTTTATGTACATCTTAATTTTTGAATTATGTAAAATTTTTGGGAAAAGCTAGATAAGCCGAGAGAGCGCCCGTGTCACCATGACAGTAACGGGCTCCGCAGAAGAGCTGAGAGCCGCACTGATGTAACGTTACTGAGAGAAAAAGAGAAATACAGCGAACGTCACTTCCGAGTCTGAGAGCTGCAGAAGGCAAGATGGAGCGGAGTGGTATCGAGGATTTGGACGCTCGGCTTCAAGCGCTGGAAAAGCGGGTTTGCGGTGAACATGGGAAAAATAACAGACCAGCAAAGGTAATGTTGGACGAGCACAGTGAAAGTGGAAATGTGTAATTGATAAATTGCTATTGTGTTAGCAACCGCTAGCTTGCCAGTGTTAGCTTGATGTAACTTAGCTGCCAATGACGTTAACCTGGCTACATTACATAGTCAGCCAGAAAGCTCAAGTCCGTAACAGAGCCATTGCAGTGGTCATTCAGTAAAGCTACACTGCAGTTATCTGCTTTCTACAGTGTAAGTAGTTCCCTTTCAGTCATTGGTGACGGTGGATTTAAATGTATTTAGCTTGCTAGCTAACGCCCTGATTCTGCTGCTGCTAGCCATCCAGTGCTAGGAACATAAAAGATTGGAGTTGTTATGGGTGTGGCATTTATTTCTGTAATCTAACCTGGAGAGAATAAGTTAGCTTACGCTAGGCAAGTACACAAATATGTTACTTATAGATCTAATAATTGATTTTAGGAACTGTGGGGTTAATGTCTTTAACCCGTTAGCCTCAAATCATTTGCAAGCTGCTTTTCAGCTGAACTGGACAGACTAGATCAGGGGTTCCCAATCCTGGTCTTGAACATCTACCACTATGGACAGCCCAGATCCAGCGCACTTGGCATTAATATTCAGAGGCCTCTGAAGGCCTTCATTACCTGGATCAGATGTGTTTGAATATAGTTGGAGCTAAACTGTGTAGGGTGGTAGATCTCCAGGACCAGGATTGGGCATCCCTGGACTAGAGGTATCGGTATGTGTTAGCCACATTAGTCCTTATTACAGATATATTTTGCCCTCTTTCAGTGTGCTGAGTCTCTGGTGAGAATAAACACTGCCCTCGCCAACACAGCAAACAAGAGGGAACGAGTCAAGATTCTTCACAAGAAAAGTGAGGATAAACAGTTGTTTTTGTAATATGTTGTCCTCTTAAACATCATCTGCATCATGATAATATCTGTCTGTATCCCTTTTTACCTCACTAGTTGAAGATTTGCTGAAGTATCTCGATCCACAGTTCACGGACTATATTGCTGTGCCCGACGCCATGAAACTTGAGTTTATATTAGCAGGTCAGTTACCTGTCTTTCACTTCTATAGAAGAATCTGATTGGAATCACAGAACAGGCACTAAACAGCTCACTAATCATTAATGATTTCTCCTAAATGTCTTGGTATTTTCTTTCTGCATTGGCTTACTGAATAGTGACACAGTGCCCAACAAGTCTGGTTCATGTTATAGTAAATGGCGTAAATGTTGTCTCTGTGTATACATGTACATTTTATCAGTTTATAATGATAATGGCCTTTTTTTTGTGAAAGCTGCATATTTTGGGGTTCATAGTTATGTTGTAAAACCAGATAGCTTAAAGCTAAAACTGTAGCTTAAAGCTCCATAGTGACACTTCCTTTTTTTTCCTTTTACAGAGGAGGACTTCCTGCGCTCCCAGGCTGCCTTGCTGGAGCAGGTGAATAACCTGCAGCCTCTGCTGGACAGTAATCACATTAAAGGTAAGATGAGCTTTACTAACTGTAGTGGCAGCGTACCTGCTGGTGTACACATCTGTTAACTGCTGATTAAACATACATTGTGACATGGTATAAACTTGGGTGATTATCAAAGAAGGGATAAAAATCATCTCAGATGAATTTGTTTGTTTGCTTTGCACGTATTAAGAGAATGAAGTACTATTTAGGGAGGTTTCTTTTTCCACAGAGAGGTGGTGTAATGCCAGTTTACCACAGGACGTCTGTAGTGTTTATGTCCAGAAATGTAAGGAGCTGTTTGATTTGCGCCCTGAATTTACTCCAGAAAAGAATAAAAAATCTGTCAAAACATATGTTAGCCATTATTCCATTTATCCTAACCATCCACCTTGTTGTCTTAAATGAATGCACTTATTGTCATTAGCATTGTCCTTAGCTTGGGAATTCACAGCCAATGGTCAACATCACTGCATACAACATTTTTCTGTAATCTTACTTGTTTTAATGTCCTGAATTGTGTACTTGAGGCAGGGCAGTGCATATCAGTGCAGACAATTTAAACCACAGAGGACAAATAAATGCTTCTTCAAATGCCTCCATACTTAAAAAACTCCTTTTATACAGGATATACTAGCATATTTACCAACATCCTGATTTGCACAGCATTGATGTAATGTGGGGTTGTTTCTACTGCTCGTTTTAAGGAAGATAAAAGTATGACTGAAAGATTAATTGTTTTTATATCGAATTTGCAGTTTAAAAGAGTGCTATTGTTTTAATTATATGCTTTGTTATTCACATTTGTGTTAAGTTTTAAGTGGAGAAATATAATAATGCAGAGCTTGTTAACTGCCGTTCTGGCACACTACATTGCGTTTAAGTCTTGAGTCTGAAAAAAATGGATGTGCTGCATTTCTTGGTGGAAAAAAAGCCTAGAGCTTAATTTATAGAAACTAATTGCGTTTAAATCGCAATATTGTTCAGAAAAATCGCAATTAGATCATTGACACAAATCTTGACGCAGGAATGCGCAGCCCATAAAAGTGACAGAGGTGGCACACGTAGTTAAAAATGACATTACCCCACCTCCTCAGAAAAGCTAAAGTCATCCAAACAATGTTTACGCCATGTATGTTTAAACATAAAAAAGATACAGTGCTGTGAAAAAGTATATGCCCCTACCCAATTTCTTCTGTTTTTACATGTTTGTCACACTTGAATGTTTCAAATCATCAAACTGCTTTTGACATAGGCAGAGATAACCCAAGTAAAGACAACATGCTGTTTTTAAATGATCATTTCATTTACTGAAGGAAAAATGCTGTTCAGCCCTACCTGGCCCTGTGTGGATGAGTAAATGTCACCTTAGCTACTAAATCAACCAGTCAACCAAATTCAATTAACTATTGGGTTCAATTTCAGTAGCCATATCCAGGTATGATTACTGCCAGACATGTTGAATCTAAACATCACTTAAATAGAACCTGTCTTGCAATGTGAAGCAGGCTAGAAGGTCTCAGAAAGCAGCACATGATGCCACATTCTAAAGAGATTCAAATACAGATGCGAAACAATGTCACTGAAATCTACCAGTCTGGAAAGGGATACAAAGCCATTACTAAGGCTCTGGAACTCTAGCAAATCATAGTGAGAGCCATTATTCACAAATGGAGAATACTTGGAACAGTGGTGAACCTTCCCAGGAGTGGCCAGCCTACCAAAATTTCACCAAGAGCGCCTTCGACGACTCATCCAGGAGGTCACAAAAGAACCCAGACGGATATCTAAAGAACTGTGGGACTCGCTTGCCTTCCACAAGAAAAAAGACACAGGGCAAAAATGGCATCCATGGGAGAGTTGCAAGGCGCAAACTACTGCTGACCAAAAAAGAACACAAAAACTCATCTTGCATTTACCTGAAAAAAACATCTAGATGACCCCCAAGAATTTTGGGATAATATTCTGTGAATTGAGGAGTCAAAGATGGAACTTTTTACAAGAATTGGGTCCTGTAACATCTGGCGTAAGCTAACACCACATTCCACCAGAAGAACATCGTTCCAGCAGTCAAACATGATGGTGGTCGTGTGATGGTCTAGGGCTGCTTTGCTTCTGCGGGACCTGGGCTGTTGGAACTGTTGGAACCATGAATTCTGCTCTTTGTCAGAAAATCCTGAAGAAAAATGTCTGTCCATCAGTTCGTGACCTAAAGTTTAAGCAGTTGGGTTATGCAACAGGAAAATGATCCGAAGCAGACAAGCAAGTCCACCTCTGAGTGGATCAAAAGAAACAAAATTAAGGTTTTAGAGTTAATGAGTCAAAATCCTGATTTGAATTCTATTGAGATGCTGTGGCAGTTCATGAATCTCCAGTGTAACCAGATTAAACAATTCTGCAAAGAAGAGTGGGCCAAAATTCCTCCACAGTGATGTAAAAGACTCATGACAAGTTATTACAAATGTTTGATTGCAGTTGTTACTGCCAAGTAGGGCTGGGCGATAAAACGATAACGATAATTATCACGATATAACTTTTGCTCGATAGAGCGATACGACATGTTCGATAAATGTTCGATATAATGCACCCCCCTTACACTTCCACGTTCTAGCAAAAGCCTTGGTGATGTTTTCTACTGCAAGGAAAGCGACACTAGTCTGCTGTCGCCAGGAGAGGGCGCACTTCCGAGTTTTTCTACATGATTAGAGAGGGAGGGGGCCACGAGTAAGATGAGTCTTTAGCAACAGCTGAAATGCGGAGTTATACATTCCCCGTTTGAGTGGAGCGACCGGCGATCTGTTCTCCTGTGACCGAGTGTGGGTGACGAGGTCAGTGGTGTAACTATACTGTCCTACAGCGAACTCACCTCTTTCCTAACATCCTAACCAGCTTTAGCAGCGTTAAATCACACTCACAGTCCTCGCAACTACAGCGCTGTTACAGCACTCAGTCATATTTAAGTAGTAGTGCATTCCCAAGCAACGAAAGTGAAAGAAAGAAGTGGGTTCATGTAAATTACAGCCCTGATTTAAACGAAAGTAAACTGAGGAAGCTGTGAGGCATTGGAGAGCGGGAGAGCGCTAGCTTTCCAGGCTAGCTGTTTTTAGCAGCTGGCTAACTTGAAGCAGCGCTCCATCACTCACACAGCATGGCAAAATGATGATACTATAGATCAAACAAGGCACAAAAGCACCGCTTTCAGTTTAAACGTACCTAAAAGGAGGACTCTGTTTGTCTGGTGTTGATATTTTGCGGTTCACCCCTTAAATCACTACGATAGTATAGAGAAATCCAGTTGTCGCTAGCTGGTGTCTGAATACTGTGATGTCATTTGTAGCGGGGTAGCCGAGCGCTCGTCATCAGCTAAAAATAATGTTTCCTTTCTTAAATTATGACTATTACAAAATAGCCATGCTTTTCCAGCTGGTAAAAACAGCTCAGCAGACACTTTCTCCCACTCTCCCATGACAGATTTGTGAAATGTTCCACTGTTTGAGTGTTTGTTGTGTTCCGACCATAAAGGATAGTTTAAAACAGCAGTTAACCACCCAGGAGCAAAAATCAGCCTTCAAACTTGAAAGAAATAATGATTTGACATTTATCGCTGTATGTATCGATATCGAACAATATGAATTTTGTTTATCGTGATAACATTTTTGGCCATATCGCCCAGCTAGGTTTTGAATACGTCTTTGTCTTCAATAAATGGAATTATCATTTTAAAGCTGCATTTTGTGTTTGTGTTGTCTTTATCCTATGATAAAATTAGCTGGACAATCTTGTGACAAATTAGCAAAAATAAAAGAAATCGGGTAAGAGGCAAATACTTTTTCACAGCACTGTAATAAAATTAGATTTTCAATAACAAATATTCCAGTGTGCTTACTGTGGCAGTTTAAATGTGCTTTATGTTGTCCAGGAGCCTACAACTGTTTGGTTTGTACTTTGCATGTTTTCGTTGTTCATCATTAGAATTCTAGCAACCGTATTTGCATAGAAACATTAGGAACAAGTATGTAGCTACATAAATATACACAATGTCCAGTGGTTTCTGTTTGAAGTTCAAATTTTTTCCTCTACTTGACTAACACAGCTGTTCCAGAACTCACTACCAAAGTGCAACGACTGTCTCAGATTCACATCGAGCAGCAGGTAAGACATAAGTTTGTTTGCATTCTTGACATGTAATATCTGACCACAATACATTTTTATGGCTATGCTGAATAGTCACCGTGAGCTCTACGCACATTTTAAATGTACAGAGACTTGTATAGCCTGACATATCACATGAGATCTGATATTTTTGCAAATGTGGTAGAAAGTGTTTCTTAATCCTGGTTATACTTCACAGGACCAAAATGAGGAGTTATCTGCAGAAGTGAGAAGGCTGTTTGAAGAATACAACAAAATGGTATCCTTGTTTGCACAAAGGTCTCTCTGTTAATGTTAAGATTGTTAACAGTAAGTGTTACAGATTTGAAAAAGAGCTTTATTCTTTATCCTCCCTTCTAACAGTGCTCACATGTTACTCCTGTGATCACAGCCATTTGTAACTGTGGCACTAAATAACTGACAATATAAAGACAGACATCATTCCTTAACGCTTGCCCAGATGTTTCTTTTATCAAAACAGTTTACCCAGTGGGATGAAACCCTACGGAAACTGGAAGCACCCAAACAAGACCAGCCCATTGAATAACAGAACAGTGCTTAATATTTCACATTTCACAGTTCATACTGTCTTTTCTCCTGTACATTTGCTCCTTTTTTGCTTACTGATGACTTGCAACTCTTTATAGTTTTCAAAGCTGAATAACAGTCTAAGCTTTAGTCGTGTCTATGATGTACTCAAGCTCATTATACTGAGTAATAAACCAGAAATGTTATTATACTGTTCTGCGTCCTGTATTTACATATGGTATATTACAAAACACTAGCAATTGTGCACATAATAAGAACCGCTCCTCAGATGTAGATGTGAATCAGAAGTTCTAAAGTGTCTTGCTCAGCCGTTCTTAAATGTCTTATTTTTGATTGATTGACTCTGTTTTTGCTTGTTTCTGTTCATATACATTCTTAAGGACCACGTACCCTTGCATCTTTGTTACGTTATTTATTATGTAATTATGCTGCAGTCAGAAAGGTTATTGTTTAGAAATGTTAAGATGTTATTTTAGGAAGATTGATCTGGTTGCCATAAAACCTACACTGTACCTACATTGTAGTTACTGTTTTTTTTTGGTTCTGCATGTTGTTTAAAGTCTTCTCACAGTGGAGATTTCTCTGCTAGGATTACTAGACCACTGTATGCCAATCATGAATTTAAATTCTATACTTTTGTATTAGTACTGAGTACTAATTAACAAGACTTTAGAAGTATTTTTAAGAGTGACTGTGGTTGTTTATCTAACCAGTCACATCATATTCCATACTCTTAAATATGGTTCTTCTGGGGTTCTTTAGTAAAGACAGTGGTCATTAATAGAACCATGAGCACTCAAAGAACCATTTACATGCTTAAAGGGTTCTTTGCATCATGAAATGGTTCTTCAGATTGAGGGAGAATGTGCTGTACGTGGTTCTATATAGAACCTTTCTGAAACAGGTTCTATATAGCACCAACAAGGGTCCTTGTATTGTTACAATGTCAAGCTTGTAACAATAGAAGAACCCTTTTCTAAAGATTCTATATAGAACCATATACAATACATTCCCCTTCAATCAGAAGAAAACTTTCATGATGTAAAGAACCCTTGAAGCATGCAAATAGTCAATTGGGAAAAGCTGCTTGAAAAGGTTGGAAGACATTTAAAGTGTTAGAAGAAGCATAGTAATATGCACTGTCTGAAACTAAGCCCAAAAAAGAAATGTGGTAACATCTATTATCATTAGAATTATAAGATAAGCAACAGAATCATAAAGTTTGAGTCTTTTGTTTACATTTGAGGGACAAATGAACTCAGCATTCATTGAAATGTGGTGTTAATTAAATTATTATACTTCACATTGTAAAGTAAAATAGTGAGATTTGCCCAAGTGCGTTTGAAGTTTAGCATATTTCTACAGTAATCCCACTAACATCACTATTTTCCTCATATAAACACTATAAAAAAATCATATGCTGTTATTCTACTTTGTCTATACCAAGTGACTTAACACCACATCCACATCTTTAAAGTGAGTCTGTTAATAGATGCCATACTTCAAGCTGTTTTGTAAACAGGGTGATTTTTTATGGAAAAACAATTTAAATACAAACTCACATTGAAATTTCCATACCTGCAAAATCAAAGTCAGCTCCTCCCATTTTCTCACTTATAATTAGCGTTGGGATGTAATGGATCACAATTATTGGGAACACATTTACAGAATACAGAAATTAAGTAACTGTATCCAGTCTAAGTTACATTTTGTTAAAACAGCATTTAGAATACAGTTGTTTTTACATTTTAGGAGAATAAACCTTCAAAAGAAACACCATCAATGCTTGTTTATTAACAATTTTAAAATCAGCACAACATACAGCAAATATGCTCATTAGATGAACTCTAACTCAATTAATGGCTTCTTTGCAAACATCTACTACTAAAGTTCCTACCAAAGCCTGAGTAGACTGATAAATAAATGTGATGAGCCATTTATCAATCTCAGTGTTAATAAACTTCTTTGAGGAATGATCAAACTACTAGTGTCCTCAGTAGTGGACATGTAACATTCAACCATCACCACTTTTTCAAAGTATTTGATCTATGCCTGCTTATAATAAAGATAAGATTATTATTATAAGCACATATTAAACAGAAACATATTGCACGGAGCGGTGTTCATCCATAAACACGGACTGTGGTCACATGTAGCCCGTCCTTCCCATAAAGCAGAAGTACACAAACGGCAGTAAAAACATCAGGGCGCGGCTCTGCGCTATATCCATAACTGCTCTTATAATGAAGGCCTAAGAGGAGAACTACGCCATCAACGTCTGGGATTAAAATGTTATTTTAATAGAATAGTGTCACTATCAACATATGCATGTTGTGGGTTTTACCGAGACATGTTCACACGGTTTCTGAGCTCTCACTGTGGGTTATTAACACATTTTCTAATGAGGCCACTAGAGGTCGTCTGTTCAGATAAGAGCGAAACGGGGCGGAGCTCCAAACTGACCAATGGCATCGCGACGTTTGTGTTCGGTGGAAATTTTGAAAGTTCCGTTGGACACAACAGAGTTCAGTCCGGTTACATCCGTCACGGATTATAACATAATACTAACTATTAAATATACAAACTACATTCATTTTAGGTAAATATTCTGGTTCTGGCTGCGGTAAGTTATGTCTGGCGTCTTGGAGAAATCACAATACTTTAAATTCAAGCGTTTGTTGTTGTTGTTGCTGCTATGCTAACGCTAACGCTAGCTCGGTGTTTGAGATTTGCGTTTCGACTGCAGCCCTACTCAGAGTTTCTGGCTCTGTTCAGATGTTTGTATACAGAACTTAAGGCAGCTACATAATGTGTTAGGTCTGTCAAAAGTGAATGACATTAGTAATTTGTGTAGTAGCTCTATGTTTAATGTTTCCAGGAAAGATTGGCTAGCTTGCTAGCTCCGCAGCAATGGTAGCCTTAGCACATAGGCTCCTTGCCTGCGATCGGAGCAAACATAGCAAATCCGTCCTCTTTCTGTTCATCGACCCGCATCTAACAATATCTCAGCCTAACGTCAAGAAGTAGCATAGCAACTGCATTGATATGGCACGATTGCATGTTTCTGTGGAGTGACTGTCAGTGTTTTTAGGTATGGATGAGGAGGAGAGCACTGACCGGCAGCTGCAGATTGCCATGCTGTGTCAGAAGCTGGAGAAGATCAAGAGATACTACAACGATGGTGATTATTAGCTACGAAGGTTTAACGTTACATGTCCAGAATTTTTAAGCACATATTCACGTTGATTACTTTTCAACGCAAGTTTAAGGAAAAAAATCTGGTTCTATAATGATTTAATTTTTTTCTTGTAGATGACACAGACAATATTAACCAGATCATCAGTTCAAATTCACCAGACACATGCCATACGTTTTTGAGTAACCTGGAGAAGAAAGGCAATCCTCAGACAGATCCCAGTCTTCTTTCTAAACTAATTGATTTCTACACCCGAGTTTTTTCAAGCATGCCACTAGGAAGATACAGTCAGAATGTAAGCTATGCAAAGATGCTGGTCAGATTTGCAGAGCTGAAAGCGTAAGTCCCCGTTTGTCATTCTTCATTCAGAATTCAGTAATTTCACAGCCATATGTTACAAAAAAATAGGAATCTAAATTAATTGAGAATTACCTGAAGTGACAGTCTTCCCCTCTCAACAGTATCCAAGATGTCGGTGATGCGCAGGATAGTTTTGACATAGCAAGATCCCACTGCAAGGATTTTGCCTTTGTCCACATTGCTTACGCTCAGTTTGAGCTTTTGCAAGGTAAGAAGACAAAGAATGTTGGTATGAGGCTCACGCAGTTACACTACAACCCTTATACTTGATAAATATTAGAGTTTGGAATTTTATTATGAAATTCCAAGTTCAGGAAAAATTATTAATTTTGATTATTAAAAGTTAATTTATATGGGGATTTATTGAACCGTAAAAACAAGGTTTATCAGTAACGTTTAGTTTTTTTGTGAGAATAATAACAGCAAAACGCTTACTTGCAGAACATATTTTTAGGGCAAGGAGAATTTCAAAAGCATAGCAGAAAATTGATAAAATAAAACAGCCTTTGTCGAAGGATGTTTTAATATCTGAAACATATTTTATTGGTGTAATGTATTAGCGTCAAGTGTTGTTTATTTGTAGAAAATCTCTGTTTCTCATGTCTATTCTCTGAACAGGCAATGAGAAGAAAAGCGCTTTGATTCTTCAGAAGGCTTTTGAAATGGGTGCTAAACCATTAGAAAGCCTGGAAACTGCAATGCAGAATCTTAAATTGGGAAGACATCGGCTCCTTTCCCAAGAGGATAAAGAGAACATAGCAGGTTGTTTTCTAGAATATTTCATGTGTAGTAATCTGTGTTGTTGTTGTTTTCTCATACATTTGGTATTATATTTGGATTGCAGTGTAAATCTGCACATTTATTTAATTTTTTTTTGTAATTATTGACATGGTGTTTTTGATTTTATTAATAGTGCCGGCTCTTGAAAATACACACGAACCTGTAAAAAGCGGTTCAGGGTCTAAAAGTGGCTTTGGAAAGTCAGATACATCGGGCGATTTTCATCTTTCCAGTAATTTCTCTCTAGGGTAAGAAGAAAATGTTTATTTATTTATTGCTCATATCATGTCACGTTGCTGTAATAAATAAATATTTAAGTTTAGCTTAAATGATACTTATCTGGAACCACAGAGCTGATCAGAAGAACAGTCCACAGGATGACCATCTGCCTGTCTGGAGGTCTGGCGTACAACACAAAAGAACAATTGCCATGGTAAGGTTGAAAATTAAGTTTATTCTTATTTAGAAAAATAGAACTTGAAACACAGCATTCTTATTTTGGTACTGTTAGAATTTCTTTACACTAACTGCTTTGCTTTTCCCCTGTAGCCTGGAAGGATTCCCATGATCCCCCTGTCTATTCCTGAAAATGAGAATGCTGTTTACAAACAGGAGCCTCCCAGCCATGGCAGTAGTTTGTCTAGGTGAGAGTATTTTATGTCTGTGTAATACTGTTTCTGTCTCATGATCAGATTTTATCCTTCCAAAGCCTGACTAATGTTTTATTCGTAGGCCGACATATCGCTCAAGTGCCTGCTCAGTGTTCTCGCTCTCCTCTTCAAAGAAGAGTTCTGGAGATGGAGACTCTTACAACTTGCTAAATCTGAAGGTATGAGAACTAAGCATTTTCTGTTAATTGTTTGAATGACTACAGCTGAAAGTAATTGTAATTAATAAAAAAGTGATGAATGTAAATATTATTTATTTTGTATAGTCACACTATATACCTGCTGAAAACGTTTGTATTTATATAATAGTGGATATTTTGTGTAGCCACCTGTTGTGAGTCCAGAGCCACGTCCTTGGGAGGACATTGCTGAAGTGGACTCCACCACTACACTCCTGCACAGACCAGAGAGAAAGGATGCCACTAGAATGGATGGTACCACAATGCTAATATTATTTTATTGTTAAACATCTGTATTTGCCATTTTTAAACAATTGTTTCTCACTGCATTCTTACTGTGGTACTGATAGTATTTCTTCTTTTTTTTTCCCCAGACACCACTGGCAATATCAACCAGATAATTAGTTCGAACTCTCCTGAGGCTTGCTACACATATCTCACAAATCTGGAGAAGACCGGTGACCCTCACACAGATGCCACTTTTCTCTGCAGGCTGCTGGATTGCTATTCTAAAGTCTTCTCCAAACTTCCCTTGGCACGGCATAGCAAAACTGAAAGCTATGCTCGAATGATGATCAGATATGCTGAGTTGAAAGGGTAAATAAGTAGAGTCTGACAAATTTGCTTGTGTCTTGCCGTTTTGGTACAACACAGATTTTTAAAAATATATTATTGTTTGTAGAATTGAAGATCCGGATGACGCTGAGGATAATTTCATCATTGCCAGAACCAATAGCAAAGCTTTTGCCTTTGTGCATATCGCCCATGCTCAGTTTGAGCACTCACGAGGTTGGTGTATACTAGACAACGATTTCCTTACTGATGTAGTGTGTCCTCGTACACATACAATATCATATACACTGTACGTTCAAAAGTTTAGATACCTTAACATTTCATGAGGTCAGGTACTGATGTTGGATATTTAGTTCTGGATCACAAATGCCACTGCAAGTCATCCCAGACTTATCGGATGGAGCTCCATCACTGTAGAGAACACAGTTCTGCTGCTTCACAGCCCAGTGGTGGGGGCATTTATACCCTTCTAGCCAATGTTCAGCATTGAGCATAGTGACCTTTATATTCTCATTCTATTGACAGTGTTTTTCTGTGGAGATTAAACAAGCTGTGTGTGTGCAAATGAATGCCTGAGTTTAATTCACTAATTAGAAGGGGTGGCTGGATACTTTTGGACATGTTTGTGTTCTCGTGCAACTGTTGTGCACATCCATAAATACATTTTACAATGGTAAAGCTGTCCTTTGCTTTCTTTTTCGTTTATGCAGGTAACATTAAGAAAAGCACTTACATCCTGCAGAAGGCCTTGGCATCAAATGCCAAACCTGTAGAACATCTCCAGACGGCAATGAAGAATTTGAAGTCTGGAAAAGCTCAGCTGCTCCCAACTGAAGATAAAGAAGATATTGCAGGTTAGTCACTTCACTTATTCAACGTAGAGTGATCCCAAAATATCAACAGGAAGAGGCCTCATCTCAGTTGGTGGTTCTTGTTCAACAGACACAGCAGGCACTCACAGTGATGCAGGAAGAAAGGAAGAAGAGAATCCACTAAGGGTTTCCACAAATAATGTTCAACCCAAACCTAATTTTATGGAGAGTTCATCAGACTGGAAGATTCCTGCTCGTATCAACAGATATGCATCTCCAGAGGTGTGAATTTGGAACAGGGGCTGTATTTTACTTCTGCTTTTTTATATTTGTTGTTCAACTTGAATCACCATCTTCAGGCTGATCAGTCACAATGTAGTGATGCAATTAAAAACACCCCTAGTCTCTACAGTATGAGCTGTGTGACTCTTTTAAAGTGACTCCTCAGTTATACTTAAGGAAAATTGTACAATGTTATGTTTGTGTTCTAATTAATCATACTTAGTTTCCTAAAATCTGCTAGTTGTATAAAATTACTTAAATTATATTAAATGTCAAAGACTTTAAAAAGTTTGTATAATTTGTCAAGTTAAATGTTTATGATGTACTTCCTTAGGAACAAAAGCCTGCTGTAGGTCACATTCCCACTCCAGGGCCTCTTCACTCACTGAGAACTCCCTCTTCAGCAGTACCACCGAGGTTAAATCCAGCCATTAGCATTCAGACACCCAACTACAAAGACACAAGACCAAACAGGTGATGACAAGGCAGAGCCTTACAGATATCTAAACTAGAATTTTGTCTAAGTGGATGTTTAGTTTGACAGCTCTTATTCTTTATCCCTAGTTTCGTTACACCTGTGGTGAAGCAGATACCACCTGTTGTGTCCGTTCCCTCTACGGCTCAGAGAATCAGCCATTCTCAGTTACCCTGCACTCCACAGGCTCAGATCTCCTGCGTGCAGCAGACATCACAGGTAAAGAACTGGCTGTCAAATACGGCTAAATTGTTATTTTTCATTAAATATATTTAAATAAAATCCAGTGCTCCAGAGGCTGTACACGCAATTCATAGATTGAGTTCATTTCAGGTCAGTTCTGTTTTCTCACTGATCTCTTTGGTGTAACATGCATTGTAGGCACAACAGTATAAAGACTGTACAAAGACAGATATTATACTAGAGAGGAAAAAAGTGTGATAAAAATCTTGTTCTGTCGGGACTAAGTGCGAATTCCTGATCGCTCAAAGCCCCAACATATGGATGATTAAACACTAACTTGTTCTATAATTATGTTTCAGTTCTTCAATAAATCTAATCACTTGTTCTCGTCATAAATGCAAAATGAAATAAAGTTCAGTCAAAAATAAAAGAAAGTTGAATAAATGACTTCAGCTGCTGAGTTCTTTTGGAAGGAAGGAAAAGGCCCTCTTTATTGAGCTTCAGGTGGCAAGATGGCTTCCAGACAACCAAATGCAATGAACATCACAAAACATCCATTTTTATATCCTGTTTGGGGGTGATGAAGTAAGTGCCTAAAAAAAAACCCCTAATTTACACATAGCAAGGCCTATCCTTAGTGAGAGGATTAATACACTTTGTTAATCAATCTTTTAGGTGCATGATTAAAATTTGCTTAGTGATTTAAAATAATAATTCAAGGTAACATTTTATTATTAAAATCCCACAGTGCCAAACTGTATGATGGAGTTTTATGCTAGTGACTGAAGTCAATGCATTATTACAAACCCAATTCCAAAAAGTTTTGACAGTAGGTAAAATGCTAATACAAACAGAAAGCAGTGATTTATAGCTTTTCCCTGCATTTGAACGAAAACAGTTCAAAGACAAGTTATGTAATATTTTGTTTCATCAGCTACATTAATTTGTGTAAATATACCTTGCTGCATCCACAAATGCAAATTCACTGTTCTATGCACAGTAGAAGTCATATGTCAGTAGCGTCTAGAAACGCTGCTTTCTTTTTATTTGCATGATGTGTTCTCTGGGCTTAAGCTCATCTGAAATTGACTGATTTAGTACTGTTGTCTGACGGGTCAGCTTCAGCATGTTTATGGAAATAATGGACGCTGGTCTGTCATGGTGTGGGAGGGTATTAGTGGGTAGCTTGCACATCTGTGAAGGCAGCATTAATGAATAACTTCTGGAGCAACTTGCTGCCTTTAAGACGCCATCTTTTTCGTGGACATCCATGCTTATTTCAACATGACAACAAGTAGAAGACTTGTAGCACTGAACAATGGCAAAAAGATTTCCTTTTCCAAACTGGATCAGTTTGTGTTTTCAGTCCCCAGATAATTACTGAGTGGTGTTGAAAGGAAAGATAAACCTGTTAAAACACACTGGTAAACATGTTCTTGTCCCAGCTTGTTTCCCCCCGCAAAGTGTTGCAGGCATCATATTTGGATTGGTGTATATTTACAAAAAAACAATGATGTTTCTAAGGTAACACAATATTTGTGTTTTTACCGTTTTCAATTGAACACAGGTCAAACAGAATTTACTAATCACTGCTTTCTGTTTTTATGAGCATTTCACATACTGAACAAGAAAACAAATTCTTGTTTTTCCTATTGTGAATGTTCTGCACTCAGGTTGGCAGACATGGTGTCCAACTGTAATGTCTCTTGTTTGCCACCAAGACATTATAGAATAAAATGATTTTAGGTTCAAAATATTTAATTTTGTTCCCTAAGATGGTGTATTGAGAGGAAGTGGGAGTTCAGGTGAATTTGGACTGTGTTTGTTGACAGTTTGACATTTTGACATGACATTTTGTGCTCCCAGGGGTCTGTCGGTGCCTTCACCAATGAGTCCATCATAATCAAAGGCAGACAGTTCTTTATTTTGAAGATGATTGGCAGGGGTGGTTCCAGTAAGGTAATGTGCCATTTTACAGTTGTTTGATAACACTGTGGTATTTATGCATGCTTGTCACATTTTATTTGGCTTAATAATTTGATGATGAAAAATGTACTGCCATTGCAGGTGTATCAGGTGCTGGACCAGAAGAAACAGCTGTATGCGGTGAAATATGTAAACCTGGAGGAGGCGGATGCCCAAACAATTGAAAGCTACAAGAATGAGATTGAGCACTTGAACCATCTCCAGCAGTACAGTGACCAAATCATCAAACTTTATGACTAGTGAGTGTGTCCACTGCTTGCAGTGCTGCTGGTGCCATCTGTATGGCCAATGAAAGTGGGAGATGATTTTATCAAAACATTTAATATTATTCTCCAGCTAAGTGTCATGTAGAACACAAGCATGTGCTTCATCCCCTGTTGTTTCCTACCTGTTTGCAGTGAGATCACTGACAGCTATATCTACATGTTGATGGAGTGTGGCAGCCTGGACCTCAACACCTGGCTACGCAGCCGCAAGACTGTCAACTCACTGGACAGGAAGTTCTACTGGAGGAATATGTTGGAGGCAGTGCAGACCATCCACAAACATGGTGATTATAGATGGCCAGCTCTACAATATTAGGAGAAAAAGATTGCGAACTTGTGTTGATGTATTTGTTCAACTAACAGTTTCTTTTTCATTTGTTTTCAGGTATAGTCCACAGTGACTTGAAGCCAGCTAATTTTGTGATTGTGAATGCCTCGCTGAAGCTAATTGACTTTGGCATAGCCAACCACATTCAACCAGATATGACAAGTGTCGTTAAAGACTCACAGGTTAGTCAAAAATGTTTGATTAGTACAGTGATTTTCTTTCTCACAATTTATGCAGTGATTATTTCTTGCAGTGCATGCAGTCATAATTCTAATGCTGTGCTTCAGGTGGGAACTCTAAACTACATGCCCCCAGAAGCCATAAAAGACACTTCTTCTAAAAGTGGAAAGCCAAAGTCAAAGGTAAGATTCAATTATATTTCCAAACTGTGTATTGGCGTACCCATTGGTCTAATACAATCAATCTAACGTTAGGCATCTTACCGATATTTGGGTGGTTCTTAACTTTTGACTCATGTAGTAGAAAATGCCATTTTAGATAATAATGATAATTCTATAGGCTGTAATGCCTTTCTCAAACTCATTTATTGTTGTCGTCCACAGATCAGTCCAAAGGGTGATGTATGGTCACTTGGTTGTATCCTGTATTGCATGACCTATGGAAAAACACCTTTTCAACACATCACCAACCAGATCACAAAACTACATGCCATTATCGATCCGTCCCATGAGATTGACTTTCCTGACATTCCTGAAAAGGATCTTCTAGATGTCCTTAAGGTCTGTATTGTGTTGAATTATATTTTTATGTGACTTGTAAAGTCATAGTTTCTTAACATTAAGCACAACACAGTTTCATATAAAAACAAATCTCTTCCTCTTACTTAGCGTTGTCTGATCCGGAATCCAAAGGAAAGGATCTCCATTGCAGAACTCCTTGACCATCCATACTTACGGCTGCAGCCTCAGAAACCTCCTGAGCAAGGTGACTGCTGTGTTTTTTTTTAGACTAGTCTTAAGCAGATACATGTGAAAACCTGCCAGATGTAGAAAGAACTGATAAGGATATAACATACTATGCTAAATGTATTAACACTAATGCTTTTCTCTTTCTTCAACAGAAACATGCAACAGTGACCTAAAGAGAATTCTAAATGAGTTGGCTGCTTTAGAGTCTCCTAACAGTATTGCAAGAGCTGCTAGTGTGAGTATTCTTTTCACTTGAAGTCACTTCTTGTTCCCTGTGATCACTTTCAAATATTCAGTTGTATTTTCTTAGTCTAAAATTGCTTTTGAAATTTATCGACTTTATCAAAAGTTCAACCTCTACACTTACTGTAACCCTGTGTTCCTGTCCTGTTTTTTTACAGAACCTGGCAAAAATGTGTAATAGCGGAAAGAAACTGGACGTTTCTGAGTGTGTCAAGAGTTCAAGTCAGTCCACATGGAAGTGAAGAGATCATCTTAAATATGAACAGTTCATCATGGTAGTTTGAAAACACATGCCAGCCACTGCCTTGAATGTCTTTAAAGTCTTGAGAAAAGACATTATTTTGATACTGGACTTGGCTAAGTAATTTTTGAGGCAAGACGATTGTTGGCTTGAAACATTCCTGTGCATTTCTTTAAACTTGTCTGTCAACTGTGTGTATCCTACATATTGCTGTCTTCATCACCTTTTTGTTTTTTAAAGAGGTAATACAATTATTTCAAATACAAACCCTCATCTTATATTTTTTAAACTGTCACTTTCATCTTTTTTTTTTTTGTCTATGTTTATATATTATGTCCTCACAAATAAACTAACCCTTTATAGTAAATTCTTTTTTTTTATTTTTATTTTTTAGCCCTTGGTTCCTGAGATTAATAACCTAAATTTAGTTCTGGGTCACTTTATCTTTTCCCTTTAGTTTCTTTGCTTTTTTTTTCAATTTTTGGCACTTGACTCTAGGTGCAGTATAAAAACTGTCTAAACTGTCTGAATCTAAACTGTTTTTTTCTGTCCAAATTGAATTATTTAGCTAAAATGTTAGGCCTGTCACAATTATTAGATTATCACCTAATCACAGTTATTTCAGGTAATTACTTTTATTTAAGCTGACTGCAGTCATTTTCCACAGGCGTTAGATTTTAGTCATGCTGCAAGTGGAATGAAATGGCTGGGTTGGGTTGAGGCAAATAAATAAAACAGTAAATGCATTGAGACATCATGAGGCTTATGAAAACAAAAGGACCTAACTTGGTGCGCTAGCATGTTCAGAGGGCAGTTCTGAGTATTGTCTTTATTTGTATGCTATGTAGCTAATTCTAAAGCTTTTGAGCATGTGTTGTTCTTGCACCACAAGAAAGAATGAGAGGATTTTGCTTATATCTTCACACTCAATAAGAACATGCAGCTTTGCTTAATTCTACATGTAATTCTGTTGTAACTATATTTGTGTGCGCAGTATCGATTGGGCAGTACAACCATGTTAGCTACTAAGTAAACGTAGCTAGGACGTAAGGAGGCAAATCAGCCAATTGGGCCATTTTTGGCTTGTATTTCAATAGTTGCAAACAATGAACAAAGAAAGACAATTAAATTGTTAATCACAATTATTTATATGACAACTGAGCCCCTCCAACGAAAAACCATATATTAACTAATCCATCCTTTATGGATTATGTTATCTTGTTTTGTACAACCTTTTACATTAAAAAGCCAAATTGTGCTGTATTTATGTTTAGCGACCCTTTCATTTTAAATACAGGGTATCAAACAATGCCATACCATGCTTATATGATTTTTTACAAAAAATGTAACACTGTTTTTCGTTACAAGGGCTCAATTAATTGTTAACTAAAATTTCATGATCAAATCCTCTGAAGTGTCTTGTGAAATGTTTTTCAGATTTTTGGCTACCTCACCGTGCATGAGTGGGATACCATGTTTCACTCAGAAACCGTCACCGTACGTAAGGGTGCATTATGTTTTCAGATTTACATTTGTTTTAATAACTTGCCACATTTTTAGAGAATTCAGTTGTTGGTAAGACTGTCACTATTGATTATGTAAAACTGAACGCTGGCAAAAAATGCATAAATGTGTCCATCAGGTTCTGTTTCTTACTGTAAGTGACTAGCAGTAGACAATTAAAATATGCATTATCAGGGAATCTGCAGGTAGTGGATTCATTTTCATGCTTTTTAGGTCTCTTATAAGGAAATCTTTAATTCTGCTTTTGGCCAGTCATTTCATGAACATGGCCATATATGAATCTTCTGTAACTTGAGTTATTCAGCCTACACCTAATTAAACAAAACCTTTTACTTAATATACAGTTGTATGCAAAAGTTTGAACACCCCCGATAAAATTACGTTTTATTTTTTCTATTTTCTATGTGAAAATAAGTTTAACCCATCCTCTACAGGGAACTATTTCTTCTTATTTGCTATATATAATTTCATATTTACAGTTTCTATTTATTTGCTATGCATATTTAATATATATATATAAAATGTGCCATAACGTTTGCACTGGCCACATTTTATTAAGTTAAATTTGGCAAATAATAATTATGTATTAAAAGGTGAATAATTGTGTTCTCATTGAAGGATGTGTACTTATTGTCACTAACAACAAATTCACTTGTAGTTTTTATCATTTAATTTTACTTCACATACATGCAATTTGTTTCAACAAACATCCATTAGTGAGATTCTGCTTGTGTGGGTTTTCTCTTTTTCAGTTATGCACACAAAAGATCTGCAGATACCGAACTAATCACTAAGCACAATTCAGTGCGAACATACATTTTATTGAAAATGTTTTCAAGTAATTGAAAAATACAAAATAATGGTTTTCCAAAGCCACACACTACCATTCTAAACAGTATGCATTTATTAATATACTGTGTAAAGCACTGTAGTGCTCACTGCTATTAAAAGAGGCACTGCATTTGCGCAAGTAGGGGTGCTTTATTTTTCAGCTGTTGTTGTCCACAGCCAAGCAAAGATCTCATCTCACTAACAACTCTTTCTCTCTCCCAGCTCACGTCTCTCTATCTATCTATCTATCTATCTATGTATCGCTGGAGAACACATAACCTAAAACTAACATTGCAAAACATTTCTTGAACACAATACAGTATAGTACAGGGTGCCTGATCCTGGAGATCTACCACCTTGCAGAGTTTAGCTCGAACTCTTATCTAAGGCCTAGTCCACATGTACTTGGGTATTTTTTAAAATGAGGGGGTTTTTCTCCTTCGTTTTAAAAACAAATCCCATCCTCACAAGCCCCGTTTTTTAAAATTGTCCGTCCACATGAGAACGCAAACACTGCTGTCAGCAGCTGTCCTTGACAAAACAAAAATTCTCTCGCCATACTTCTGCAAGAACCACTTCGTTTTCAAAGTTGTCCCACCAACTGGTCCAATACAGTCTAAGAGTAACTGTATATTTATGGAAACATGTAAGAAGTCCTGTCAGCAATTATATATTATATTAACAGTTATAATCAGTACTATTTTGTCTATTTTGTTGTTAAACTCGCCTCATGTAAACAAAGGACAATGGCTCACACTCTTGACGTTACAAGCCAAATACTCAGTTTTCCCTGTCTACACGAAAACACTGAGAACAGGGTTTCTGAATATCTTCATCCTGGAAAGAATTTTGCAAAAGGTCAGTTTTCAGTGACCTAAAACGCAGTTTACGTGTGGATTTAAGGCCAAAAAGCTACGTTTTTAGAAAAAAAATACCCGTGTACGTGTGGACAAGGCCTAACACACCTGACCCAGGTAATGAAGGCCTTCAGGGGCCTCTGTATAGTAGAGCCAGCTGTGCTGGATCTGAACTCTCCATGTCCAGGAATTGGGCACCCGTGGTACAGTAGTTTTGGATGCAGCCAATCTGGTTTTTTTTTCTAGCTCAGCCAAATCAGATTTTAAAATATGCGTTTTATAACAATCTATTAGGTAAAAGTTTTAGAGAAACCTCATCATCTCCTGTCGTCTTTACAGCTGCACACCGGTTCCCTTTAAGAGCCGCCCACTGGTTCAGCCAATCAGCGCAGCGCTCGGCCGTTCCTCCCCTGACGTAGCGCTCCGTCTTCCTGTTGAGAGCGGCTATGATGGCGGCAGTGCGGCTTCTGTGCAGGACTGTGAGCTCCTCCTCATCCTCCTCCTCCTGTGTGCACAGCGGTTTGGGTGCAACGCTGCTCAGATTGTCCCCGAGCTGCTCGTCCAAACCGAAAACGCAAAAGAGGCATGCGGCTCACTTCACCTACCAGCCTGACCCCGTACCCACTAAACATGGTAGGACACGCAGGCGCTGCTGCTGGATTATGGCTTCACTTCGCTCCCTGTTTACAGCCAAGCACAGTCTGCTAACCACCACTGAGCTCATTTCACTTTAACACCAGTTCTGCTCTTCACTCAGAACATTTACGGTGTAGCTCACTGCAGAACGAAAGTCGTTTAGCTAAACGAGTTTTCCTTCTTTGACAGTGAGTTGTCTTTGAGCTGCATGATGGTTAAACTTGTAGGGCCTTTAAGTCAGGCCACTTTCAGCAGATGTTTACAGATTTTGTCACCACGTTTTTGCAGCAGCTAGTTCACTAACTTAGCCAGCTTACAATCCTTTACAAACCGAGTCCTATGAATACTGTCACTTGTTAGTTAAGTTACTGTAAATGCTTTTCAGACCAGTCGAGGTCCCTGTGATCTGTTTTGCCATCATGCTTTGTTTATTCAGTTTTCCATATTGCTTCTTTACTGTGTGGAAAGTTCTGATTCAGTGTGACGCTCCATGCACAACAGTCTATGCATTAAGACTGTTGTGCATGGAGTGTCACACTGAACCAAAACCTAACCATCAAACAGGGGATCAACTCTGATTGCTCTTATTCTGCTAAATTCCTAATGCTTTTTTCATCATGGCCATAGTCTAGCCTGTGTGTTTATTTCCTCCAGGCCCCACCGTGAAGATGAACCTATTCCAGTCTGTAACCAGTGCCTTGGACAACACACTTGCAAGTGATCCCACAGCAGGTATGACTGATCTTATCTGTTCTTCCTCACATATTTGGTTTGCTGAAGGCGCTTTTATAGGTTTAGGGTTATTTTTGCTCCCAAGAATCCATATCAAAAGTTGTATTGGTGTTTGTTCATGTTGCACAAATGGTCACTCTTTGCAATCTTTGGCATTCTTAGACATGTAACTGACTTGTAGCAAACTGTGGTTAGAAATATTAGTGAAAAATCTGGACCTTGGATGTTATTTTATGTTTGCCAAGTTAGTCTTCTGAATAGGTATAAATATGAAAAACACAAGAAATCTTTTAAAACAATATGGTAGCAGTGTTTTCACTGCATTCAAGGGAAATTCCAAAGATTTTTCAAAATTTCAGCAAAATTGCGTTGTCAGTATGTAAACAAAGTCTGAGAAATGTGTGCATTGCAGAGAAACCTACTGGTTCAGATTTCAGATTTCTTTACAGTGGAGGAGATCGGAACCCGTTACAGGGCAGTGTTGATAATGGTGAAATAGTAGTAAATCTGTGATGACATTAAATCTTACATGATTTTTGTTTCTGTTTAAAGTTATATTTGGGGAGGATGTGGCGTTCGGAGGAGTGTTTCGATGCACTGTTGGACTTCGGGACAAATATGGTGAGTGTCTCAGATAAATGATTACTCATGCAATTGAAAGATTATGGCTCAAGTTTACTTGATGTGTATTTCATAGACAATATTTAACACTAGATGGCAGCATCTTCCTACTTCTGAGATGCAAAAGGCTCATGAGACTGATTTAGTGATGAATAACACATTGATTGCCCTCTTGAGAGCTATAATTAGAGTTTTGATTTCCTATTATAAATATTTCTGTGTTAGGATCCATCCAGTCATTTGCTGAAACTTTATCACCCACAGAATCCTATTAAAACCACAATAAATTGTGAAAACTGTTCTCTGATTTTTCTTATGTAACATTTTAATACGTCCAGTGTTTTCTTTTCAAACTAAGCTTAAAGCACACACTAAACATTTTATGCATGACAAATATGCAAGTATACCAAATATGCAAGAAAAGACTATTTCTTGCTTTCTTTTTGCTAAGGGCTGTGTTCTAGTCAGTATTACATTGTCATCTATAATGTTACATAGACAGAGCCAAACTCAGTCGGGCTTTTTGGTTTTGTTCAAAAATTTGTTAAATAGTAAAAAAGTGTTTTATTTTTAAATTTCATCAGGTAACGTAGGTTCATTCTGTAGCTCTTTTGTTCAGTTGTCTACTTTTAGCCTTCACTACTTGGATATTAATAGCAATTTGATATTTTCAGCATGCTTCCATTAACATGATTATATTCACATTGCTGGACAAACATGGGATGATTCATGCATTGCTTAGCAACTTATAGTTAAAATAAACACAAGTTGGGTACTCTTGCTCCCACCGTCCCCATCTCTCTCTCTCTCTCTCTCCATCTCTCTCCGTCTCCATACCCCTCCCCCTTGCCTTTTGTTTTCATTGACGTCAGAGGTTTTGACCTTTTGTGAGGAATCATTATTTTCCATGCCAACTCGTTAGACAGGAGAGATGGCACATCAATGACTACCTGCACGAGTGACGCACAAAGACACACTCATACACACACGCGCACTGCTGAGCATTGCCTAGTGCCACTGCCGTCCACCTGTATTCCACATTTTGAGCTGTCATTTCTCCTCCCGCCAATCCACTTTAAATTACTCTCTCTGTGAAATCGATTGCACACGCCAGCCAGGAAACATTGCATTATCTCTGAAATGACTGTCACCATCTTGGTAAATGGAACCTACCTTGTGCACCGTATTCGCTTCTTTCCGTCCAAGAGAGATAGATTCATAATTCTGTGTTAATGGAGACGTCGCCTTTGGAGTTGACTGGAACTCTGAAATATCCATCAGATTCCTCTTTCTTTCCATAATTTCTCAGATTTTTTTTTTTTGTTCAAATGTCCTCACCTAATGGTCCATTTAAGCTACGATTTGTATGATTTCAGGTGATCAGGTGATATATGGGCAAGCCATGTTGTGAAATCAATTTGAATGGTTGGGTACAATGCAACATAGGCCAACACTTAGAGAAGATCAAACCAGAAGATCAGAATAGAGAGGCAGCTTGCGGCTTGGCATAAATTAAAAATAGACTCGCTGACCATATCTTGAGTCTAATTCTTGTGGTTTGTTGTTGGATTATAGGATAGAAAAGGAAAACACTGTTTTTGTGGTTGTGGATGACTCTGCTGTTTAAAGCTGCATTTACCTTCGCTTTGTTTCTTTACGTAGTTAAAAAAAAAAAATTAAATGACCAGTATTGGATCTGGTTTTATTCAAGTTTGTGTTGTCTGTTATGTCTGTTCTGTGATCCTCTGGCATCTGTATTACAGGTAAAAACAGTATCCATAGCTATCACTAACTTATCAGCTTTTCCCTCTCTGCTTTTCCTCACCAGGAAAAGACCGTGTGTTCAATACTCCACTATGTGAGCAGGGCATTGTAGGATTTGGCATAGGTGTAGCTGCCGCAGGAGCAACTGCCATTGCAGAGATTCAGTTTGCTGACTACATCTTCCCAGCTTTCGATCAGGTGGGTGCACAGTTATGAAGTGTGTTGTAAGGCTTTGAATTTTATAATGTTTTATTGTATAGATTTGACCTGTTCATACTAAAGAGTTGCATTGTGACAATAGCAGTGTTGTGTTTGTTTGTAGAAGTGTATGTACATCTTGTAAGCCTGTGCTGATTGAAGATTACCATCTCATATGAAACAAAAGATCCTGGTGTAGAGGTGCAGTGCCTCACACCTAGCAGTACTTGTGACTTTTACCTTGTAAAGATGAATGTGCTGTTAGCTGACTGACCTGTGGGGATAACGTGCGGATTTTGCTTACCTTGTGCTGAGCCCTGCACGTCCTTGCCTTACATAAGATGAATGATTTTTCGCTCCTTCATCAAGGCAACAGAGAATATCAGATGGGATAATGGGGGGAATATTTTACCACAGTGGGTCCTCATGCCTGAGTGATGACTGAGCTGGCCTCTGAGTCACATTGCCTCTCTGCGCTCTGTCAGGATGGAAAAGTGGCGTTACAGAGACCTGTGCAGCAGCTTAGGACAGTAATGACGTTTTTGCGAAGTATAGTCATTGTCTGCTTCTCTGGCTGTAATGTTAAGATTTTTGAGTGCTGAAAAACTGGACTTCGTTGTCCTCGTTGTCCTCTTTGTCTTGGTGTTGGTGCTGTTTAATTACTGAATCATTGTTAGCAGTTAAGTTAACCAGCTGCTGTTTAGTTTGTCTGAAGTTGATGTACAATCTGTTTATTTCTGTGGACTGTCAGAACCACTGTCCACAAATTATGTCACATGTGGTGATGGAATGGCTTTGAATAATAATAGATGTTGAGTTTAAAGACAAGAAGTCTGCCAAATTTCATACACATTAACCTTTTAAACTTGGTTTAGTGAGAAATACATTTTTAACAAGTGAATCAAAATACCTAGAAATAAGTAAAAAATTTGGCATAGATATCTTGTACTTGTTTTGTTGTTCATTTCGCTGAACTAAATAATTCAACAGCCACTACAGGGTGTTGGATTCTGAACTTGTCACCTTCTTTCACTGCTTGTGAATTTTCTTGTCTGGGAGCTACTTAGTAAACTTGTTTTTCCTTTCGAAGATTGTAAATGAAGCTGCCAAGTACCGATACCGTTCAGGTAACCTTTATGACTCTGGGAACCTGACCATCCGAGCACCGTGGGGCTGCGTGGGCCATGGGTCCCTCTACCACTCACAGAGCCCCGAAGCCTTCTTTGCCCACTGTCCTGGCCTTAAGGTAAGCCTTTACGAAACCAAGCCTGCGACAGGTTGCCCTTCATAATTCTACTTCTGTGATCTTTCCCACTAATGTCCTTTCCCTAATGTCTATAGGAAACACTTCTAAGCTCATGATATGAAGGAGAGACTAATCAAAGCAACAGTGGGTCTGAAAATAATGGAAAATTGGATATGAAACAAGAAGTGGAAGCAAAATGGGAAATTGGGGCTGCAATTGAAAGCTGATGCTGTGGTTACTTCTCAGCCACATCAGACCTAATTTTGCCTCTTTTGGAATTAATGTCAACAGGGTAAAAACACAGTGCCTAATTTTGTGTTGTTATGATGTACCTGTATGTAGACCAAGGCATTTTTTCACATTAGAGTGACCCTTGGTAATCATGAGCAAAATGAGCTGTAAAAAATATGAATTGCTTATCCTTTTGATCTTTCCTTCACAATATTAGCAAAAACCTAACCTTTATTTAAGGTATAATGATTGAAAGAAAAAACTAAATCTCGTCATGGAAAAAAAAAAAAAATTGGCACCCCTAGAAATTCTTAAGAATTAAATCTAACTGAAGAGTACTCCCATTCGTATTTTATGTTTTTATGTTCACCTGAGCAATTAGGAACACTTAAATGGTCAGCCATCGCTTCCTGTTTCACTGAAGTATAATTATGAGATGAAACACAGGCTAAATTCCCTCGGTCATCCATCATCATAAGAAAGACCAGAGACAGCAGCGATGTGCGACAAAAGGTTGTTGAGCTGCAAAAACCAGGAAACGGCTACAAGAAAATAGCTAAACAGTTGAAAATGTCCATTTCCACTATCAAGTCAATAAAGTTAAAAACAACTGGAGATGCTAAGAATCCGTCGGGAAGAGGATGTATGTCTATACTGATTTCACACACAGATAGCAGGCTGGTTTGAGTGGACAAAAAAATCTCCAAGAAACACAGGTGTGTAATTGCAGATAGTAGACACCAACTGTATAACCACAAGTCATTTAGAAGGGCTGCCAGAAGAGTGCCTCTGCTGACAAGGCCCAACAATATCAAGCTCCTACAGTCTGCAAAATGTTACTAGAACACAGTCCTATTGAAAGTTCTGTGGTCAGATGAGACCAAAATAGAGGTTTTTGGCAACAAACACCAGAGGTGAGTTAGTTGTAGACACAAAGACAGCCATGCAGAAAAGTACCTCATCCCCACTGTGAAGTATGGTGGTGGATTTGCGATACTGTGGGGCTGTTTTTCCTCCAAAGGGCCTGCACTTTTTATTTAGATACATGGTATCACAGACTCCATCAAGTACCGGCTGAAATAAAATGAAAACCTGACTGCTTCAGCCAGGAAGCTTAAACTGGGCCATAGTTTGGATCTTGCATGAGGACAGTGATCCAAAACACACATCAAATTCACCAAAAATGGTTCACTGACCACAGAATTAAGGACTTGCTATGGCCACCCCAGTCCCCTGATCTAAACAGCACAGAAACCTGTGGGATGAGCTGAAGAGGAGAGTCCACAGCCGGACCTCGGAATCTGAAAGTTCTGGAGAGGTTGTGTGTGAAGGAGTGGTCTCAGACCCTTTGCCATGTGTTCACCAGCCTCATTAAGCATTATAAGAGAAGGCTCAGAGCTGTGGTTTTTGCAAAGGAAGGCTGCCCAAAGTATTAAATCAAGGGGTGCCAATGATTGTGGCACAGAGATTTGAGAAAAATACTTATTTCCTGATATATTTAAGGGTTTATTTTCAGTTGTTGTACTTCAAGAAATGGTTAGATTTTTGTTAATATTTTGAATGAAAGATCACAAGGAAATACGATAAAGCATGTTTTTTAGATCCCGTTTGCCATGAGAAAGGCTAACTGAAATGTTAACTGCTGGATCCTATTTGACAGATACTGCAAATATCCATTTTTAATATTGTATTTCCAGAGTTTCAAACAACATCTGATATTCAAATTAGTATATGAAGTGTTACGTTGGCTCTATTTTTGACTCTGAGCTGAAAGCCCTTTTCAGGGAACACAGTCGCACAAATAAATCACTTCTGTGTGAGTAAAGAATGAGCTGAGCATGGATCAATATCAGACTCGCAGTAACCTGCATTTGAGCCAGCAGGCCTGATCTGACAGCTTACATGATTACGAGCCTGGCATTTAATGATTGCCTTCCACGGATACTGAGTGTCAAAAATGTCAACACTTTCTCATTGGAGTGGAGAGTGGACCACCCAGACCAACAATACACACTGTACAGCTCCTTAACTAAGTCTGATTCTAACGCTCGATAACGGACTCTTGTTCTGTTGTGCTTAGTTTGGAAAGGTCAAGCTGGTGGAAGCAGATCAAATCAAAATCGGGGGGAATTGCGTTTCTCGAGCATTTGTTTCTTGAGGCAGTTTTCTCTGCATGAATTTTTTTGCATTCTATTCCAGTGTAATTACATGTTGAGTTATGCAATAAACTGCATTTATAGTCGGTATCAATAGTTTCAAGTCTGCGTTTCTGGCATTTATTTCAATGTCAGGCAGTGACAAAATGTGGCGTTTTCACAAAACAAGGCTGTACACAAAAACTTTGTTTTTTATTAAATCATAATATAATATAATATAATATACATTCTGTTCTACTCCTGAATGTAAATGTGGATCTGCAATTCTGACAGAATTTCTCTACATGTTTCAGCCATAAGGGCTAAGTAGAATTACATGAGGGCTAATAGAATTACAGTGGTGCATTACAAATCTGTGATTTTTTTCATTTAAACCTGCAACCAAACGACAAAAACCTTTGGAAAAAAAAAAACGAAAGAAAAGTGAAAAGTAAAATGAAGAGGAAATATTCAAGTTTTTGCACGATTTTTAAGTCACTATTCAAAATGAACCAAATTTGTGAAATTGATCATGTTAAAGCCTTTGTACAAAAAGATTTATTTATTTATTATTTTTTTTTAACTTCAGTGGAACTCTAATTCCTTCCATTGAAATATGTTCATGCAACTGTCAGGGTTTGATGTGCTGATCAGAGGCGTTTGCACAAATTTATGCAGTCCAGGCCAGCTTGAGTGTACACTGTCAAACTGTCAGAAATTCTGAAATTCATTTAAACATTCGAAGATTCTACAGTTCATTTGAATTGGTGTATTATTTGTAATGGGAAAAAACTTTGTATGAAATAAGAAAGGAATGCAAAACAGAAGCATTTTCACAAGTAGTCTCAGACTTTTGGACCCCACTGTACACCATGCTTTTGTTTTCACCAGCGATATGACTTCTGAGGCTTAACCATGATTGTTATTTTTCTTTCCCAGTCTAACATCTGATTGCTTTCTCAGGTTGTTGTGCCTAGAGGTCCAATTCAGGCCAAGGGGCTGCTGTTGTCCTGCATTGCTGATAAGAACCCCTGCATCTTCTTTGAGCCCAAGATTCTATACAGAGCAGCAGGTTAGTTCCCGTCATGTATCTCAGGACTTTAAAAGTATTGTCTTTAAATCAGCAAGGAGTTCTTTGCAGTTATATGAATTGTTGTAGAAATTGATGCTGGTATGAAAAGTTTGAGGTTACTCCAATGTGGACAAAAAGCTCTCCCCCTTTTTTTTCCCACTGACGTGATTAAAAATGGACCCAAACAATTTGAGACAGTGAGGAGGGAAGGCAGCCTAAAAATGTCACAAGCCAGGCACTGCTCTTAAGAAATATTGCTGCTGTTAATTCCCCTTGTTGTGCTCAGTAGTACCGTTACTTGTGTTATGCAAGTTGACAAGGGTGTGCTTATTAGATTCATTTTACTGTGGAAAATAAGCTGGCTGTCAAAGGTATTTGTATGCGGCACATTCCAGGTGGACAAGGACATGCCATAAACGGCTGTACTGTGTACTGTGAAGAGTTAAGCCTCCTGAGCTTTTGGGCGTCAATAACTTATTTCCATGAGTGTTTCATGCTGCTGTAATGTTTAATAAGAATTTTATGTGTATTAGTAAAAATAAGGGCACTGGGCTGCTGTTGCAACTGCAGGGCCAGCATGGAGACAGAAGTGTGCACAGATTATCTGTTCTCTAAAATACAAAACAGGCTATTAACAGTGGTAGATAAGTTGTGGTATATGCTAATGTGGTCCTCAGATTGTTTCCACTATAGGTAGGTACATAACGTACGGTATAATGGCTCATTGTGATCATCTGTTTGAGTAAAGACAAAGGATCATGAGGATAATGATTGGCCTCTCAGTATGTTAATATTCTCATGTTAAATCTCTCAATGTAACAGTTTATCATGATAAAGCTGTGAGAGTGTGCATCATGGAGAATGACTGTTCCATTCGTTGTCCCATCTAGTGAAATTGCATTGTTTGAGCAACAAAGTTTGCAAACATTCAACGCCACCTAACTCGCTCCAGCACTCCTCCTGCCGCCCAGCTCTAGTGTTGTTAGTAAGTTGTGCAACAACATTTAGAGGCTTCATTTTTCCTTTGAATTTTGTTCAAAATATTGTGAAAATACTGAATCATGAACATGGTCAAACCATTTTGAGTACTGTCAAACCCCATCATTTATTTGTACTTGAAAATCACTTAATTTTAGAGCCTGAAGGATGGATCAGGTTGCCAGTTATATTACCGGATATTGTTTTGTGTTTTATCAGAATCGGCGGAAATATTGATAACAATTAGCCATTTATTTATTTATTTATTTATTTATGAGAGTCGCTTTGCTGAAAATCAAACTCACAATTTCTTGACGTTTTAAATATCACTCTTGTTTAAATATCACTCTTGTTTAAATATCACAGCAGTATAGCATGAACTGGTAAAAAACACTTAACAGAAACACTATCATGATTAAAATAGCAAAAACTATTCAAGCCTAACCTTCATTGTGAGTAATGCTGTAGTGCATTTTTTATGAAGAGAACTAATGTAAAAAAAAAGAAAAATAATACATAAGTATTATGTACAATGTAGCAATGAATTCTGGCTAGCTACATTACTTTAACATTTGTAAATTTCTGAAGTTTGACAGTTAAGAATATAAGTTAAAAATTATATTGTCTGCTATCAATTAACAGAATGTTTGGCCTTTTAAAATTGGTATTAGTATTGGCCACAGAATTGTCGTTTTGGTTGGAACCTGCTTCATCTATTATGAAGATGAAGGATTTTTAACAAGATCTAGATGCAAGAACCAGTAGTCACCAAATTATTAAAAATTTCAGATTTTGTAAGAATGCACATAAAAATACTTTGCTTGCTGTACACAAGTGAACTGAGCAGTGAGAAGGTGACGAAATCATTAATGGAAGGTTGTTGTTGTTGTTGTTGTGAAGCACCATTCATTCTCAGCTAGACCCCCAACATCATGAACAGGAAGCATGACAGCATCAGAGTAAATGATCTTTGTGAATAATTAGAAGTGATATCCTAAATTTACAGTGGTCAAAAAATGTCTCCATGTTTAATAAGTATTGACTTTCAAAGAATGAAGTGCAATTTCTCCTTCTAACTTCTCTCTTCAGCAATGATGTCATGCTGAAGTGATTGCAGTATGTAAAATATTCAGGAAATTTCAGTCAGATACATTTGTATGGGGTGAAAGAGAGAATAAAAGAGTGCCTTTGTTCTGGTTTAGGCAAGACATGTCAGCCCTCAACACTGTTTCTTTTGTATGAGTGGCGCACACTTCAAAAGCCACGCCTCCTCCTCCTCCTCCTCGCCATGCACAGACTGTACACTACAACTCTTACCTTTCAGCCATCAATTTTCTTAATCACAGCTATCATGGGTCGTTAAGGGTTTTGTACTTTATCTCAAATTCTAAATTATCTTCACAGCTAAATGCTATTTAATTACAGACTATTTTCATCCCTTTTGCTAAAGGTTCTTTTTACCTTATTGGCTCGTTTGATGTATTGTCCTCGTCTAGGTTTCCCTATCTCTCTGGCTGTTGTGGCAATATGAAGGGAAAAAAAAACAGCTCTCAAATGGATGGAAATTGCACATTCTGTGCAAGTACTTACAATTCCAGAAACGACCACTAAACATTATATTAGGTCTGCAAAGAGTAACTGGTTATTTACATATTAAAATATAATTTTTGCTCTGAAGTAGGGATTCAGTAGGTATTGAGCATTGGATAATTCTGTAGAGATCTTTGGCCAGTTTTTTTCTTAGTGTGGAAAACAGCCTGTGATTAATTTCAGTTTAAACATGACATTTCCCGTCTTACTGAGCTCATTTTTCAGTTGGTTAGTAATTTGTGTACAGTAGTTTCAGTCATGTCCAGTTGCTTGCTATGAAAGGAAGTTGGCTTTAGAATATCAGTAGTGCATTGTTATTTGTTTCACACCAAACTTGATATTAACACTGCTGCCCATCTAACTGTATTTACAAAAGTAGAGTGGTAACTGCAGGACACAGTGCCAAATCTCGATTCTTATTTTGGGACCTCGCTGGGGTTCGTTTGCTTTGAGAGTGTCACAGAGCAGAACTTAAAGTTCTGAGAAATAGGTTTAACGTGCCAGGCCTGTCAGCTCATAAGTTGATTTAATTCTTGGACAGCAACTCAAAGTCTAATCCTCTGATTTTGTTATAAAAATCACTTGAATATATCTGTGGTCTTTCTCGTTGGAAATGCTGAAACTTGCTCTTGGTTGAGGTTTTCATGCCTCAAGAGAAGGAAAGTGGCAGTCAACCAAAAGGTTGTCTGGATATGGAGACGAGGGGTCATAAGACTTCTTTGAGTGGTACTACTACTGCAGCCAGCAACCACTGTTATTGATGCATTGCTTGATTTCTCTGGAGCATTTTTATACGATGTTGAATCAGCCTCTGATGCCTAGCACTCAAACAAAGGGCTTCATTTAGGACTTGGTTTGAGAAGAAAATTAAAATCCACCTACTACATTTATTATATTCTTAATCTTAAAGAATTACATGGGTTCTCCAAAATCAGCCATTTTCTGTTTACATTTTTCTGTGGTAGCAGAACTTTTGCAGTCCAGATTTAAATTGGTTTGACTTATGCTTCATGACATGGTAATTTGTTGGCACTACATTGTGCAAGTATGGATTCTCTTTCAATCAGACTAACCCCATAAATGATTTATCCCTTGCTTTTTTTTAGTCATTCTTTTTGGCTTAACTAAAATAAACAGACCCTTTAATACATCTGTTGTCATTAGTGATTGGAGACATTTGCCTTTTTGGACATGTCTAAAGGGATGGCTTTGATTTATGGAATAGAGGTATGCCCTTCGACTCCCAGTGACTGATGAAGTCTTATGAAAATGCAGATTGTCCAGATTCTTTGGAGTGGTACTCTACTGGCTTCATATTCAGAGTTTCCAGTTGACATGTACTCTGTCATTATTGGAGACTCGGGACTCCCCCCTCCGGTTTAACGGCAGTATTCAAGTAAAAGAGTATGTGATCTAGACTGGGGTTTTTTATGCCATGGTTTTCTTGAAGCCTGTTTTCATGCATATGCCATTTCTTTCTGTTTTCTTTGTGCAGTGGAGCAGGTCCCCACCGAACCGTACCACATCCCCCTATCACAGGCTGAGGTTGTGCAGGAGGGAAGTGACATGACATTAGTTGCCTGGGGAACACAGGTAGGCCACATGAGCAGCAGGAGGAGGGCAAATGGGTTCACGCATGTGGATTCAGCCACAGCAACACGTGTGGAGCGGTACAGCAGGCTGAATGGACTCTAATTTAGACTCTGAGCTTTGTGACATTTCCAAGTAAAAGGCAGAACCATGGATTAAAACATGTTCTATCAAAAAGCTCAGCTCTCTTAGCAGGGGAGCTCCAAGGGATGTAGCCACTGGACACAGCGCTGACCTCTGTCCCTGACCAACTGCATATCCCTTCTCTGCGTGAACAGGCCGCGTCTGCTCGCTGGTCCTTTCTCCCTCTTATCTCCTCTATGTGCAGGATGGGATTATGATTTCAATAGCTCTCTGGGTGTCCAAAGCCTCGGCTCTCCCACTCGACAGGTTTATCCTGCCTGAAGCATAATTTACCTTCTCCCAAAGAGCAAAGGGGAGTAAGGGGCCGAGGGGAAAGTGAGAAAATCGCCTTCTTTCAAGCCAGTGTTTTGAGGAGTGGAGGAAAAAAAAATCTATTGAAGCAGTGGAAATCAAATCTTGTTGCGAAACGAACACTCTCCTCTTTCTCACTCCATTACCTCTCCTATTCATCAGCACTCAGACTCAATCTGTGGTGCTGAGACAGTTAATGAAGTAAAACTGAAGAGTTCCTCACTGCTTAAAGCTAAATAATGCATGAAGTGGATTGTTCAGGTCTGTCTTCTGTTGTTTCATGTTTGAATATATTCAAGCAGATGCTAAATCTCTACCTATATTATGTAATGCACAGTTTTGAAGTTTGGAGCTCCTCTGTTTAAAGAATAATCTGGTGTTCTTCAAACTAATTTCTGTGTGCCAGATCGATATTGTACAGCTGTTTACTGCACACAGTTCTCTATACTTAGTGAGAAGACAGAAGACCCATTTATTAGAAGCTCTTCTGTAATAGACGTGAATGGGCAGGTTCTGAAGCTTCTTTTATAAGCATGTTTTAACTGAACAGATTTTCTGTGCTATTTTTTAAGAATTGAGAAATGTTATTGAAATTATTATTTGTGAATAAAACAGATGTAGCAGATAGAAGTGAGGTTTAAAACACTACATCATTCTTTTTATGAGCACAGGAAAATTGAGTTACATGGTGTACCACTGCAGTGTTTCTTTTTCCAGGCTGATGCCAGATTTAATCTGATCTGTAGATTTGGGAGGAGAGTTGACCTGATGCATTCTTCTGCTCTGCAGGTCCATGTAATGAGGGAAGTTGCTACCATGGCACAGGAGAAGCTTGGTGTATCTTGTGAGGTCATTGACTTGCGGACCATTTTACCATGGGACATAGAGACCGTATGCAAGGTAAGGCACAGACTCTGTCTTTCACACACAAATGTTATTGTAGGTTAAGTGCAATGTCAAAGAATTATTGACCTACATTACTCAAGATGTATCTGCATAGGTACAGTGCTTCAGTGTGGGGAGACCATTTCAAAGAGAACAGACATCTGTGGTTTGTCCTCATGCAACGTTACCTTTGCTTCGAAATGTCAATGTAAACATAATTTGCTCATGCTTCAGTTGTATGCCATGCAAAATGTGAAAGTTTATATACAACTTCATGAACCTTAGACCTGTTTTTTACACAGCATAAAGTGCTTTCAGACAGTAAATTCTGTCTTTCTTCTATGTAATCTGTAGCATAACTCCATGTTTTTGCTTTTTAAAAGCTTGGTGTGATGTAGACTCAAATACTCTGTAAACTGTTGTCTTTTCAAATAGAGAATGTCTGGTTAAATCCTGGTTGTGTTAATGTTAATTGTTTTGTCATGAGTCATGAGGCAGAACTTAATAGAGCTCACCTCAGACAAACGCACTGTTAGCTAGTGATTACCTTTCAGAATTTTGAAACTGTGGCAGGAGAGCCCTGAAAATACGCAGGCCAATTGGTATCCTTCACATATTATTGTTTTGGCATTAGAGCTGAAAAAGTCTGCTAGTCTGTCACGGGTTGTTTGTTCGAAGCCGTCTTTTCAAATAAACAAAGTGATGTTCAAATATCACCCTATTAAACAGACTCCATTAAATTGAGTAGCATGTTTATGAAAATGTGCTTTTTGGCACTCCTGGGTAGTGGGAAGCTGACATAATGGGGAGTGAAGCTGTCTTTGCCTAAACAACAACTGTCGTATCCCCCTTTTATCTACCCCATGTTGACTTATTTTTTTTTTCTTTCCCATCATCTTTACTAGAGTTTGCTAGTGTTTCTAATTATAAGAGTAGAGAGTAGTAACAGCCATACAACTTTCAAAATTAAATCAGACGTTGCATTATTGGTAGCTGTGAGGAACTACCTTTAATCAAGCAATTAGCTGGTAGGGGGTTGGAATTAATGAGTGCCAAAATAATGAAATGAGCTGTTTGTTTCCATCCCAACTCTTGCCTTTTTTGTGTCAGAACTTAAAGCAGAAACATTTTGTAGCCAGATGTGCATTAAGGTCATAGAAAAGAGAAAACAAATGCAGAAATCTCAGTTGAAGCTTCCATAAAGGACTGAATCCATTGGAAACAGAGGATTTATATTTATAGATGTTTTGGGCTTGGGTGACTAACGGATGAAAGCATTGCTCTTCAAGTAAACAAATGCTAGAAAACAAGTTTGTCTGAACTCCTTTTTCCCTCACAAACATGCATCTCAGTATTTAAAGTTAAATGTGGAAACGTATCCTTGCCCATACATGTGGCTTGATATGTGATTTCCAAGCACAGCCATAAAGCATGAGGAGGTAGTGTGGGAAGGCCACCCCGTTGAGCTCAGAAAGCATGAATGTGCCTCTTCTAAGGGCTCTGATTTATTTTATTTTTTTTTCTTCTTTGTTTTGATCTTAATGTCTTCCCACATGGCTGTAAATGGTGATGAGGACCTTTGCGGGAAAATTGTGTTTGTGTGATGTGTGCATATTTGTGGAACACCCTAATATTCAGGGGGTTGCGCTTGAAGCAGAAGCTGAGTACCACCACTAGAGGTCCTTTTGGGAGTTCCTCACTGTGTGCTGCCGCTTTCATGTATGCCCACTGAAGCTGGCACGTATGGTGTGTGTGTATGTGTGTGTATGTGTGTGTGTATATATATATGTGTGTGTGTGTGTGTATGTATGTATGTATGTATGTATGTATATATGTATATGTATACGTGTGTATATTATATATACATATATCATTTTTTTTTTATGTACCTGCTGCATTGCTAACTCAGAATGAATATTGAGTGGTCATTGATCTGTTTTGGCTTTTTATTTTTAACCTTTGGCCTATCTGCCAATTTATTTTGCAGTGTTACACAGAAAGGGTGTTGCATTTTTTCTTAAAGCTAGTTTGTGTCGGGCTTACAGATCTAGAAGAAAAAAAATCAAGCCATGATGCCCTTGTATGAGGGCACCAGGGAATGGAGGAGATCAGATTGTTCCCTGAATTTTGTGCAATTCAATTAGCCTATTGGCCTGTAGCTCAGCTTTTAAAATACTCTACCCATAAATCTCCATAGAACATACTTTTGCCCTCTAAATTTTGTTCTTTTTCAGCTCTCTCTTGCCTTTCCCCCCCTCCACCAACTGTGTGAATAATGCATGAGAATGTTCTATGCCATGCTGTTTTATTTTTATTTGAAGCCCTCAAATCTGGCCATTTTCTAATGGCAAAACGAAGAGTTACAATTACCCCGAAATTTGAATAGTCTGGCAAGTCAGCTAGCATTTCTGTGCAGACAGTGAACTAAATCTAATGACCTGGCTCGCGTTCATTAGTTATTGCATTACCTTATGAACTAGATCCAGATGCTAAAATGAAATTGTGTCCAATTGAATGTGACTGAGTCTCCAGCTCACTATGAGTCAGAGTTTGCTCATGCACGCTGCTCGGTGTCCTCTGCATGTATGGAGACGTGGGTCTCGTCTGTGGATCAGTGTCCCGGTCATTAAAATAGGACTGCACTGGAACATGTTGTTTCTGGTTTCCTGTTGCTTTCTCTGGATGATCCACAGGACTGGTAATCAACTCTATGATCTATATATACCCGTGCCGCTTGTTGACAAAAGGAATCGGCTGAAATTGCAGTAAAACTGAGAAAAGCTGTTTTTTTTCCTCTCTGGTGTCTGGAACTGTTCAGTAAATGTAATAGTCGTTCATTTAAGGGATAAACAAAATGGCCAGTTTATCTCTGCCAGACCAGCAGCCTAGATGATATAATGTGGAAATATTTTGTTCCTCTTTTTTCTTTTTTTGTTTTATTAATCTTATTCCTTTATTCTTGCACATTACTTTGCTTACAGGGTTACCTACATTCTGCCTTCAGCCTGGTCCAGCCTCCAGTTTACATATAGAGTAATCTGCCTTTAAATGGCATATCTAGCTACCACATAATGGACACAAAAAATTAGCCTACTGACCTCAAGCTCACTTTGGAGAACGGGCATTCCATGTTGCCCTTGTTTTTCCTGCCACAAACGGCTCCAGCCTTTCCTCCTTCATTTTTTTTAAACTTTTTTTTTTTTCCCTCTTCCAGGCAAAACATTGCCACTTTTATGCTGAGGCCTTTTTCAGCAAACTGAACCAAACTGAATGTCATTCATTTCTTGCATCATAGGGCTGTTGCCAGAATATCTTTATTGTATAATCTGAGTTTCAGCACATGTGAACATAACTGATTTCACACAATTAGCCGCAGAATTTTGCCAAGATTTAATTTTCAGTATCTCATGCAGTGTGACAAATAGTAAACATATAAGACCGATGTTATTGTACAGATTACAGTGACTTATTACATTATAAACCTTCAAAAGCACTCATTTTTCAGTTATGCAACAGAGAACTTAAAGAAAGTCAAGCAGCCACCAAATTAGTTAAACTTAAAATTACCAAAAATTCGACATCTGTGTTCTTGTATTCTTCTCTTTCTTGGCACTCTTGTGTTTTTTCTTCTTATTATACAGGCTAGTGATGATGTTTGTTTGTTTGTTTGTTTGTTTGTTTGTTTATTTGACTGTCAGCTGACTAGTCAAGAGTGGACTTATTTAATGACGTACCAGCTGTAAGCTTGCTAGCTTTTTCTGCACAGGAAATGGAGTGCTTATAGCTAAATATAATAATAAACCTCTGAATTTGTAAAATTTGTCATTCTGCTATTCATTATGCTCAATGCAAAGTCTAAAGCACTCTGTTCTCTTGGAATAGTCAGTCTGTGACTAACATAACTTTATTTGTCTTACATAGCCACATGATTTTACTTACCCTGATATATACATACATGTTTAATTACAGATCCTTGACAAGACTCTGGTGGTGCTCTGTTTTTTAGGCTGCGTAATGACTCTTAAGCTTGAGTCACTCGTTGGGACCCGCTCCAGCCTCTCTTCTGAATCTGTGACTAAGCTGCAGGTTTTTATTAGCATATGGAAATAGGTACACTAACTGGAGGGACGTTTATTAGTTGTGTAGGTAATTGTGCTAAACAGTCTGCTTCCAAGCTTGACTACAGTGATGGGAGAACCGTGGTGCGTTATTGAGCTGTCTGTCCATTCGTTTTGACTGGGGATGGCACTTTCCTTGCAGTATGAAGGCCAGCAGGCAGTAAGACTTGGAAGAACTCGACTCCTACTACAATAGGGGTCTTGTTTCCATCTTAGGTCTAAACCCTGTATTTTTAATACTGCTTTGACTGCTCCATATTCTGTAAGTCACAACAGTAAAGCAACCCTTCCAAAGCAAACGCTCCAGCTTCTCCTGGTTAACGTGATCAAGATGTGCCTGGAGCTCAAAGGTTCACTGCTCTTGCGTATTCCCCCTAGTTAAACGCGTGGTAAAATGGTGCAGTAAGTTATATTTACACAGTGCTGCAGAGACTTGATTTGATATGTGGAAGAAGTTTGGATTATTCTGTTTTGACTGTTTTGTTCATTGGCGGTCCTCAGAATCTGATGTTTACGTGTCATAGCTTTTGGTGTTTCATTAGTGAACTAATGGTAACACACAAACACAAACGTCGAACACATGAACTTGAAGGGTCACTTTAAGGTTTTGACAGAAACATTTGATCTGATGTAGTCAGTCTGCTGGTCCTGTCTGTCTGCTGTAAACATACATAGGTCCTGCCCTCTGACCTTTGTTTCCCCAGTCATATAGTGTCCCTAGTTGACCCCTAGGGGTTTGTACGCGTGTCACTTGTATCTTTCACTGTTCGGGGGTGACAGATCAGGCCTTTTTTCTCATGTTGAGTGTTATGCTGTAGACGGACATATAGAGTCTTTCTTTCTTTCTTTTCTTTTCTTTCTTTTCTTTCTTTTCTTTTCTTTCTTTCTTTCTTTCTT